CGTCATCCATGGGCACTTCATAAAACTAGCCACACATAAGAAGCTCACCAAAACAAAATTACTATTAGAATTGCAATCAGCTCTACAGACAGCTGAGTAACAACATAAAACCAACCCTATGAACACTAAGTTGAAAGAACTTAATGCCCTTATACACTCATAGAACTCTCACTTGAAGATGTAACTCGTTCGATCTAATGGTCCAAACGATTATTCTATGAGAAAGCAAAAAAAATGGATACCCTCCTAGCTAGGGTACTGCGACCTAGAACGGGACATAAACCGGTCACCAAAATACGCACCAACACTAATCATCTGGTTACAACACCAGATGCTATTAATGAGGTGTTCACGACATACTACTCGGGACTCTACAACCACTCGCCTCACCTTACAAACGACAATACCAAATACACTGTGGACATACATAAGTTCTTATCAGACCTGACCATGCCAAGGGTGACGGTGGAGGAGGCAGCAACACTGAGGGACCCAATCACACAAGAGGAGGTGGAAGCGGCCATAGCTGCTCTCAAAGGGGAACAAAGCCCCGGGACCGGACGGCTTCGACATTAGCGACTACAAACAATTTAGGGACGTTCTCGCCCCACACCTCACGACCTTATGCAATCACTTCATGCAAAAAGGAACACCTGACACAGACATGGCCAACATTATACGGCTACCAAAATCTGGAAAAGACAATACCCTAGCCCTAAGTTACAGACCAATATCGCTCATTAACACCGACCTCAAGGTAGTCGCAAAAATGTTAGTATGCAGACTGATGCCCCTCCTCCCGTGACTGATCCACCCAGACCAGGTGGGCTCATACCTTGGTGGCAAATGGATGAAAATAACCGGCGGGGAATAGACCGGATGTGGCGCATGGCGGAGTCTAAGATGCCTTCTCTGGCGCTCTCATTAGACGCAGAGAAGGCATTTGATAGGGTGCTGTGGCCGTACCTATTCCACCTGCTCCAGTTTCAAGGGTTCCCAGAACCTTTTGTGACGGCCATAAGGGACCTGTACACGGACTCATGAGCCCTGACACTCGCAACAGGAGCAACACGGACCCCATTCTCATTAGGTAATGGAACCAAACAGGGGTGCCCCTTATCCCCACTATTATTCGCACTGACGTTAGAACCACTCTTACTGGCAATCAGACAGCACCTGGATATCCGGGGGGTTGAAGTGATGGGAACACAGTTTACAGTGTTGGCCTACGCGGATTATGTGCTTTTGACCGTGCAGAACCCATTAGAATCCTTACACCACCTAACAGCATTGATTGACCGTTTCGGAAGTCTGGCAGGCTACAAAGTTAATTACAATAAATCGGCCATGCCCTTTCACCTAACAACCCCATATAGGGTACTCATACGCAGCCAATACCACTTAAAAATAGACACAGAAGAATTCCGTATCTGGGCATTCGCCTCACAGCGAACCCCAAGACCTTGTTTGCACGTAACTATACCCCAATGTTAAGGGAGGGGAGTTAAGCCAGTGGACGAATAAACCTATAATCTCCTGGTTGGGGCGCATACATTCCATTAAAATGAACATCCTACCACGACTATGATTTTTATTTCAATCACTGTCGGTGAGAGTTACCTGGGGATTCTCCCAAGACTAGCTCGTAGCCTCTTATACTGCCCAAAACCCAGAGGGGGACTGGGACTATCCCACCTGTACCAGTATTACCTGGTGGCACAACTCACCCAGATTATACAGTGGCACACACCTCCCGACAGAGGATGATGGGTAGACCTGGAATCCCTGATGACAGGGATGGATCTTCCCCAGTTCTATATATGGGTTCCGCGGAACCAAAGGGCAATCCTGCGAACCTCAAACCCGGCTATTCTCAACTCCATACAATTATGGGATCAGTCACGTCAGAAATTCTCCCTGAGTGACCTGACTCTGGTGTTTAGGAACAGAGCCTTCCCGTCAGGGATGAGAGCTAGAGACTCTGGAGGGATAGAGACAACGGGATTACAAAGATAAACTCACCTATATGTAGATCAGGATGTAGTCACATACTAGCCCTGCTCAAAATGTGCAATTACTTTCGATACTTACAAAGCGCAGACGTTGAGGCAACGGCCACAGCACAAATGACCTTCTTTGAAAAACTGTGTTTTACTGAACCCACACAAACTAAACTAATTACATTACAACAACATTAGCAACTGATAAAGAAGGGGCACTACACTATGCCGACCCATGGGAGACCGATCTAGGTGAGGTGTTGGACAGCACAGATTGGCAAGAGATCTGGGAGGCGTGTACAAAAACAACACTTTGCGTAACGCTCCAGGAGCATATAAAACACTATTCCGCTGGTATACGACTCCAGTAAAGCAATATCAGATGAAACTGAACTCCACAGATGCATGTTGGCACCTGTGCGGTGGAAAGGGCACTTATATACATATGTGGTGGGAACGCCCTGAGGTAACAAACTACTGTATAATTATGGAATTAAGCTCACAAATCCTACAAAGGAAACTATCTTTAGACCCCTGGGCATGCCTGCTGTCTAGGCCCACAGAGAGCCTGACGAAACACAAACAAAAACTCCTAAACATGATTAACCTAGCGGCCCGCAGAGCACTGGCACAAAAACTGTCCTGTTCTGAAATTCCCCAAATAGCCCTAGTTATAGCAAAACTACTGGACAACTACCTTATGGATAAGTTAACATCGCAAGTCAGGAACACACTGGAGGGACTAGGGGGAAGAATGAGATGAGACACATGAATGAGCTTGGGGGGGATGAGATATGTGGAGGGGCTGGATGACACACATTTGGGGAGCTGGAGGGGTTGAATGAGAAACCTGGAGGGGCTGGGGAATTAGACACATGGAGGAACTGAGTGGGAATGCGACACATGTAGGAGGGGAAATGAGGGGTAGGGGGGAAAGAAGGACACAGAGGGGTGGGGGGGGAGGATGAGACACATAGAATAGAGGGGCTGGGATTAAATAAAACAGGCAGCAAGTTGATCTTAAACAAAAGCTAATAATCTCAAAATACCTGTGGTTAGTTTATTTTCTTCCAATGCTGTCAGCCAATTTCCCTACCCACAGTTAACCCATCCCCTGCCAGCCAACTTCCCTACCCATAGTTAACTCCTCCCTGTTAGACCCTGTGAGCCAATCTCCCTACCTACATTTACCCCTTCCATGTCAGCCAGCCAATCTCCCTACCTACAATTACCCGATCCCTGCCAGTCCCAGTCAGCCAACCACACTATATGAGAGAGAGTGTGGTCGTTAGTTCTATAGGGAAAGGAAGGGAAAGAAAAGGGAAATGTGGTTTGTAAGTTCAAGTGTTTGAATGCTGAGAACTCAGTGCCATCACTGAAACATTGCCATTGGTGGACAGTCTGGCTGAAATACACGAGGCAAGGAGAAAGCAAAGCGGAAAATTACATGCAAATCAGATGAGGAGCAGAAAATCTGAATGACTTCTAAAGCTCATTTTTACACTCTTTAATAACCATCACAGAAAATAAAATTGCCACACAAAAGTATGTATTTATATAAACTAGTAGAAATCATAGACTATTTACCCAAGTATTTTGACACTTTTTACTTAGCCATTTCACCACCAATCTGTGCTAAATACTGTAGTATTATTATTTTTTACATACACACATATAACAAGGTTCTTTTAGTGCAGAGCTTCCCAACAGGTAGCTCCCAAGATGTTGTAGAACTACAACTCCCATGATGCTTTGTTATTCTAAATGCATTCTAAAGGCATGCAAAGCATCATGGGAGTTGTAGTTCTACAACATCTGGGGAGCTACCTGTTGGGCAGCCCTGCTTTAGTGTGTATTTTGTAAACCTGAGTGCTAGATCAGTACAAAACCCCATATTGTGTTCAACTACATATGCGGAGTACAACAATACACCCCTATTATGTGAAACTACAATGCCATATAAGAGACCAGGCTATTTCGGTTTCTACTGTTGGAATTTTCATAGATGGATTTGATGGGCTTAGGTCTCATTTTTGGGGCATTATAGTAGTTTGAATGTTTATATAACTCCACATAGACCTACCATTTTAAAAGTACACACTCCAGGGTATCTTATATGGCATATATATATTGTTCCTGTAAAAACAAAAAAACAAACAAAAAAAAGCAACAATTAGAATTTTTTTTTTTTTACTTGCGAGTTGCATTTTTGCTGTGTATTTTGTACATTTGATATATGCCACTGTGATAGAATCCCCCAAATTATGCTCAGTTACATCTTGAGTAAAACAATATGCCCAATGTATGACCCAGACACTATTTTGTGAAGTTACAGTGCTGTAGAAGAGACGTGACCACTTCAGGTTTTGAAGTGTGAATTTTCATAGGTGTTGAAAGATTCATTTTCCAGTTTTGAGTATTGTGGCGGATTATATGTTTTCGACTCATTAATATCTTTCCATGATACTTTCCAACCTGTTTTGTCACCTACGTTTGCATAATTGATACAATGGTTATTGGAAAGAACCAAAGTGAATATCTCCATATATGAAGTCCATTCTCCCATGGTACCTAAAGTTTTAATTTTGGAAGTTTTGCTGCAAGACATTAAGAGTTTGGAGCAGAGAAACCACATTTAAATTTTTTTTTTCTTATTTTAAACCAATATAACTTATCTTTCTAGCTAAAAACAAGATTTATAGTAACACTCCAAACACCATAAACATTACAGCTTGCAAGGGAAACTGAAGCACTGCAGTGCTTGGTTTAGCTCACTGGCCAAGAGTAATTAGCTCTTGAGGCAAGCGCTGTGGTTGTTATGCTTGGAGAGCAGAAGGACCACCCATGTCCTTTATGGAGCATAAAGGGTTTAACACGGCTAGATTATGTTAACCGATCGTGAACTTATTTACATATTATGTAATCATAAGTATTTTTTTTTTTTGTTTAATTCTTTTTATTACATTATTTCATAAAAATATTAATAGACAAAAACAACACCCATGGGAGGGAACCTTACAGGGAAAAGAAAATAAGGAATCCCATCCCCATTGAACATACATAAATACAGTATTCCATTTCAAATTTATCAATAAGCCGTCTAGGACACAATCTGGTAACAAACATCCCGTCGCCCATGTATCGTAGTCCAAAAACGGCCTAAACACAACCTTATAAATATATTGGACATAAACAAAAACAAAAACTGGTCATATGTATTGCAGATCCGGAACCACACCCAAAGAAGAAAAAAAAAAAAAGAAAAAAAAGAAACAAAAGCATTATAAGGCCAAAAAAAAAACCTAATAATAAAACCCCCAGTGAAGACACCGAGCCGACCATAAGGAAATCTTATAAGATACCCCACCAAATCATGTACCTTAAAGCCTCTTAATTTTTTGGACAAGACTAGAGTAGAACGACAGAGCCTTAAGGTTAGAATATTCATAAGTAATCATAAGTATTTAATTCACAGGTGCCCCTCCCTCGAAAACAAAAAACCCAAACAGGTCTCTATTGCTTGCTTCATAAATTAAAAGAAAAAAAATCAGCCATTACGCCTGTCATTCTGACTGCAAATAATGTATATCAAATATTTATTTAAAAATGGAAAAATAAAATAACGCACATTTGTAGTTTAGGTAGGCACCAATGTTAGGTGGCTGTAAGCAGTTGCATTATTTCCCAACTGGCTAAAACCGCAGAGGAAATGAACACAAAAAAGGAGATATTATAACCCATTTAATCTTCATACAGCAGTTCAAATACAGATCAAATGCAAAGTATCTTTTCAACTTCGCTCGTTATAAAAATTTGATTAAGACAGACTATCTTCAACAGTATCTTTACAGCAGATCACAGTGATATAAGTATGTATGCTGAAAGCATTCTGCTTTTTCTTGGCAAAAAAAAAAAAAGGCTTTAAGATAAAATTTTAGATATGTATCTTGTATGTACATACTCAGGTAAACAAACAAATTATATTTAAAAATTTGTTATATTAGCTTAGATAAGGTTGTGTGAAATAATTTTGAGAACGCCATTACATTTGGATCATATTTTAATCTGATTAAATGTTTGTTTATTTTATTAATCCTATGGTTTTCTGATTTGCACTCAACCATAAAGGTTCTGCAGTGTGGATTACACAAACAAAGTGGTGCAGACTAAAAAAACAAGTAGTCCTATAATCGGCCAGTATATAGAAAAAAAGAGGAATACCGCACACTTATTAGAATTCTGGTGCAGCCAGACCTGGCGCTTGCTACCCCCTCCTGTATTAGTTAAACAAACTTGTGGTCCAGGCACTCAAGGGTCAGTTAAACAGCAGGTTTATTGGGAAAAACATGCTTTTCAACTGACCCTTGAGTGCCTGGACCACAATTTTGTCTAACTATATTCAACCAGTGTCATTATATGTTGTGTTGATTTAGTACATAAAAACCCAAACATTCACATTTACTGAAAAATGTTCTGCCCAAAAGTAAATTATGTTAAATAGTTCCTATATTTTCAAAATTATGGAGATACCCCCTTTGTAAGTGAAACATATTTTACTAATTTAACATGCCAGCATTAATGACAGACATCACTAAGAAAATCCTTGTGGTGTAACAATGCAGAACTGTTCTACATTACACAATAAAGCTCTCTCTCATATAACATTATCTAAATAGTGGCACTGTTACTTTCAATTAGCATTATATTAATATACTGTTTATCCACAAAACGTAATCATGTGGTTTCCCCTAGTACAGCTACGAGTTTAATGCAGTGTCTCAATACTTGTTCATCTTCCAAGCAAAGTTTCAAAATTACTTCTGTGTTGATGCCAAGTATGCATACCAGAAGAAAGCCACCAGGTTGGCAAACAAGACTCGAAACTGTAAAGAGAAAACAATATGAAATTAAAATTACAATCAAGTAGATATTTCCTAGTGGAAAAGATCTTTAAAAACAATTTAGTAGATAATCCCCACTCGCCCCACCCCCCCAAAATTAAAAAAATAAAATAAAAATCAAGAATGTTTTCTCTGAGGGTATATGTAAAAACAGCTTGCAAAGTATGCAGACCTGTTATCTGCAGCCTTAGCTAACTATCCCCTTCTCTCCAGGGAATACTATAATCAGAGGTCTCATTTGCTTACCTATGCTTCTCAATGAGCAGCTTTTCGAAGAAGGCAAGGGCACACTAGCACAGTGTGCCTGCTGCTTCCGTTAGCCCTGTGGAGCAAACGTAAGAGGAAAATACCTCACTGTCCTAATTATAAAAGTTCAGATTTTTATTGGAATTGGCACATTTATAAACTGTCAAGAAATTAATAGTCCCGACACACAGAGCACTTCAGCAAGCGGACGTGCATTATTTGTGCGGAGTGTTCCTTTAAAGGAATACTAAAATGTTAGGAATGATAACCTGTATTTCCAACGCTACAGTTACCCTGTCCCTAGTTATATTCAGGACTGCCTTTTGCCATAAAACTTGTTTTTTTAAAAGATGATTTTAAACTTAAATTACTCTTAGAGGAGTACTGGTGACCTGATTCACATTTCCGAGTGCTGGGAGCAGACCCAATGCGTCTCATTGGAAAGCATTGAATCTAGTGCTTTTCTATTAGTTGCAATGTCACATGAATGAGTTTTACGGTCAGTGCAGCGGAAGTGGCATGTTTAACCCTTCAATGTAAATATTGCTCTTTCTGCAAAACTGCATTGTTTTACCTTGAAGGACCACCGCATTGAGATAAGGTGATCTAGGTGACTGTAGTGGTCCTTCAAGAAAGGACACTACAGCTAGGATAGAGCTTAAAGTATGGACATGTCTACCTTTAAAATAAGTTATAATATGTCATAATTGTTGCGTCATGCTAAAGTGGGTCCCAAAGTTATCATTATATGTAGTGGCGTGACTTGGTCACATGGGTTGCTTCTATTTAAACAGAAGAACATATCAGCCTAATTAAGATAATTGTGGGGTGTGAAGGAATGCCCCATCACTTGAATTAGTACTATTCTCTTTTTCCCAGTTCGTTTTCTCGTTCAAACTCACCTAGCTCGGTTCCCGAACGAGGACCACTCTAGCACCCCATTAGAACATGGAATACCAAGTATCCAGTGCGAAACCGCAAAGGAAACTATTAATAAAATGCTCCCCTGGGTGGCCACCATTTCGTGAAACCGAACGCACGTGATCAACAGAATGGATGGCGGCCATTTTGTCTCCCGAACGCAGGCAGCGTTACTTGGTCGCCAAGTGTCTGGAACTTATTTTGGCTAGGCACTACTGCAAACACCAGTGAAGATTGGAACTGCTGCCCATTCAAGTTCCCGGCCACCTATGCGAACGGTGTTCTGGAGATATAAACTACCGAATTAAGGGGGGGGAGCATTCACCACTTGAAAGCACTTTAATATCTTGTGTGGTTTTCTAAAGAAACCCTCAAACTGAGACCGGCTGTTGCCACTATTTCTCTGGAACTATTTTGGGCTTGTACCTCGTGGCCAGTCGGTCAAAACTTTACCCTGGGGGCGATTCCAAACCACCAAACAGATCTGAGCGATTTTTGGATATGTTAGGCGCTCAGATCAGAGTATCTGGGGATGTGACTCTTGAGGGGTTTCCATGTATTTTGGGGGTATTTTTGGGGTGTTTACTGTGTGTATAAATTGCGAGTGCTTGCCTGAAATAAACAGATCTACTCCCTGCATTCAGTCTTGACTAATGTATGGGGGGGAAAAGCTATACCAGCAATATTCACTTACACTGTTTGATAGCGCTACTTCACACTGGGAAAGGGAGTTCATGTTGGCGATATACTGGTGGTCCACCACATGGGGTGATGTTTAGCTTAAAGGAACACTATAGCCACCAGAAGCACTATAATTTTATGTATTGCTTCTGGTGTCTAGCCAGTCCCTGTAGGCTTTTCAATTTACAATTTATGTTTCAACACTTAAATTGCTGCCTAGGAACACCTCTAGTGGCAGTCATTCAGACGCTCTGCATGAACATTCCCAATATAGATGCATTGATTCAATGGATCTCTATCAGGAGAAGCTGATTGGAACAGAAATGCGTTTTGCAGCACACACAATAACCTCCCAATTCTATCCTATGGAAAAGCATTGGATTGGCTGAGATCACCAAAATTGATGATCTTAGCCATGGAGGCAAGCATTGGAGAGAAAAAAAAAAAGGTAAGTAAAATCACCTTTTCAATGTGATCTGAAGGGGGTGGTTACCAAAACCGTTAGTTTACACTATAGTGTTAGGAAAACAGGTTTGTTTTCCTTACACTATAGTATTCATTTAAACTGTGTAATGTGGTACTATAGGAAGGATTCCCATACCTATATCATTTTCTATTTGTGTGACAATTTTAGTTAGAAACAGAATCTACCAAGTCCCATAGGATGTGACACAGGTTGGGGAGAGGGGGAGAGAGAGGGGAGAGAGAGAGGGGGAGAGAGAGAGGGAGAGAGGGAGAGAGGGAGAGAGGGAGAGAGGGAATTCATTTAAACTGTGTAATGTGGTACTATAGGAAGGATTCCCATACCTATATCATTTTCTATTTGTGTGACAATTTTAGTTAGAAACAGAATCTACCAAGTCCCATAGGATGTGACACGGGGAGGGAGGGGGGGAGGGGGAGGGGGAGGGGGAGAGATATATATATATATATATATATATATTAAAGAGATGCACTCTCAGGACTTGAAAAAATAATTAATTTATTCCAGCAGGTATAACATCAAAGTTTGCCGACGTTTCGACCCATTCGGGTCTTTCTCAAGGACCTTGAGAAAGACCCGAATGGGTCGAAACGTCGGCAAACTTTGATGTTATACCTGCTGGAATAAATTAATTATTTTTTCAAGTCCTGAGAGTGCATCTGTTTATCCTCTATACATTTTGTCTACATGGGATTGCACCCAGGCGATATTGAGCTACACATTTGAAAGGGTGAGTGCCAAGAAAAACATTGTTATATATATATATATATATATACACATACATACATACATACATATACATATATATATATTTTACACACACACACACACACAATCTACTGGTATATAAGCATCCAAATGAATATGTGGCTTGGTTAATGTGTACATGCTATAAAAACCTCTTTTGTACAACTCATGTTCTTTTTCTTCCTGTAACTTTAAAATTGTGCAATAATAATAATTTATCTGTATATTTAATTTAAAAAAATCAAAAAAAAAATCTACTCAGCCAAAACTTGGATTCAGGCATAACCTTCCTCATTATTTGCCTAGTTATTAAATACTCTGGAATTTGGAAAGCTCCCTATTGGCTGAACAAGCTATTAATATATTCTACTAGAATATAACCTGTCCATGTATTTATTTACCTGCTTTTGACTTCATAACACGGATGCATACAAAGCGGTGGGGTGCATGGAAGCTTTTAAGACACATTCCCCTAAGTAGCCTACCTGCAAGTATTAGCCAAGTCAGCAATATTTTCAGTTCAACTACTTTGGCCTTAAAATTCACTTTTAACTCGCTCTGAATTCCTGACAAATATCACTTAGTAAATAACCCTGTATGATTTAAGTAACACTACACTGTAAAATGTTCTCCATGTCATTCTTGAAAACAAATTAAATGTCAATGCTTTCTTCCTAGTAAAATTCGTTTTAAATAAATAAAACTGCCTTTAGTGTGTCTAATAAATGTATATATTTAGTACAGGGAGATTTTATTTTTATTTTTAAATATTTTTGTCATCTCAAGATAAACGCGGATATAAAACATATAATCGTTGAAGCAAATAATCGCCTACGCAGAGGCATGCTTATTGAGACCATAAATAACTTGAGGGCTAACATCGTACAGATTGATCAAATTAACATATGGTTACCTGCGCAGAGGCATAACAGTCGGAGTGATCACGCAATGACCGAAATAAAGTTTGCATGGGCTTCACAAAGTTAGATATGTCAAAGGCATTGATTGGGCCTGATAGTGCCTGATAGTGCCGTGCACAGGTGTTATTGTCGCGTGTGTACAGCTTTGCCTGACTAAATGTATAATTAAGGTTAATTACAATTAGAAGTGCTGTGTATGCATGGGCTGGTTTGTCAATGTAGATATGTGAAATTGGTGCGAGTATTACAAACAAGTGCGCAGGTGTGTCATGAGTCAAGCAACATATTCTCAGGAAAAAATAAAGGTTTAGTTCAGCCTGTTTAGGCCGGTGCGGCCATGTACCTATGTCTTATGTTAAGTTCATGTAGGTATCCCTAGTGTGCCTAGCGTGCAGTGTGAGCGTGGCCTTAAGTGACCTGATCGTAATTAAGAGTCCTCGTATCAGCTGTTGTAGGCATTGTGTCCATTCTGTCGTGTAGCCATGCGAAAAAGTTTGTCGTGATATGTATCCTGTCTGTATCTATTGAGTAGGCAACAATCTACGACAGTGTACTTTAGCCCTTTGAAGCACTGTGACATTAACTTCACATTCAGTTTTAAACGGAATTAAAAATATAAATATGCAAAAACAAACCAATAATGTATAACTTGTTTAGAATCTACAGGTGAAAGAATATAGAAGCAAACAAATGCTAATACTAAGCACTGTGCATGGTCAGCATGAAGCGCTTCGTTAGGCTCAAATAACCGCCTAAATGTATATGGCAGAAGTAGTATATTAGTCATGCATCGTGAGGCAATGATAAATCATATCTTTTAACATTATAGCAGTGTCTAGTTAATTGCGGAATAGGCATGCCATGAATTAAGTGTATTGATATTAGAAATAATTATTTCAGCAACAAGGTATATCCTGATCTGGATCTGTGAAACAATAATATGTGAGTCTCTCCACTGGAGATGGCTTTGTAATGCCTGGTAAGAAGAAATGTCCAGCGTGGGTTAATGGCCTCCTGTGAGGTATCTGAGCGGGCTTCCCTCTACCGTGGCCTCTTGCAGGTTTATGCCAAGGGTGCATATTTATGCCAAGCTGGTCGTTTATTGCAGGCTCTTTCTAGCTCCCCCGGTGCGACCAATCCCCTCTGGGCCTGCTACAGCCGGCCTCGGGTTCTACAGTGCTGTGGGCACTCAGGGACATCAGTAGTCCGGCAGACTCCCCCTCGTGAAAAGTCCTCGGGCCCCTGTCCCCTGCACCTCCCCAACCCCTGCAGTACCCCGTTGGAGCTCCAGCCCCGGTAGGCCTCACCTTTCTCCGCCCTTTTGCATGTCGCCGGTGTTTGCACCCCCGGCCACCAGGGGTCCAGCCTACGCCATAGGGCTCACAGAGTTGGGGGTAGGTCTCCCTGGACCACCACCAAATCCAGGGGTTAGGGCCGGCTCCACGTCGACCATTCTGCCGTTCGGAGGGGTCTGTCTGTGGGATCCGTCACCTCAGTGGGCCCTGGCAACCCCGCATGGCTCCCAGTGACGTGCGTGTTCCGCGGCCATCTTAGCTCCACGTGGGAAAGGGCTCCGCCATGTGTGGGCCTTCTGCCTCCAGTGGGAGGTTTATTTTTTACACACCAAGAATTTGTTTTTTTAATAGTACAAAAAGCAAAACAAAAAAAAAACCCACACAAAAAACAAACAAAAACATTCCACACTCTTACAATAAAATTGGTAAGGATAACTTTCATGGCAAAATTCATGGCACTGTGACTAAAGCAGTAAGACCAGTAAACGAAGACTGCTTATGGAATTGCGTACTTTTATCTACAGTCATCAAAATTCTTTTACCTGTACTGGGATGTAGTTCACATTTATAAACTGAAATGGTGTCCAGACTTTCCAATTCATCTTTAGTGCTAACCAATATCTATTTTTCAGGTTCTGGTTCAGAGTAGCCAAGTCTTTACCCTGTATATAAAAGAAAGAAGTGCTACGTTAATGTTGTAATAACGGATGGACTATTGTGCGTAAATGGGCTCATAACCTAACCTGCAGAAAATGAGAAATAAGGCAAGGATGCTTGAAATAAAAATTAGACAAGTTCCTGCTATAATATAAGTACTGTATTATAACCAGGTCCGCCATCAGGGGGTGACAACCCGGGCCCCATGTGTAGCGGTGGAGCTGCCGCTGGTGACCCAAACATTTTGGACCATTTGATGGGCCCAATATCTTTAGGGGCCAAGCCAGTGATGCGGCCGTGTAATAGTACCACCGTGTAATAGTACCAGGCGGGCCTTGTGGGGCAGGATTTGGAGGCAGTCCCCGGGCGTCCAGACCGTGAACTGGGTTAGGGGCACTAAAATTTCTGATGGCGGCCCTGATTATAATATACAATCGTAAAGGAACAATCCATCTGCAGTTTTGCAAACAAGTTTTTTTTTTTTCTTTCTAAATACCCTTTGTGACATCACCGAAATTGCCATTTTTAGCCAATCCAATCTTTAATTTCAGAGGACTTCTAGGATTGTTACAAAAGGAAGGAAGAGGGAAGATACATAAAAATAAAAAGTATATTAAATCTGTATCTCCCCCCCCCTCCCTTCTTCTTACCTTTGGTGAAAGAGCGGTGGACACAACCATCCCTGGTGGTAAGGTGGTGGTAAGTATGTGACAGGGAAGCAGCTCTCCTATCCTCCCGTGCGATGCTGTGTGGAGCGTTGCCATGGTAACGCACGGCAACGCTTCAAACAGATTGCTCGCTGGAGGACAGGAGAGCTGCTTCCGAGATCCCTCTCCCTGAATTTTCTCTCAAGATTGCTGTATGCTTTCCAAAGTCTACCCTTCCCGCTTACACATTCTGACTGCAAAACTCTACATTCTTCCATTAATGGGTTCATCTGGGATGGGTTAAAAAAAAAAAACTTTGTATGTACCCAAGTCACAAAGGGATTTTGCATTATTTCGATGCAGCTCAGTTGGCTCACATTCAACAATAGCACCTACAACCAGGCCACAGAACTTCTAATTTTTGTTGTATACTACCCTTCTAGTTATATGTGGATACTGAGGCAGCATTGACCATTCACCACAGTCACCACCGGCCATCACTTATTTTCTAGACCTGTGGGACAGAGTGAAGGATAAATTTGACTTTTATTTTCTCTCTCCTACGATGCCCATATTACTTTCACCACACGTGATTTGTTTTTTTTTCCTGTCATCTACTGCTTTGAAGATTGGCCTCCTCTCATATAATAAAATAAGCAGGTACTGCTTCTCTCACAGAATTTAAACAAACCTGTCTAATTGTTCCCACACAAAAAATGACAGGCTTCAAATGTGTACATTTCATTGATTGTACACTCTACCCAAATGTCTCTACCTTATCACTGCTTGCAAAAGGAACCAGAGACCTCCTGAAGAGCTCAGTGACTTGGGAGGCATTTGGTTCCCTTACCATTTGTGTGACCCACAAAGAGTAAGCATACAAAATGCTTTTCCACTGGTATAGAACTGCCTTTCAGTTGGCACAGATGCATTTTATTTTAGGACTCTTTCACTAGAGGTAAAAAAACAAACAAACAAAAAAGGTCAGCATGGGTCACATAGTCCATTTACAGAGCAATTGAGGAGTTGTTCTCAATACTACTGTTATCTGTAAAACAAAGAAAGTAAAAGACATGGCCAGACTTGCAGCACAACTGCATGACACACAATTATTTTCATAAAATCTAGGACCCTTGGCTGAATAGAAATGTGTTTTATTTAAAGTGCAAAGCACCCGACAATGACCTGTGTTGGTAGATCTCTCTTTTTGATGATAGAATAGGATCATGGGCATCACTCTCCCTTTCATTCCCCCCTTCCTTTTCCTACTCTTCTTTTCCTCCCCTCCATCTGGCATGGATTTAGACAACGTCCATTATTCAATCTATTCCTTTCTCTTCTTTCGTTTCTCTAGCCATTATTCTATATTGATTTTTTTTTCTATATTTTTACCTAGCTTTTACCAGGGGTCAAGTCCTGGGGAAAAAGGTGTGGGAACTCACCCAAGATTCCCGCCTCCCCCCCCCCCACCCCCTTAAAATTATTTTATTTTTTTTTAAATTACACTCCTATGCATATAGTGCAGTGCAGGGTGTGTATAATGAATGTAGTGTGTTTGTAGTGAATGCAGAGTATGAATAATAAATGTAGTGTGTTTGCAGTGAGTGCAGTGTGAATAATAATTGTAGTGTATTTGTAGTGAGTGCAGAGTGTGTATAATGAATGCAGTGTGTTTTTAGTGAGTGCAGAGTGTGTATAATGAATGAATGTAGTGTATTTGTAGTGAGTGCAGTGTGTATAACAAATGTAGTGTATTTGTAGTGAGTGCAGTGTGTATAATAAATGTAGTGTATTTGTAGTGAGTGCAGTGTGTATAGTGAATGCAGTGTGTATAGTGAATGTAGTGTTTTTGTAGTGAGTGCAGTGTGTATAATGAATGCAGAGTGTGTATAATGAATGTAGTGTGTTTGTAGTAAGTGCAATGTCTCACAATTGCTTGTATTTGTAAAATTCTAAATAAAGAATTAAAATAAATAAAAATACTGCCCTACCTTAATGATAAAAAATATAGTATTTAGCACTAAGAGCAAGCACCAACATGAGTGTGTTTATATGAAATGTTTATATTATAGTAATATATAGAAATAATTTTATAATATATATATATATATAAATAAATATATATAAATAAATATAGTTAACCCCTGTACTCCAATCAAAAATAGTAAATACCTGGTGCTCTGGTTGATATATATAAAAATGTAGATTAATAACAATGAAAGATCACAAAAGTTAAGTTTGTTCTCTTAGGCCATGCGCCTAAGTAGGCAGGTTTACAACAAAGCTGCATATGATACTGCCGCTCGTAGAGAGCGTCAACTGACCACTCTGATCCAATTAGTGAAATATGAGTATTGATACAGCCTAGAACGCTAGCTAAAAAGATGCCACAATGTTGCTGCAGGAAGTGGAGTTACATCTCCAGCAGATGAGGAGTAAAACCATGTTTGTCAGCATTTAGTAAAAAAAAACAAAAAAAACAAAACAAAAAAAAAACCCTGCACATGTAGACTGCAGGCACCATGACCACTTCAAAACACTAAAGTGTTCATAGTGTTTGGAGTAACCCTTTAAGTTAAACAAGTGAAACTAAAGTTTTGCAATTTAAAAGGCCAGTTGGTATTGATGTTAAAAGAGAAGTAAAATGGATTACCGATACTGATAAGTGTTGCCACAGTTTGCAAGATGTTATAAAATACAATAAATAATATGGAGAAAAAAAAAAGGATCACCCACCTCTAGAATATTCATTACACAAAAGAAGAGTAGCAGGAAGGCTGGGGCAATAATTAACCGGTCTAGCAGGAGCCGACGGATCCCAGCAAGTGGGGCTGAGGAAGGGATCATCTGCTCTAGAAACAAGTAGAAGTAGTGTGACAATGGCCCTGTGAAAAGGAATCTGACAGAAAGAAAGGTTATGACTTCTCTGGAAAATCTATCTTTGAAAAAAATATTAAAAATAGCCCATAACTTGCGTAATCCCTCTTTTCCCCATGCAAGGCTATATTTTCTTTTAAATGGACATCACAATTCAGTTCAGTCTTGACACAGCAAATACACACTGCATTGGATGAGAACCAAAAACAAATATTCAGATTATTAAAGAGGCTCTGTAAAACCCATTATTAGGCTTCCTCACATACTTCCGAGACCATGTGAGTTGCAACACAGTTTGCATAATCTGTGCGGTTTTAGCATGTTGGCACTTGTTGGGATCCAGAGGGGAGGTTTACTATAAGGGCCGTATTAATGCTAATGTTTATTCACCAAATAATGGTATGCCTTTTAAAATAATTTATCAAGAGTATTTTGATTTTTGGTGGGGATTTCAATGTATCCTTAGATCCAGATTTATTAATTTGCTTAACTTAAAGGTTCATAGATCTAAGCAAAAATGTAAATCTAAATACCATTAAAAAAAAAATCAAAAATAAAATAAAAAATCAACCGGTTGTAAGCTAAGGTTCTTCGAGATCAGGACCAGTGCATTTATGTAGAGAGGAGTAGATTGCCTAAAGGTCACATGGCCCATACCAGCAATTGTACAGCAGAAGAATTTCATAATGATTACTCCTTTTTATATAATCTTCCCCAATTTGCCTCAGTAGATAATCTGGATGACCTTATCTCATCTTATCTCTCTGATAATGTTAGTACATCTCTTTCGCCAAAGACAGTAGAGTTGCTTGAGAATCTCCCAGACAGCCACTGGAGGCACTTCCTGGCTCCAAACAGACATCAAGCGACAGATTTTTCCCCATAGGAAAGCATTGATTCAATGCTTTCCTATGGGGAGGTCTAATGCATGAGCTGCATTTGCTGCACATGCACGACCGCTCGTTGCAGGATGTCCGAGGAGGCGGAGTAAGGATTTTGAACCCTTTATTTACCGCGGAAGGCTACTCAGACATCTCATAAACGTGTCTAAGGCATTCATACCTCTGAACTGTAGAATGGCATGTCCTCCATCCACTGGGCAATGGTTAAGTAGAAGTGAAGAGATCTGCTCTATGGGAAATATGAGCAAGTGACAGTGTGTATTTGTTTGGGTTTTTTTTAGAATCAAAAGATTAACGAGTATTAGGGGTTTCTGACACTCGTCCAGCGTGCTCTCCTAAACCAAAATAGGTTACTTGGTCTGGCACTATGGATCCTACAACGCTGCCTGTTTTGGGTTGCTGGATCTGTACTATTCTATTGACATATCGATTACCCTGGTTTTCCTCGAAAGACTTATTAGACACTTGTCTCCCGGTCCCATTTTGATTCATTTTCTTTCTGTAAATGTGCTGTTTTTACAGCAGACTTGAGCTCCTGTTTTGTCACCTAATGTTTTTGTTTTAAACATTGATTGACTATTTCTAATGCCTATGCATTAATGTTAACTGTGACTTTAAAACCAAATTCAAGCCATTAAAAATTAAAAAAAAATAAATAAAAAAACTATTTAATGCTAAATGGAAGGGCAGTACCAGGAGACTTCAGTCACTAATCACTTCAATGAGATGAAGCAGTTACAGTTTCCTTGGGCAATATTCAGGAAATATTTGCACCAAACTATTGTTTAGTAAGCTCTAATAATCACGATTTCAACATCATCAGTTAATCTCTACTATTTTGATTTTTTGCTTATGTTTCTCATTATGGAGAATCTAAAGACTTGTCTTTACATTGCAGAAGCAGCTTTTGCCAATTTATTACTCACCCATATACAGCAAATCGAAGAGGCCCCACCAAGTCCACCTCCTTCGAGGATTTCTGACGTTTGCGCCTTCTCTCTATACTCTGGGATAGAAGGTTTCCCAGTGCAGACAGAATCCCACTGCAAAGAGTTAGACATTCACTTATTAACACACTGTGAGTAGTCACTTGTACTAGTTACAGAACAATACTATGCACATTTAAAGCCATTTTTTATTTGCGCTTTGACACTACTTTCATCTAAACTTTGAGGGATATATAAGAAAGTGATCTGAAAAGTGACGATTAAAGGGACTCTATAGTCACCAAAACAACTTTAGCTTAAAGGATATCTTCCCCCTGCGCAAACAGTAAACCTACTGTCAAATTTTTTTTTTGCTCCAGAAGTACCTTTATTAATCTTTGCTTTGATCAGATTTTCTTCCCCTCATGTGATTGCATGTCTTGTCCCCCTTTGCTTTCTCCCTGCTTCCTGTATTTCACAAAGACTTTTCACCAATGGCCATGCTCCAGTGATTTTCTATGACAGGGGTAGGCCATCTTTTAGTAGTATACAATAAAAAATAGGAAAGGTAAAAGCGCACACAGAGCAAGGAGGTCGTTACCTGACGTATTATAGATAACTGGTAAGAAGTAACTCCTCCTTATATACAATAGGTATATACAATGTAAATACAGAATACAGAAAATACAAACACAAGACAAAACATAGTGTGGTCTGTATATAAAACACAATAAAACGGAAATTATTTTCCTGTATAGGCAACCCTACATTGTATATACCTATTGTATATAAGGAGGAGTTACTTCTTTCCAGTTATCTATAATATGTCAGGTAACGACCTCCTTGCTCTGTGTGCGCTTTTACCTTTCCTATTTTTTATTGTATTCTTTCTAAGTATATATAGTGGTGATATACTTGGGTATAGCAGCACCATTCATTCACTTTATCCTCTAGCGCCATTTTCTATATATTTTTTGTTATTTTATCTTTTAGTAGTACTGTGCCAAAAAAAAAAAAAAAAATAGAAATTCCTTGGCATGCCGATGTATTCTGCTTGTGTTAGTTATGGGTGCTGCAGTGGCTTTGTAGTGTTGTATTTGTGCGGCTGTTATATTGTATATGTTCATGAGTAGTTTGTGGTATTGTGTATGATACCCTCAATCTGGGTTGCGTATGGGGGCAGTCTGTGAAATTGTTTGGTATAATATGTTACATTGTGTGTTTGGTAGTTTGTGTATGTGTGGGACTGCCTGTGCTATTGTATGTGAGAGCCTACTTGTGGGGTTGAGTGCATGTATGCAGATTGTCAGAAGTATTGTGTTTGTGTGGAATGTGTGTGGGCTGTTGTGAGGGAGGCTTATTTTGCAGTACTGTGTATATGTAGCAGTGTGGGTTGCTTCCATTGGGCTCAGTGTGGACCGTGCAAACCAGGGGCAGTTGCTGCAATAGCTGATGTTGGCTGCTCTACTCTAGTTATCCGAGATCACTTCCTCTAACTACTGCAATGCGGAAATTAAGGATTGTCCCTCACCACCTGCAATTACAGTTCGGATATCGGATGTCTCACTGAGACTCCTGATAGGACAGAAGCTGTTTGGCTGTGGCAACCTTAAGTGCCATAGGTTGCTGATCCCTGCTCTCTGAGAATCAGTAATCACAATGCCTACCCAAGAAGTACTTAACCTAAGTTACACTATAAATACAGCATTTAGACACTAGAACTTACAAACCAAATTAGGTATCATATAGTGTCATATGTTAATTATAAATAAATATAAAGAGACAAACTCATAAATACCAATAGAGTTTTGTGTTATCTATATCGCTTTCTATCTGATTATTTATATACATATACATATATATATATATATATATATATATATATATATATTTATTTATTAACAGGGACTGGCAGGGAACAGGTTAACAGTGGGTAGTGATTATTCAGATCCACAGTTAAGCCTGTTTTATCATACCTATAAAATGTGCACTTTCCTCATATGATAGAATCAGATTTAACCCATTCTTGACATCACTAATGACACAAGTTGCACCACTGGCAGGTCTCTAGGTCTGTCCTGCTTCCATATCTACCAAAAGTTGGAAGTTATGCTATAGTTAGGGTTGGAGAATAGCCCCCCCACGTTCCCCCAGCTATTTCAAAATTCAGATCTAATTTTGCTACATCCAGGAGTTTGCTGAATAAACACTGAACGGTACTTCTTCACATTTTTGGATTTTATAGCTTAAACTTTCAGCTGTCATTTTTTGTTTTTATTTACCAGACTGGTAAAGCCTGGGTGAGGAATTGCAAAACGCAGTCTCTATAGCACTAGTTAGTGAATTGTTCAAATACCCCAAACAACATTTTTAACTGGGTGAAGAATTGCCAGTCACAATATGTCCACCACCTTCCTTGCCAGCCAGGACTCTCCAACCATGGATCCATCCAGGGCTTTGATCCAATCCCGCAGCGAACACAGGCTAATGAGCGTGGCTATCCTCAAGAATAACACTCACTGACTAACATTCGGCTGTATCAAGAGAATAGAGTTGCGTGGCGGTTGCCGTGGTAACACATTTCTCTATAGCTTTGGATCTCCGGTCTGAGGAAGGGTTAGGGTTACGCTGGGGTCTTGTGTGCTTTGGCGGCTGAAGCTCTGTGATCTTATGTCACCGCGACCGCTGCAGAACTAGAGTCCCGGTAACTGGAACCGGCAGCAGGAGAAGGAGCAGTGACGGCACGGGGACAGCGGCTCATGGTATAAACTCGCTTCTCATTCCTCGCCCGTGTATTGTGATCTCTCACACTTCTGGTACTTGGAAATTGTGCCCTCTCATACTGATGGCAACTAAAAGGCATTGTGCCCTCTCATAAAGGGGGAAAGGGGAAGGGTGTAATTTTCAGCAGATTTGACCTATTTTTTGGCCGAAATTAGATAGGCTAGTAGTGAGGTTGTCTGATGGGGAAGAAATTAACAGTGGGTAGTGAGGTTGTCTGACAGAGGGGGTCAACAGTGGTAGTGAATTTGGCTGGCAGGGAAGGGGTCAACAATGGGTAGAGCGGTTGGACTAGCAGGGAAGGGGTTAACAGTAAGTAGGGATGTTGGCTGACAGAGACAGGCAAGGAATGAGTTAACAGTGGGTAGGGAGATTGGATAGCAGTGAAGGCATTAACAGTGAGTAGTGAGGTTGTCTGACAGGGAAGGGGTTAACAGTGAGTAGGGAGGTTTGCGGAAAGGGCCTGGAGGAAAATCTATTACTTGCATTACATGCAGAGAGGGCTCTAGCTGCAGTGTAATCTGCGCTGTGAGCATTCCTTACAAACAGAGAAGACATGCCTCTATTTTCATTGGCTGCAAAAGGTACTTTTCTTTCAAATGTGAGATGGGGTGGCTAAGGAGGCTGGCTTACACTGCTGAAAACAGTAAAACATTTTACAGCATTGCAGGAAACTACACAGATTTGAAAGAAAATAAACTAACCACAGGTATTTTAAGCTTATTAGCTTTCATTTAAACTTTACTTGTTTAGCTGCCTGGAGTGTCCCTTTAATTAAGTTTTAGTGTATAGATAATGGCCCTGCAGTTTTCCTGCTCAATTCTCTGCCACTTAGGAGTTAAATCACGTTAATCTAAAGTTCTTTTGATAACTATAGTGTCCCTGATGATGGTAAATGCCATCATAAATTTGATCGTAATTATTAAAAGGAGTTATAAAAATGTGTTGTTTTTTTAATAGTAGATTTCAATACTGTGACCGAGCTCCAGTGCTCCGACCTAGTACCTTCGCCAAGGCCGCTTCCTTGTAGCTATCCAAGGCTTGACTGGAATCACTGAGGGCCTTGTACACCCTGGACCAGGCTACTAGGATTATAGCCCTGGACACCTTTTCATCAGCAGACCAGACAACACTTGTTAGAGGTTAAAACAACAACTCCCTTTAATGAACACAGCACATATACTTATGCCCCAAACACCCTCATTTACATACAATAGAGCACTATAGTACATGGAAGGGTGAGGTCCACACAATCGCAAGGGCTGTCTTCCTTCCCCAGTGATGGCGACTACTGTCACAAATACTTTTTTGCAGAAATTTCCATTTCAAAAGAATGACAAACTTACAGGGAGTTATTTACTAAAAAGTGAGAATGTTATGTGAATTTCAATTTGAAGGACAGAGTAGCTGAAATGAAAGCATAGCTGACGTAAATAGTTTTTCCAGCTCAGCTATTTTGACCTTAAAGGACCATTATAGGCACCCAGACCACTTCAGCTCAATTAAGTGGTCTGGGTGCCAGGTCCCCCAGGTTTTAACCCTGCAGCTGTAAACACTAGGGTTAATCCAGCCTCTAGTGGCTGTCTCACTGACAGCTTCCACGCTTCTCATTGTGAAAATCACAGTGAGAAGACACTTGTAAAATCTGGTTGGAATCGTCACTGTTAAATCTTCTTAATTTCTTCTTGTCTTCAGTTGATTGATATATATACACGTCTTTTTGTATATATAGTCTTGGGCCAAATGCTCTCCACAATAATATATGTCTATATTATTGAAAAGTACTAATACGCAATCTGACTTACGGTTTCTTCAAGTTTATTCTTAGTTACGGATACATAATAAAACAACAAAGGATGTTACCGGATAATGGACATTCAACAGCAGATGGTAATTGCTGGACTTCTTTACATCGAGAGAGAGCCAAGACAGAGAGCGGCCTCGTGTCTCTTTGTTCAGTTACTATATAGAAGTGCCCATACTGACGTTAGAGCATAACTCAAGCCATATAAGGACAAGACCCCCAAATCCACATTCCAGAGCTCTCGGACAAAGAAAGCCTTGTGACTTATACCATCTGTTACTTATGTCAATCCACACATCCATATATAATCAATAGAAACATAGAATATGCAATATTCTACAACACTGGACGTCCATAGGAAAGCATTGAGAAATGCTTTCCTATGGACTGTCTGAATGCGCGCATGGCTCTTGCCGCGCATGCACCATTCAGCGCTGACGTCAGGAGGAGGAGGAGGAGAGTTCCCCAGCGCAGAGGGAGCTCGGCGCTGGAGAAAGGCAAGTGTTTAACCCCTTCAGCCCCCTTGAGCCCAGTGGGAGTGGGACCCTGAGGGCGGGGGGAACCTAAAGACCCTATAGTGCCAGGAAAACGATTTTGTTTTCCTGGCACTATAGTGTACCTTTAAATGTAGAATTCACTTTGAATTTTCATTTCAGTTAATAACCCTGTTTGAGTATCAGGAAAAAGAGTAGGGAAAGGCAACTCTTTACTGTCAGAAAGGTGGCTGAAAATTCATAAACTTTGTGTTGCATATTTTAAAAAAAATGATGGTTAGCTGTGCTGTTCACGATCTGCTTATCTCCATTGTATAAAATTACTCACATATATCCAATAGGAAACAAAACATTAGCAGCTCAAGAATGCAAAAGATTTAAAGGGACACTATAGGTACCCATAGCACTTCATTACATTGAAGTATTATGGCTGCAGTGTAGGGATGCACCGAAATGGAAATTCTAGGCCGAAACCGAAAATTCAGGATGCCCTTGGCCGAAAACTACTTTTTTTTATCCAAATTATTTAAAAATAGTAAGTATATGACTTCAAACAAGCTTGATTGACAGCTCAGTAAGTTCCTGCTGAGGCTGATGCTAGCCAATCCTGCTGAGGCTGTGCCCCCTATAAGACTGCTCTCCATCCAGCCTGTGCCCGGGGCTGTCAGTGGCTCTCAGTCAATGCAGGCGGATCTTACAGTTCTCAAATGTCTGCAGATGGTGCGGCTGAGCACACTGTCCTGTTGCAGAGCTTGTGGTTGTGGCTCCTGCGCAGATCTGTGCGGCCGCAGTCCGTCCTGCAGCGGCCGCCATGGCCCCGTTCTCCTACTCGTCCCCACTGCTGTTCGCCCACTTGTTCTTCCTCCCCTTGCTGTTCTTCACGTTTTGGCATGGCGGGCGGGATCGTCACTGGGTGCAATCAGGTGCTCGGTCTGGCGGCCTCCATGGTGCCCCAGCCACAGTGCTGGGAGAGAGCGAGCGAACAATGAGCGGCCTGGGCGGCCAAGCTCAGCACACACAGGGGGGCCCGCAGACCAGTCACCGTGCTATGTGGCCCCTGCAGCCGCAGCCCGGGGAGCACTGCTATCGAGGTCCCAGCCAAGGTAGAAGGCATGTCTTGTTTTAAATCCTCTGAAAGCAGCCGCGGACTGGTTCACTCGTAACATCAGCCTCCACGTGCACCAAGACAGACTGCAGGACCGTACGTGTAATTTTCAGCAGATTTGACCCATTTTCGGCCCAAAATTTCAGCAACCACGTAAAACACTGCAGACCTTAAAGTGCCATTGTCATGGCTGCATCCATTTTTCTTTTTTAATCTCTCTCCTGAATCCTCTACACCTGGTCTCTCCAATTAGCCCCAAAATGTATCTAGGTCCACCATTTCATCTTTTTATTTATTTTTTAAAATTTATTTCTTCTCCAGATCTATTTCCAAGTGTCGTCAACTTATTGTTCCTGGAAATAATGTTTACTGTATCTTCTTCATCTGCCCACACTACCTTGCGCTGCCAAATTCCCACTATACAGGACATTCGGAAAGGGTGAAAGGATTCAATGCGAGAATACAGAGGAAATGTGAGTATTCTGGGAAAGATTTCCTAGACACAACAAGTGTAGTTTACTTAAGATGCACACAGAGTCTAAGAAAAGCAAGTGTAGGAAAAAGTTAGTTAGAAGTAGAAAAAAAAAAAAAAAGGGAAAAAGAAAAAGGAGTAGGAAAGAAAAAGGGAAGAGAAGGCACTTGGGAAAAGGAACGTACAGCACGTCAGTGGCGCTTTAAAAGGGACACTTCAGTGCGAGGAAAACAATCCGTTTTCCTGGCACTGCAGGTCCCCTCTTCCTCCCACCTCCCAATCCCCGGTTGCTGAAGGAGTGAAAACCCCTCAGTCACTTACCTGAGGCCCACGCTGATGTCCCTCGGCAGTGGTTTCGGGTTGCCACCGCTCCTCCTCATTATGTCGGCTGGTGGGCGAGACTGATCCTGGCCGCGGAGACCTAATGCGCATGCGCGGCAATGCGGGCATGTGCATTAGAGCTCTCCATAGGAAAGCATTAAAAATGCTTTTCACTGCTTTCCTATGGGGAATTGAGCAACGCTGGAGGTCCTCACATAGCGTGAGGACGTCCAGCGACATTGTAGCACAGGTTTTCTGTGCTATGGACCAAGAAGAGTTAACCCTGCAAGGTAATTATTGCAGTTTATAAAAAAACTGCAATAATTACACTTGCATGGTCAAGGGTAGTGGGAGTTGGCACCCAGACCACTCCAATGGGTAGAAGTGGTCTGGGTGCCTTGAGTGTCCCTTTAAGGGCCATCTCACTGTCTACCATGTAGTATTAGAAAAATGTTCCAATACTACTTTTTGCAAAAAACAAACCCACAACGCACATTCCCAAGTTTTAGAACTGGTAAAGATATGCCTTAAAATAATTGTTTATTCTTTGGTGATTTGTTTTTGTCTCAGTTATATGTAGAGATGTCGCGAACCGTTCGCGAACTTCCCGCGAACGGCTCGCCACAAACCGTTCTCGGCGAGCTCCGGTCAGCTGACACATCCCGGCCAATCTCCAGCAGACTTCAACATGGATGCTGTCCAGGAGGTGGGAGGGTGTGGGAGGGAGGGTGGGTCTGCTGGAGATTGGCCGGGATGTGTCAGCTGACCGGAGCTCGCCACGAACCGTAGCGAGCTGTTCGCGGGAAGTTCGCGAACGGTTCGCGACATCTCTAGTTATATATTTGTAACTTCTCTCCAAATATCTGTTCTTCTAAATGAATTCAAGTGGATTTAATTTGTAATGCGCTCCACATTACAAAAAGGTTTTGCTTCACATAAATTCCTTAAATCTTCCACTTGGAGTTTTGTCTTCATGGACACCATGGCAACACACTTTTGTACAGTCTCGTCTTTCAACAGGAAAACATGCTTTGTCAAACCAAATTTGCATGCATTTGTTGCAGTGAAGCCCACCACCCCACCCCCATTGAACAAGCAAGCTATTCAACATGGACAGTACGGACTTTGCCAAGTGGACTCTAACCCTAGATTTTAGCTGTAGTAAAAAAGTAACTTTTTGCAATGGAATGTATGCAAATCCTTCTTTTTAGTAGGTAATTATTCCAACTACCCCATAAAGGCATACCATTTCTTAAAGAAGACACCCTAGGGTATTTCAAAAGTCATATTTTGAACCTTAGCGTGAAATCATATTTCCTCTAGCTTGTACCAAGTGTAGTTAGATAAGCATTTTTTCTGCCTTTTTAAACACACAGTGAGTTTGTACTGTATATTTTGCAAACCTTATGTGTGCTACGGCTATATAATACTTCCTATCTTGCTCAGCTATGTCATCTGAGCACAGCAATACCCCCATATGTACCTTTGCCAGGTATATGTGGACATTGAAGGGGCACATTTGAATCACAGCCATTTAAGTTTTTTCAAACTTTGAATTTTTACACTGTGTCCATACCCCACTTTGGAGTTTTAGGTTGATTATTCCAACTACTCTACAAAGGCATACCATTTCTTAAAGAAGAAACACGAGGATATTTCAAATGGTATATTTTGAACCTTTGCGTGAAGTCATTTCTCTGCTAGCTTGTACCAAGTGTAGTGGTAATAAGCATTTTTTATGCCTTTTTGACACACACAATGAGTTTGTAATATATATTTTGCAAACCTTATGTGTGCTACAGCAGTATAATACATCATATTGTTGCTCAGCTATGTCATCTGAGTACAACAATACCCCCGTATGTTTTTACTGTGCCCCACTTTGGACTTTTTTTTTTTTTTTAAGTAGGTTGTGTTTTCCCAATTACTTCACAAAGGCATACCATTTCCTAAAAAAAATACGGGGGTATACGCTGTAGAACATGTGATCGCTCGGACTCAGAGCGATGACATAGGCTGAATCAGTGAAACTGTTTTCCGTCCAGCGTCCTTAAGGGGTTAAACACTGGAGGGTCAACTTGGCCTTGTGCTTAGAGTCATTGCCATGCTGGAAAGTCCAAGAGCATCCCATGCGCAGCCTTCATGCAGAAGAATGCAAATTATCTGCAAGTATTTCCTGATAACATGCTGCATTGATTTTGCCATTAATTTTCACAAGATTCCATGTGCCTTTAGAGCTCACACCCCTCCCAAAACATCAGTGAGCCACCACCATGCTTCACAGTGGAGATGGTATTCTTTTCACTATAGGCTTTGTTGATCCGGCCCCAAACATAGCGCTTATGGTTGTGACCATAAAGCTATATTTTGGTCTTGTCACTCCAAATTACAGTGTGACAGAAGCTGGGAGGCGTGTGAAGGTGTTGTCGGTCATATTGTACCCAGGCTTTTTTTTGGCATTGGCACAGTAAAGGCTTCTTTCTGGCAACTTGACCATGCAGTATTGTGGTATTGTACTCCTTGAAACAACCACACGTCTTTTGTCCAGAGCAGCCTGTATGTCTCTTGAGGTTATCTGTGGGTTTTTCTTTGTATCTCGAACAAGTCTTCTGCCAGTTGTGGCTGAAATCTTTCTTGATCTACCTGACCTTGGCTTGGTATCAAGAGATCCCTGAATTTTCCACTTCTTAATAAGCGATTGAACAGTACTGACTGGCATTTTCAAGGCTTTAGATATCTTTTTATATCCTTTTCCATATTTATAAAGTTCCATTACCTTGTTACGCAGGTCTTTTGACAGTTATTTTCTGCTCCCCATGGCTCAGTACATCCACGTGAGAGCTAACAATCTCATTGACTATACACAGACACCAATTGCAATTTAAAGAGCCACAGGTGTGGAAAATTAACCTTTAATGGCTCATTTATATTTTCAAAACGAATGCTAAAATGTTACAACTTCTCCCAGGGCATGCAAACTTTTAAACACAACTCATTACTTTCAGCCATGTTTTCGTCCAAAAGAGAAGAAATTAAAAAAAATAAAAAATAAAAAAAATAAAAAAATGCTCCTACTCTATTTTTCAAGAATTTCCCCCTGAAAATAAATCATTCCAGTGGTTACACTGCATGCTCTCTAAAAGAGCTATCTCCGGACACCCTGTCAGATACTACAGGCATTAAAACAAGACTTTATGAAATCAGAATACTAAAGCATGTTAACATGCCTTAGAGTGGCCGGATTTAACGCTATATAGAATATTAAAAGACAAACCAAGATCAGAGAGACGGAGACTAACAAATGAGTAGACAAGCCAAAGGTCAAGGACAACAGAATAAAGAATAATCAGAATACAAGACAGTGACAGACAGCGTACATACAACTACCGAAACCGCTGTTTTGGATAACCACAACAGGGCACAATATTAGAGCACTAGGAGGGCATTGATTGGCTAGTTGTGGTCATTTGATGCCAGAATATGCATGCGCGTCATCATTCAAGGCAGAGCCATATAATGGTTCCTATGAGCAGTGGCTGGGATCAGCTAGGATGCTGGAGGAGAGAGCGGCTACAGAGACGGCAGACAAAAGGTGACCTTACACTGGAATGAAACATACAGTAGAGTGCCTGGCAGGCATTGTGACAACAGTTTTGGTGTATAGATCATATCCCTGCAGTCTCCTTGCTCAATTCTCTGTCAAAATCACTTTGTCTCTGTTGATGCGTCCCTAGCCACGCTTCCACTGGCTGTGACTGAAAAATAATTGTTTCATTTTCAACCATGTTAAATTAGAGGTTTTTACCTACTGCTCTGATAATTTAACTTTAGTCACACACATGAGGTTCCTGCAAAGTCTAGCAAGCCATTAACAGAGGAGGAGTTACAAAAAAATAAAAAGTCCACAAACCAAACAAAATTGAATTTAAGTGTAATGTGCAATAAAGGAAGTTTAAACATTAGATCTCTCTTTACAGGAAGTGTTTAGGAAAGCTGTGTAAGTCACATGCAAGGAGGCGTGACTAAAGCTGCTTAAACAAATTATTATTTTATTAAATTCCATAGCGCTGTACAAATGCGATTTAACAAAAAAAATAAGAAAAGGCAGATAATTAAACAGTGAGGCTGCAGGGTAGTGATCTATACACTAAAACTGCTTCATTAAGCTAAGGTTGTTCAGGGGAGTATAGTGTCCCTTTAATGCTGCTCGGAGGATGAGCGCTGTGTGTGTGTGTTCCCTGCGGTTACCTGGTCACTGATTTGGTGACTATCGGCCGCTCCCGCAGTAGCCGCAGGTAGGTCCGCAGTAGCAGTGCAGGTAGCGGCTCCGCCCGCCGCTCAGACACAACTTTAGAAGCCACGGGCATGTTCCCAGCTCTCACACTGACAGGTGCTCGCACCGCGCTCCTCCTACAGGTTGGCCGCAACGCCCCCACGAAGTGACGTCATTTACATGGGACGGTCGCATAGCTCCGGCATCTTGTCAATCTGCGCCTTAACACGAGCGCCGATTCCTTGTCCGTGTCGGTGACAGGCTCTGCCACGTGACCGGCTATTAACCCTCGCAGCTTCCATTAAAGTTTATCTGACTGTCTCTACTGTGTCAGAGGGCGAACACGGTGAAGGGGAGGGTGCTGGGCGGGGCTTGGAACTCTCCTGCGGATGGCGGGCATTGATTGGCTGTAGGGCAGGCTGTGGGCGGGGCTGGGAGCGGGTGGTGGCGGGAGTCTGTTGGCGCGGGAATCGTACAGTCCGGGCAGTCATGGTGTTGCAGAACAGCGGCCGACTGAAGGCGGGAGACCGGGGGGACCGGGACAACCAGCAGTAAGTGGCCGCTCTCACACACGGGGTGAAAGAGAGTGAGTAGGGCAGGAATAGCTGGACTCGGGCACCCCAGCTGTTATGTGTTACTTACACACGCCTTGTATTATGGGAAATGTAGTCCAGTAACAGCTGAAGTGCCCTAGTGTTAGCAGTTCTGATCTCCACTCACTGTTGTTGGTGCTAATGCTGGGGAGTTCATCATGCTCGTGGTTAAATGTGGTTAGTGGGGTTTAGTAAACAAACCTTGATTTTTAGATAAATGAGATCCCAAGGGCAAAATTGGGCTAAAACAGCAGATTTGGAAAATATCCATCTCAAACAACAATCCGGCACCAAAATGAAGTTGTTATGGTGCTAGGATGCCCCTGGAGCCGGCTCAACCACTCACAAATGGAATAAAGGATCACTATAGTGTCAGAAAAACAAACAAGTTTTCCTGACACTATATAATCCTTGGGTGTCCCCCTCCCGTGGTGCTGAAGGGGTTAAAAGACTTTCAGCCACTTTCCTTAATCCAGCGCCAAGTTCCCTCAGCGCTGGTGACCTCTTCTCCCCCGCCGTCGTCAGCTCCTGAGTGGAGTTGAATGTGCATGCGCGGCAAGAGCCACGCTTGCCTTCTAACAGTCCATTGGAAAGCATTTCTCAATGCTTTCCTATGGACGTTCTGCACGCTCTAGCGGCTCTGAAACTGTTTACATCTGCAGGGTTAAAACCTGGAGGACCTGGCACCCAGGCCACTTAATTGAGCTTAAGTGATCTGGGTCACTATAGTGTCCCTGGGTGCCTATAGTGGTCCTTTAAAAGGCCACTACAGCTCACTAAAGTGCTCTGGGTGCAGTGTCCCAGTCCCACTTAGTCCTGCAATGTAAGTCATTGCAGCTTTTGAGAAACTGCACTAATTACCTTGCAGGACTAAGACTGCCTCTAGTGACTGTCAATCAGACAGCCACTTGATGCACTTCCTGGTGACTGACTGACTTTTGGTCTCATAACTGACGCTGGACTTCCTCACGGTTTGCACGAGGACAGCCAGCGTCAGTAAAATTCCCATAGGAAGCATTGAAGCAATGCATTCCAATCGGGAGGACCCAATGTGCTCGCTCTGCATGCGCATTATCCCTCCTGGGTTGGAGGAATTGGAATGCCGAGGGACATTAGTTTTAGAATTGGGTAAGTCAGTCGTGTGCCAAGCCTCTTTTTCATCGTCCTATCTTCGTGATGTTGTTCCGAGACTGGATGAATGCAAAATCCCACAGCACAGGGAGAACGTTGCGTTCCAAGCCTCTATCTTCCTTTCTTCCGGATTCTTCTGTGACAAGGGGATTATAGTCACTATACATCCGTCGCGTCACTTCCGGAAGTTCCGTGAGGTGTTGTGGTCCTGAAAGCTCTTCCGTTGTATATCTTTGTTTCCATAGTGATGTATACATGACATGAGTCTGTAATGATTGCTTGTAACAAGAGAAATTTAAAGAGATTCATAAACAATATGTTATTGTAACCCTTCTTGTAACCATTGTATAAATACTGCATTAATTCAGCAAATATGATTCAAGTCCCATTATGTTTAGGCTTGTATCATCATTATTATTGAAGGCTTCTAGGTTAAGTGTAAAAATAAATCTTGTGATGAATGTATTAAAGATTGAAAATTAGATCCCTTTTTTTTTTTTTTTTTTTTTAAAGGAAAAAGATTAAAAAATTATCTGAACTATAAAAAAGCAGCTTAAAATAGGAATTAATAATAGTAAATGGTACATTATTCTAATAATAAAGTGGGTATTTATTAGAAAGCTATATAAAAAAGTTATATCAAAGGGAAAACCTATAGATAAGTTCTAAAAAATCTATAGATTACAAAAAATTATGTATTTCAAATTCATGATTTAAGCCATGGGGATAAGAGGGTTTCATTTTAAAATCCATTCTATCTCCTTTTCCCTTAATTTTTGGTTAAACTTCCCTCCTCTCCATTCCTGTGAAATTTTATTAAAGGACCACTATAGTGCCCTGAGGGTGCCCCCACCCTCAGGGTCCCCCTCCCGCCGGGCTCTGGGGTGTGGGCTTTCTCCAGCGCCGGGCGGGGAGCTCTCCTCCCTCTTCTCCTCTTCGGCTGAATGCCCATGCGCGGCAGGAGCCGCGTGCGCATTCAGCCAGTCCATAGGAAAGCATTCACAATGCCTTCCTATGGACGCTGGCGTCTTCTCACTGTGATTTTCACAGTGAGAAGCACGCAAGCGCCTCTAGCGGCTGTCAATGAAACAGCCACTAGTGCCTGGATTAACCCATTTATAAACATATGTTTATAGAAATAAGGGTTAACCCTAGCTGGACCTGGCACCCAGACCACTTCATTAAGCTGAAGTGGTCTGGGTGCCTATAGTGGTCCTTTAATTCCCATAAAATGCATCCCATTCAGATGTTGACTGTGGTAACGTTTAAAATGAGCTGATACTCTATGGTCAAAACCTTTTAATATATTGCGTATATGTTCCTCTATACGTGTACATAGATGTCTTGTTGTTTTTCCCACATAATTAAGACCACGGGGACACCTTAAGAGATAAAACCACCTTAATGGTGGGTTTTGCACACTATAGGGTCAGGAATACGTATTTGTGTTCCTGACTCTATAGTGTTCCTTTAAGTATTCTACTGTGGTTTCCTGTTCTCTTACAGGCTAGGCATTGTCCGCAGCCATGAAAACCTTTCTGCATACCTCAGAGTGTTTCCTTCTTTTCTGTTTTTATATAGCTTCTAGTTAAGCAACGTCTTGGGTTACTTACCCCTCTATATACAAATGTTGGTTTTGAGAGTTGGATACATTTTTTTTTAAATTCTTTATTGTTTCTGTGCATGAAAATTACAAGCATGTGTGATGTGCCACAACAGCACGCATATGTTAATCATCGAAAAATCTCAATTTGGCACTAGAAAACTGCATTTTTTTTTTTTTAAATCATCATTTTGGTACAAGCTAGACACATTTTGTAGGCATATAGTGAAACAAGGACACAAACCTATGTCGGTGCACAATGATGAAACATGCTAAGCTGTAAGTGCTCTAACTAAAAGCATGGGAGTGATTAGATGTGTATGCACGTTAAGGTGTAACAGATGTTGACTATACACTATAGTCACCTGAACAACTTTAGCTTAATGAAGCAGTTTTGGTGAATAGAACATGCCCCTGCAGCCTCACTGCTCAATCCTCTGCCATTTAGGAGTTAAATCCCTTTGTTTATGAACCCTAGTCACACCTCCCTGCATGTGACTTGCACAGCCTTCCATAAACACTTCCTATAAAGAGAACCCTATTTAGGCTTTCTTTATTGCAAGGTCTGTTTAAGATTTTCTTATCCCCTGCTATGTTAATAGCTTGCTAGACCCTGCAAGAGCCTCCTGTATGTGATTAAAGTTACATTTAGAGATTGAGATACAATTATTTAAGGTAAATTACATATGTTTGAAAGTGAAACCAGTTTTTTTTTCATGCAGGCTCTGTCAATCATAGCCAGGGGAGGTGTGGCTAGGGCTGCATAAACAGAAACAAAGTGATTTAACTCCTAAATGACAGCGAATTGAGCAGTGAAATTGCAGGAGAATGATCTATACACTAAAACTGCTTTATTTAGGTGACTATAGTGTTCCTTTAAACAACAGTGGCAATGTAGGTATGAGCTAAGTTCACTCAGGGAACCACTGGGTCACGCTTGTCTACAGTGGCACAAAGCTTAATCAAGGCATGGTGCACAAAAAGTGCAAGGGGAGTAGGAATGTGAAGGTATTATTACAGCACAAGGTATACTCCTCATTGCGCCCGCCGAAAACATGCTCTCAGTTCACAGTGCAGGGCATGTGCGCTGTGAGGCATAGTGTTGGGTGCTTCATCCTATGCCCAGTGCAGGAATGTCTCGAAGTTTGGCATTAGGGGCCTCTTCAATGGCGCCTCTGTGTTGGGATTCAGCTCCGTCAATAGACGGTGGGGTGGACCACTGCCAAGCGACCCAGTTGTCGGCTATGGCCGTAAAGGGCAGAGGTATGCCGTGTTGGACTCTGATTCTTGGGTGAGGTGAGGTGCGTGATTGTGGGGCTTGTTTAGGAATCCTGCTCCTGCGTGTGTGGGAGCGAGTGCTTGTGCCCGTACACCATGGCGCCGTTTCCCACCTTGTTGATCGATTGTGTCTGCGCAGCCGGATAGCTGCTCTGGGGGCTTGCGGCAGGGGATAACTGCTCTGGGGGCTTGCGGTGACTGGGCGAATCCATGGAACCACCGCTCTCACCGCTTGATAGTGAGTCGCTCTGCCGCTTGATAGCCGGTGAAAAGCCACCATGGGCTGCATTGGTGGCTGGGTGCTTGTGCTGTTTGACTTAGGCCTTTGCTTGGCCGCCATCTTGGCTGTGCCTCGACGGTGCAGTACCCCTGTAGGCTGTATGGCCAGTAAATTATCAGGTAAATTCATCCTCAGTGGGGACTGGGATAACTCTCAATGGTCCAAAAGGAGGGGGGCAGTAGTGTTTGCCGAGTCACTCCGAGGTCGGGGAAAGCGGCCGTCTCATCCTGGCTCCAACTCTGGTAGGTCGCACCTGGCGTTCGGAGTTGTATCTCTCGCTTCGGTGGTGCACCCTAGTATGCCTGAGGGCTTCGTAGCCGACGCTATTTCTCCAGTTTTTGCCCGCCGGGCAGGAGCTCATATAACCCATGTCCACTCCGCTTGAAGTCAATTTTGTTTAACACGTGAGTATTGTTCTATATCCGTGCAGTTTCTTCTTATTCCTAGAAACTGTCCTCTAGGAGAATTTTCCAGCCATGATGAGAAATTACAACTTTCTCTCTCAATGAAGCTGTTTGCATCCACTGCTTTAAAATGTTTTTTTAGTTTTTATTGTACCTTGATCTATAAATATAGTTAAACTCAGGAATACCACTTTTGCTCTAGTCACTTGTTAATTTTATTCCCAATGTGTTATTTAAAAATTCTGAAAAGTTATTTGGTTCTATTTCTTCTCCCTTCCAAAAGATTTCATCAATGTATCTGCCATAAGTAACCATGTTTTGTTCCCAGCTATGAGCATTGTATATAAAATTATTTTCTTAATATGCCATAAAAAGATTGGCATAGCTCAGAGCAAACTTGGTACCCATGGCATTACCTTTTTATTTGCATATAAAATTCTTCTTTAAACCCCCCAAAAAAATATTATTAAGAATAAATTAAATACCTTCTAAAATGAATTTAGTTTGGAGGGCTAAAAATGCAGAATAATTTTTTTTTTTTTTTTTTTTAACCAGCTGCTTCACAGCCATGTTGGTGAGGTATATTGTTGTATCGGGCTGCGACGTTATTTAAAATGTCTAATCCTTTATTTAAAAACTCTTAAAATTAATATGAATTTTTTTTTTTTTTTTTTATTAGTTGTTGTTGTTTTTTTTTATTTCTTACACGTATTTAAATCTGATAAAATATTATTAGCATCTTAGTTGTAAAATTCTTTGAACATTAAAACAATTACACCCCTTTTATCTGCTGGTTTTATCACTAGATCTGTATCTTGCCATTATTTGCCCAGCCGGCTGCTTTAGGTAAAAGGCTGACAAATCCCAGGCGCCAGGGCAAAATTTCTAGTCGACCTGGCGCCTGAGATTTGTCGATCCTTGGAGTAGAGTAAATATGTACTCCGTGTATTCACAATGTGTTCACCAAAGAACAGAAAGGGTTGTTTGGCATTTTCAAAGGCTGCAGGTATCCTATTAACAGTTGTGTAAGAGAGTATAAATGTTCTTATTTTATCTATCTTCAGAGATGATGCTTCAGCAAGTTCAGCTGCCAAGAGATTGGAGCGCAGTCTGTGGACGGATAAGATTGATGTTCAGTATGGCTTTGAAAGAATTCGGGAACCAGGAGAGAAGACAGGCTGGCTTATTAACATGCATCCGGTCGGTGCCAGCCCTATTCTTCTTTTATCCTTCCCCAAATTTAGAATACACTTTGCTCTTATACAATGTAGTTGGCAGTTACATTTGTGCTGACAGTGAAACAGAGTGTTGAAATTTGATTTTAAAATGCTACTTGTTCCAGTGTTCATATAGGTCACATTTGAAGGCCCAACCAGTATTCTCATTACTAAGTTCACCTTTAGCTTTTTACAGAACTTCCAGTTCAGGGCTGGCTTTGCCATACACTGCTAATTTCTGTTAGGTTTGTAAAACTTGGGTAAATATTTGTGAACACTTTTTCAGCCTTCCAAAGTAGGTAAGAATTTGAAAGGTAATGATTAGTTCTTGATCACCAGCTGTTATTTGTATGTTTACTCATGCTTATTGTTTCTGTATTCTACAGAATGAAATTCTGGATGAGGATAAGCGTTTGATTAGTGCTGTGGATTATTATTTCATACAGGAGGATGGGAGTCGGTTCAAGGTGAGAGTTGAGGCTGTGTTCACAATAGCTAATTTTCAGTATACTTAGATTTATTGATTTTCTTGCCTCTCTCTTTAATAACTTATTGCTATTTCTAATATGTGCAGGTTTAAATTTATGCAGTCTTTATTAGGAAGTGTATGAGCTTTGCTAATATGTACTTGTTCCCTGCAGGTGGCACTGCCATACAAGCCTTATTTCTACATTGCCACTAAAAAGGTAGGGATATGTTTGGGGGATCTTTTGCCTTCATTTATAGCATTTTACAGTCATGACATTGTGTGGCTTGTTTTGTTTTACAGGGATGTGAAAGAGAGGTATCATCTTTTCTTTCCAAAAAGTTCCAAGGAAAGCTGGCAAAACTGGAGACTGTACTGAAAGAAGACCTTGATTTGGTTAGTAACTGGCTCTGGTTCTGATTCTCATTTACATTAAGGGTATAAATGTGTGTATCCCCTTGATCACCCAAGCAGTTTTCATTCCTCACTTTATTTAGATTAATATTTAAAGCTTTTTTTATACTGGTTTATTGTACAGTAATGCATAAAAAAGGTGATCTGGTTACCACTAATAACAACTTTAAAGTGTTTATGGTACCTACTGTCCATGGGCACTGTGTTCTACTTCCCTGTTAAAATCTTAGCTTACCGTTTCTAAAGGATGCAGAGTCTGTCAGGACTTGCAGCCCAGCCCCCAACGACTGTGTGGCAGAGATAGTGAGTTGATCCTCCTTATGCCATAACGAGTAATACCAGACTGTGATAGGCTGAGAACATCAGCTTATGTTCCAACTTCACTTCCTGCTTTCCCTATCTGTGGGCATAGGCAGTGATTGGTTGAGAGGTCAAACTTATTAGTCCCTGGTGAAGTACTAAGGAATTGTGCATCACTGTGAAAAAGTAAGATAGCGGTTTGACAGGGATGTGGGAGATGGTACCCCCTGACTCCAGACACCATAACAACTTTAACTAGTTGATGTGGTTATGGTGCCTACAATATACATTTTAAGGAAGAAGCTAGTTGCAAAGATAATCTTTAATTCACTTTTTGTACTGCATGATATTGTCTGTCACTTTTACTGTGCCTGTGGCCCAATTTCCCTGTGTTCACCCTATGATCAGTAGGGATTTGTAAGTGACATGTTATATACGCTGTGCATGAAGTGTTGCACTTTGCTGTTTTTTGTTTTTTTTGTTTGTTTGGTTTTTTTTTTTTTTTGGTTTTTTTTTAATGAGGTTCATAGTCTGAAGCTTTATTAAAACTTATTTATTTTATCACCCCTTCAGCCAAACCACTTAGTGGGCCTGAAAAGAACTTACATTAAATTGTTGTTCCACTCTGTTGATGACCTGGTGAAAGTGAGGAAAGAGATATCCCCTGCTGTGCGTAAAAACAAGGAGCGGGATCATGCCAGTGAAACTTACACATCTATGCTCTCTAGGTACTTGCACACTAAATCTGACTCTGCCTCTCACTGTGCAAAGGCATTTTTGAAGGAGTTGATAAAAACTTCTGAAGTTGAATTCTTCTCCCCACCTATCAAACTATCTGAGGAAACAGACACAAGAGTGTATCACATCAACTACCATGGAAATATTTGCACTTAACTTGAGGGGCTTATGTCAATAGTAAGAGTTAATTGTACTATATAAAACATTTTAGTCCATATGTAGCTTGTAATTGTTTTTAAACTGCAACTCCTGTGATGCTCAGGGAGCAACATATACTCTAATTTTCTTTCATTACTGAGCAACACTATATCTACTAGCTATTTTCAAAAAAATATATAAAAAGTTGAAGTACTGATGTGACTTGATAGAATTTTTAATGTTGTATGACATAAGTGTGTACAACACTCAGTTTTGAATCTAGGAATGTTAAACATTTTTGTTCTGTGAATGTAAAAAGTGTGTAGTATCTATACAATATGGAATTCTTTCGGAAGTGGCCATAGTGTACTTCTGTATTGATCTAAATTGTGGCATTAAAGGATCAATATAGGGTCAAGGAACACAAACCTGTATTCCTGACTTTAGTGTTAAAACCACCATCTAGCCCCCATGAACCCCTCCTGCCTCCATAAATATAGTAAATCTTACTGTTTTCAAGCCTGAAGCTGTAACTCTGCATGCTGTTAGACTCAGAAAAAACAAGAAGTCTGCTGACATCAGAAGTGGTAGCCTGATCCAATCACATGCTTCCCCATAGGATTGGCTGAGACTGACAAGGAGGTAGATCAGGAGCAGAGCCAGCATTATTCAAACACCGCCCTGGCCAATCAGCATCTCCTCATAGAGATGAATTGAATCAATGATTTTCTATGAGGAAAGTTCAGTGTCTGCATGCAGAGGGAGGAGATACTGAATGTTTGGATGCATTTTAAGCACCCCCGACCCAGGAAGGATCTCTAACAGCTATCTGGGGAGTGGCCAGTGAAGTTATCACTAGGCTGTAATGTAAACACTGCATTTTCTCTGAAAAGACAGTGTTTACAGCAAAAAGCCTTAAGGTAATGATTCTACTCACCAGAACAAATTCAATAAGCTGTTGTTGTTCTGGTGACTGTGTCCCTTTTTAATTAATTCCAAGTAATGCCATAAGAAGAATATGTCAAAAGGTTGACATCCGTAGTGCTTAGCTGGAAAGGTTTGTTATACTAAGGTAAAAATGTAGAAACCGATCCGTCACTCCCTCTTTCAGAGACCTAATACAAAAATAAAATAAACATGCATACATTTGTCTCCTATAGCAGCTCTGGATGTTTGATTACTCTACTCTGCTACACATTTGCATTTTTGCAGTCTGTGCCAAGGGTTGCTTTTGATCTCCTCTCAGTCACCTGTAGAGAAGTGGGCATTTAAGAACTTTGAGGTTTTTAATAAAACTAATGATGAATCATACATTGGACATACATCTTAATGTCTCCCTGTCCCTACTTCTTACCTTTTTCCAGGGAGGTGGGACATAATGCTGCAAGCCTTAGTGGTCCAGTGGTGGCATGTTCACATTAGCCTGCAGCTCCTCCGGTTGCAGGCTGACTTTCCTGAGAGCACAGCACTGTGTTCTCATGGTAACTCGCAGCAACACTCTGACCAGCCTGCTTGCGAGAGGAACACAGAGCCTCAAATATCCTACCCTCCCTCTGCTGGAACGAAGTGCAAGCGGGCCGGTGAGGGGGCTCTTTGATCTCATCGCCAGCCCAAGAGGGCTTACAGCAAGGCTGGCTCTGCATGGGCCAGCAGGCGAGATGAAAGGATCTCTCCTGTCGGCCTTGGTCCATGGCCATCAAGGCCCACTGGGCATTTTCTGTAGAGCCCACTTGAAATCCCAAAACGCCCACTAGTGGGTGGTAGAGACCATGTTGACTACCCATGATCTACACCTGAAAATAAAATTGGGTTACTACCATAAAAGTTACATTTAAGATTTTGCTTTGTGACCTTGTTGGAGATGAGGTCCTGAGATTTTAACATTGAGAAGCAGTAGGTACATACACCTACCTACAAATAACATGTGTGGTGTTTTTAAATTTTTTAAAACTTTTTTTTTTTTTTTTTTCTATTCCACTATTCCAGTGCTCTTGCTGGGACCACTGCAGCCGGGGATGAGGAGGGCCCATCTAAGAAGATCTCTGACCAGATGGAAAACATAGTGGACATGAGAGAATATGATGTTCCATATCACGTGCGACTCTCCATTGACCTCAAAATACATGTAGTAAGTAAATAAATGGGAAACGTTAATCTTTAAAAGGCTGCAGCAACTTTTACTATGAAGGAAATTGAAAGGATGGCATTATCATATGTGTAACTAAGGAAATGTGAATGGTATGGTGTGTGCAGTATATGGTTTAATCAGGTATAAAGAAATACATTGAAATAAAATAGACTCCCAAAAAAAGTGGTGAAGCATAAAGGAATACTCAAAACACCTAAAGCACTTTAGCTTGCTAATGTGATTTTATTTTTTTATTTTTTTTATGACTATAAATTCCAACTTATTTGAGAGGAGCATTGTACAGAGTCAAAACCAAGACATTTGACTTATTGAAAAATCATTGTGTTATGCTTCAGACTTATAATTTCTTGTGAATGAACTATTCCATTTTCTCGGACTCTCTCCATAGGCTCACTGGTATAATGTAAGATATCGTGGAAGTTCTTCCCCTCCAGAGATCATAAGAAGGGATGATCTAGTTGAAAGGCCAGTAAGTATATTTTTGTATACAAACTGATGGCAGGGTTTGTTCTATTTGTTGTTTTCACATCCACATATGAGTTTGTCTTTTGTTTTTGTTTTTTTAGGATCCAGTGGTCTTGGCATTTGACATTGAAACCACAAAACTGCCCCTGAAATTTCCAGATGCTGAAAGTGACCAAATTATGATGATCTCCTATATGATTGATGGGCAGGTTAGTTTTAAAAGCTGTTACATTGTTTATCTTGGTGTGTGTGTGTTTGTTCTTTTTTTCTTTTGTTTGTTTTGGACAGTGACTTAAATTATGTATGTGACAACAGCATGACAACTAATTTTACTCACTTTATTATAATAATCATGATTTTTGCTTGGTTACTCAATTGTAAACTTGTAATACTGCCAGGCATTTCCACAAAAGTGAGAATTACAAGTGAATTTCATATTTGAGGTAAAAAGATTTAACGGGCAAAGGTGTAAAAAGTGTCTAAGTTGGTTGTTTTCATTTCAGCTCCTTAACCCCTTCCCGACGTTAGGGCGTGCTATGCTGTCCTACAAAAGGAGTTTGACATTGTTAAGGCAGTATAGCTCGCCCCAACGATCTGGTCCAAATACTCGCCTTATCCGCAGATCACAGGACCTGCCTGACAACAGAAATAACCCAACAGAAAAATCAGAACTTAATTTGCAAGCCCTATATTTGACCCTGTTACTTTCCAAAACTCCACGAAATCTCTGCAAGGGGTTTACTGTTGACAAAACTGAAAATAAATGAGTTTCTTAGAGCAGTAAAACTCATAATGACCATCAGTGAAAATGCAGTTTTTGGGTGTGGGAACAAAATGCATAAAAGTAATATGAACACTAACTTTAGCCAGTCTTTTTTTTAAATGCTATTTAAAAAGATTGGACATACCCTATTTTGAATTCCTGCGTTGTCTACTTTTGCATATGATATGCCATGATGGAGGTAACTCTAATTTCTGGGCTCCCATATGGTATCAAAGGCAATATAGGCTCAGCAAACCAAACAAAACTGGCAAATTTCAACGTCTAAAATCTGGAACTTTCAAAAACACCATGAAACATATGTTAGGCACATCGTTGTAATTGTAGAACATCAGAGTATACAAATGTGTATTTTATTTTAGTCAAAACTATGACATTCACCGTTAAAATAGGTCCGTGTCTCTCTCTCCCACCCTCCACCCCAATTGTCTTTTAGGGTCTCCACCCGCCACTCATGGGTGGGGGGACCCTATATACCTTATTTAGTTGAGTAGCCCCCACTCGCGGGACACTGTCCCCCCTGCTAGTTAATAGATGCCCCACTCACTGTGTAGTAGACATGCTGCGAGTAGGGGCATTCAGAAGATCTCAATCCCCCTTATGTTAATATGGGGGTTAGAGTGAAGAGGGGGGGGGCTTAGAAAGTGTCAGGGAGTCCCTGCCGCTTCTATTTTTACATATTACAAGGAGGGAGCTGCGAGCTCCCTCCTTGTAATAAACAAACGAACATCGATATTCGGTGTTTGTTCGTCTGACATTTCTAATTATGAATAGACGAAATTCCTGTCCAAATTTCGGACAATAGAGAATGCCCAAGTGTTTATAACTGGACATGCTCGTTAATTTCATAGTACTATCTAGTGTGGGCAGATGACTTGTCCCACAGGAACTGCATTTGCACACACGAAGATGGTGACACCCTGGACCTTGGTCCAGGCATAAAATAAAGATGAAAAAATTGGTAATATGGGGGGATTAGGGGCATTTTTTTATAAATTAACCATGCTGTTACTTCTGGGTTGTTTTCCTCAGTGGAGCTAAACTCGAGGCAGACAATTGCTCAGCACACCTGCCTTGCAAAGACTTATCATTAAGCTCGTTTGGGAAGTCTGTAACTGGACAGCAACAAAACATCTGAGCTGAGTTAGAAGGGGAGCTGCAAAGGCTTAAGACATGAGATGCAGCTTACATGCTGGTTTTAGAGATCCTCAATGGAAAAAAAAATCCTAATTAAATGCACACGTTTTAATTGATGGGTACATCTACAAAACAGTGATTTCTATTGTATTTAGGGTGTGGCGTAAAAGATACAATATTTTTACAAAATATGTCAGTTTATTTTTTTTGTATTTGATTAAACATTTTTAACCTGCACTTTCACAGCTGTATACAACCTACAATAAGCCATTTCAATGTTTGTGGTTTGTTGTTTTGTATCTCCTTCATTGTTGTAGGGCTACCTGATCACAAACCGGGAGATTGTGTCAGAGGATATTGAAGATTTTGAGTTCACACCAAAGCCAGAATATGAAGGGCCTTTCTGCATATTTAATGAGCCAGATGAGGTAAAATGGCTATTTTTGTGATTGTTCGGCATTTCATTTTTTTGCTTCTTTGTTCTCGAGAGCATTCTTATTTTACATTTATTTATTTGATTTACAGGCTCATATGATCCAGCGCTGGTTTGAACACATCCAGGAGACAAAACCAAGCATTATTGTAACATACAATGGGGATTTCTTTGACTGGTAAATGTATTCAGTGTGTCAAACCTGTCAATGTAAATGGCAAGTTTCCCCTTATAATGTGACTGAATCTTGGTTTTTGTTTTAGGCCTTTTGTAGAAACTCGAGCTGCAGTGCATGAGATGAACATGCTTCAAGAGATTGGCTTCCAGAAGGATAGCCAGGGGGAATACAAGTCCCCTTCCTGTATTCATATGGATTGCCTCAGGTATTGAGCACAGAGATATTATCTCAATGATTCACAATTTAAAGCAGTCTTATAACTTTGCAGGTTTTGCTTTTGAATGAATCTTTTTTTAATCCCTCTTTCTCCTTGGTATTTATCTGTTTATTTAAATTTGCCTTAGTTTTAATCTTTACACAATAAAAAGTATGGACTACTTTTTTTCCACGGGTTGCATGACCTTTGGCAAATATTATGGATGGGCTTTAAGGACAACTGCCACCTCAACACTATTTATTATTTTATTTTAACATAATGACATTTTCTTCAGGTTATGAAAGGAAATGGATTATTTGTTAAATTATGTATATGTAATAAAAAAAAAAAAAGAGAGAAACTCTAGAGTCGTGGACACTAATCGGGCTATTTGCTAAATTCATTTTCACAAATTAAATCTGAATAGACAAAAAAAGGCAAAAATAGTTGATCTAGAAATATTCTCTAACTTTTTTTTTTTTTCATTTTACAATTTGGATTTACTTAGCAAAAATTCCAAGTTTAGTGAATTACCCTGAGTGTAGTCTTTGTCACAGTGTGTGTGCCGGCTGCGTGTGTTGTGTGCTGCCTGTATTAATGCGTATATGTTTGCTGCCTGTGTGTGTAGAGGGATGTATTTTTAAAGTAATGTGATTTAGATGTTTGTGCTCTACAATTTGAGTGTATTATGCAAATATAAACAATGCTTGTAAAAAATGCACCTTGACTCCCACAAATACTGACACAATCACTGACCCACATACTGCCATTCTGGCACAATCACTGACCCACATACCGTCATTCTGACACAATCACTGACTCACATAATCACTGACCCTCATGCTGTCATTCTCACACAATCACCAATCCACACACTGCCATTCTGACACAGTCACTGACTAAACCATCACTGCCATACTGACACAATCACTGACTTTTTTTAAATTTTTTTTATTTGTTTTTCCAGTTGGAGAGATCTCCGATCTCTCCAGCTGGAGCACGGCTGTGCAGCCGGGCCCCTGGCTGTCTTGGGCCCTCGGTCCTCGAACGATCTGCCCGAGTGGTCAGTCCGCCCCTTATGCAGTGACACCATCAGCTCAACTAGCTGTCAAATACAAACACTGTCTGACTCAAGGTGTATGTATATGGCTCAAGGATCCGGTCATATAATGGAAGGGAGGAGTTTTTTTTTTCTTAATATACTTCTTTTAACTAAGAATCTATTTCCTATCAAAACTTTATTAAAGGATTATTATATTACAAAATAGTGTTGCGGTGACATTTGTCCTTTTAATCAAAGTTTCATTTCAGTTGCTAAGTTAATCCAGTAGTTAAAAAAAAAAAAAAAAAAAACTGCCAACTGCAGACTTCAAGGACAGAACAGAATAAAATGTTTGCATCCAGGTATTGAGGCTGGTGCAAAAAAAAAAATTAATGTAAATAAAGCAAGTAGGGAATATAGATATAAGAAAAGGAAAACGGAAATAAAATAACACAAGCTAGTTAATATAATACACCGAATACTGCAAAAACATATTCAAATGTCTTTCTTCTCAAACACCTACAAAATATATTTTTGGAACACTATATTTCCCAAGACGTCCTGCCTTAGTTTTCCAAATTCACCATTATTGTTTTGAAAATGAAGTACAGAAGTTGTTTTTTTGTTGTTGTTTTCTTTGCAACTTGCTGCTCTGTAGTCTGTCATATTGGCCAATCGTTTCTATTTTTTGGGGAATTTTTCTTTCTTGTAGTTCATTTGACTATTTCATCTTCCCTGTAGGTGGGTGAAGAGAGACAGTTACCTCCCCGTTGGTAGTCACAACTTGAAAGCAGCTGCCAAGGCCAAGCTGGGCTATGACCCAGTTGAGCTTGATCCAGAGGAGATGTGCCGCATGGCTACTGAGGAGCCACAGGTATAAAATAGTTGGTTAATGTATTTGGTAGAAACACTGCAAAGCGTAAAAAAAAAATTAATATTTCTGATCTCAACTTTTGGAGTTGAGCGTTTTATCTAAAGCATTTTAAAACAGTGACTGATTTTTAAACTGAAATTTTTTTTTATTTTTTTTTGAATATTTAATCTTTATTTTAAATTTTTTTCTTTTAAATCTCATTAGATACATATATCATACAAATACAAATATCATACAAATATACATTTGTAATACAAACAAACAACACAGCAGCAAAATAGGGGAGGGAGAAGAAAAATACATCAGAAAGACTTCCATAATAGAGTGGTAATATCATTTAGATAAATCTCATAATTATTTACAATGTTCATGGAATTGTTCTACTACTAATTGAACGACACTATTTTATACATCAATCATCTCAATACACTTTAACCAAACAGAAATCCTATTGCTTAATCTTTGTTTACTTAGCATCAGCTCCATTCTAATCTGAAACTCGAGTTGAGTTTTAACTTTCTTCCAGGGGACTTCTGAATCCCTTTTCCACCATCTCGCAATTACTATTTTAGCCGCTAAAAACAGATGTATAAGAATTGCTTTTAATTCATATGTCATATGAGGCCAATTTAGATGAAGTAGAACTACCTCTGGAGAGATAATCAACTCGAGTTTTAAATTGTTAGATATAAAATGCTGCATTTTCAACCAGAGATTTTTTAATTTATAGCAATCCCACCAAATATGTCTAAAATTGCCTCTAATACTATTGCATCTCCAACAGATAGGATTTACTAAAGGGTAAATTTTATTCAATTTAGCTGGTACTAAGTACCACCTATTTAAAACTTTAAAGTGCGTTTCTAATAAATTTAATGAATGTATATTCTTCTTAACATCCATCATTGAAGAACCCCATTGATTCAGATTTATATCGATATTCAAGTCTTGTTTCCAAGCCTGTATGGCAGTAGGATTTGTGTCTTTAGCTATTGATTTAATTAGTATTAGAGCTTTAGAAAGTGGTTTATTAACTTTTTTTGATGTAAATAATAAATCTATCGAATTGCTTAAATTAGATTTTGGTATTATTAGATGTGTATTAATATAGCTTTTAAGTCTTAAAAAATTAAACACCTCTCTAGGAGGGAGATTGTGTATCTCTGTTATTTGAGCAAAGGTTTTAATTGATCCTTCTGTCAATAATTGGTCCAGAGTCGTTATCCCTACTTTTTTCCAATTATTTAAGTTTAAGTCTTCCACTTGTTTTTCTACAATATCTAACTCTAAATAACTTGGAACTTTTTTTTTCTATATTCATTACTTTTTTAATTTTTAACCAATTTTCCAATAATTGAGTTAGAATAATACTGGCATATTCTTTTTTTCTTTGGCATTTTATTTATATTCCAGATTAAACAATCTAAGCTAGAAACTTCTCCTGCCTTCAATTCCATTTTATACCATCCCTCATCTTTATTTTCTTTCATTTGCATTCTATAGACATGTAGGGTAATAGCTGCTTTAAAGTTATTCATTATGAGTGGATAATCAAGTCCACCTTTATATATTTTCTGCGCTAATATTGACTGTTTCAATCTCGGCTTCTTGCCTTTCCAGATGTATTGAGTAAAACTTCTTTGTATTAATGGATTGGGATATGGAGAGGTAACATTTGAAACATATAATTCCACTTTGGTATAACATATGAATTGATAACGTTTATTCGCCCCAAAAAAGTAATCTCTAGGTTTCTGCGATCTTTTAACCATTTATTGAGATCTAATAATAATGTTAGGAAATTTACTTCCATAATCTTATTTGTCTCTCTGGTTATTTTAATTCCTAAGTAATCCATACTTTCTTTAACCCAAATAAAATCATATTTGTTTTTAATCTCTCGTTGTATCCTTTTATTTAGGTTAACATCTAATATCAAGGATTTATTTATATTTAACTTATAATTTGATATGAAGCTATATCGCTCTATTTCTTGCATTATGCGTTCCAAAGAATTTTTAGGGTTTGTAAGAGTAATTAAAATGTCATCAGCATATAAGCTAATTTTTTGATCCTCATCCATTATTTTATAACCATGGATCTCTTTATTATTCCTAATATTCTCAGCCAATGGCTCGATAGTCAGCAAGTAGAGCAATGGTGAGAGGGGACAACCCTGTCGGGTACCATTTCTAAGTTGGAACCATGGGGCGACTATATTAGGTCCAATAGTTCGTGCAACAGGATTTACATATAGTGCCATTATAGCTTTCTTAATCCAACCTTCCAATCCATAATGTTGTAAAACGGCTTCTAAATATTTCCAGCTGACTCTGTCGAATGCTTTTTCAGCATCAATCGACAGTCAGAACTGGAACATCATATCTATTTGCGTCATCCAAGATATTAATAATTTTCCTTATACTTGTATAGGAATTTCTACCTGGAACATATCCTATTTGATCTTTATGGATGATTAGTGGAAGAAGTTTTTTTATTCTAGCAGCCAAAACCGAAGCGTATAACTTAGTGTCAACATCTATTAAAGATATCGGACGGTAGTTTTTGATATCAGTGGGGTTTTTATCATTTTTTAGAATAGGCAAGATATTAGCTTTTAGCATCTCTGCTGGTAAAAATCCTCTGTTTGCCGCTATGTTGAAAGCAGAGGTCAAATGTGGACATATTAAATCTTTAAATGTTTTATAAAATAGGTTGCTAAACCCATCCGGGCCTGGTGTTTTAGATCTTTCTAAATCATTTATTGCTTTCATAGTCTCCTCCATAGTTATAGGTTTATTTAAGAAATCATTTTCAATAGAAGTTAATTGAGGCTTCTTTATATTATTTAAATAGTTTTTAATATCCTCATCTGTATTAATCTGAGGAATATTGTATAGATTGGAATAATATTCATTAAAACACTTTCCAATCTCTCTGGGGGTTAGTGCTATTTTTCCATTCTGTATTATTTTGTCTACCTTATTTTGTACTTTTTGTTTTCTAAGTTTTTGGGATAGCATCTTTTCAGCTCGATTGCCTTTGGAATAATATTTAAATTTTAGTCTAACCATATTTTTAGCTATCGTATCCATTAATTTTTGCTTTATTTTTTCTTTAAGTTCTAATATTTTTTCATAAATTTCAGAAGATGGAGATTGTTTATTGATATGAGTCAAATCTCTTAATTCTGTATGTAAAAATGCCAAAGTATTATTTTTATCAAGTTGGCTTTGTAACTTGATAATATGACCTCTTATAACGGCCTTAAAGGCACACCACAAAATAGATGAATCAATATTTTCTGAGATATTTTCTTTAAAATAATTTTTTATATTATCTCTTATATGAGTTTTTTTTAATTCACAACAAAGCAAATTATCTCTTAACCGCCAAGTATAAGCTTCTCTTTTAAATGTACTAAAAATCATTTCACAAAAAACTCCATCGTGATCTGTCCATACTATCTCGTCAATCTTTGTTTTTTTGGTCATATCAATAATACTTGGGTCTACCCAAATCATGTCTAATCTTGAATAGGAAAAATGCACTTTAGAAAAATGCGTATAGTCTCTCTCATTAGGATTAAAAATTCTCCAAATATCGAATAGATTATATTCATCTTTAATTTTTTTTAAGGCTTTTGCTTGTTTTATAACCATCTGATTTAAAGTATTTCCTTTCATTAATTTTTTGTCTATCTGAGGGTCTAGTACAGCATTGAAATCCCCCGCCACTATTAACTTTCCCACTTTAACTTCATCTACTTTTTCCAGAATTGTTTTTAAATAAGCAACTGGTAAATGATTAGGAAGATATATATTACATAATGTAAAAAGTACAGAGTCAATTTTACATATTATTATTAAATACCTGCCTTTAGTGTCTTGTATTTGATGAATTACTTCAACTTTAATCTTTTCTCCAAATACCACAGCTACTCCACATTTTTTTTTTTTCCTTATTGGAAGCTTGAATTATAAGTGGAAATCTTTTACCCCCCCAATTTTGTTTATCCACTTGTCTCCAGTGAGTTTCTTGTAAGAATATTAAATTCAATTGTTTTTCACTGAGGTATTTGTACAATAGATTTCTTTTCGCTATAGTATTCAATCCCTGAACATTAAGTGTAAGCATTTTTATCATATTATTTTCAAAAACCTCCCTGCATCCCTTTCCACTCGATAACCATTACCCTTCCCTATTGCTGCATAAACATATCTACACAAACACATAAAACAAAATATTAAAATCATAGGAGGAAATCCTCCTTTTTTATCACAAAGACTGTAAATTTTCATATAGAAATTCAGTCTTTACTGTGTCTTTAAATTAGACACTAAGTGGGCGTATCCAGAAAGAGGTAGTAATATTTACAAGTTTGCAATCTCTCTCCAAGAGGGAGAGAGAGAGAAGAAAAAAAAACAAAAAACATTTCTTTGCTTATTTTATACTTAACTTCATTGCTCTATGAATAATTTTCTTTTAACCACCTCTTTAAGTACAAATCTGATTAATGTTAATACTTAGACATATTTACTTTTAAATCCTTATGTTCCACATGGTTACATGCATATACCCAATTAAATAATTCTACATGAGTGAGGACAACAAAAAAAAAAAAATTTCTTCCATTATTTTATACTTAAATCAGTTACTCTGTGATTCTTTACTTTAAATAAATCTGTTTCTACTTAACTTACTAATACATGTGAATAATTTTCTTTTAGCCACCTCATTAAGTTCAAATCTAATTAATATCAATACTTAGACATATTTGCTTTTAAATCCTTATGTTCCAAATGCTTGTGTGCATATACTTAATTCTCAATTGACTAGTAGCTTTAAAGTGAAAACAAGCCCCAATAACATCAACAAATTAACAAATTGTGCAAAGCACAATTAAGTGATTCTATATGAGTGAAAAAAAAAAGAAAAAGTTAATTTTCTTCCTCTTTCATTCCTTCCTCTCTCCCTCCTCTCTCTTCTCCTCTCTTCTCTCTTCCTTCCATCTTCCTCTCCGCCGCAACAGACCCTTCAAGCTTTTTTATTGATACCTGATAACCAACTATTTGCTTCATTTGCATCCAAAAAAATTTTTCTTTCTTGTTTCCAAGTAAATCTTAAAGATGTTGGATAGGCCCATTGAAACCTGATCTCTGCTTTTCTTAAAAAATCCGTCACGATAGAGAAAGATTTCCTCCAAGTCCTGGTGTGGTAAGATAAGTCTTGCAAAAAAATTATGTCTTTGTAAATAAAATTTGTTCGGGGTTTGGTACGGCAGGCTTTCATTAAATTATTTCTCAATGATAATGAGGAAAAACTCACTATTACATCTCTTGGGAGATGTGAAGCCGTTGTATCTGGTTTATGTATCCGGTGAAAATTTTCTATTTTATATTCATCTGTAGGTATTTCTGGTAAAACTTCTTCAAATAAATTGTTTAAATATTCTCTCAATTTTTCATTGGAGATTTCTTCAGAAACACCTCTTACTCTGATGTTTCTTTTTCTTGACCTATCTTCCAAAGCTGCTATTTTATTTTCAAGATTATCAACTTTATTTACTAGAAACTGCACCTCCGTATTAATTGCTTTAATTTGCGTTCCAAACACTTCACATTTTTTTTCCACTTCCACCACTGATACTGCAACATTTTTAATTTCTTGTTTTATCTCATTGAAACTTACAAGCATTTCTTGTTTCAATAAATTTAATTGTAGTTCCAGCGTTTGCTTAAATTGATCTTGGATACTAATTGAAGCAATTGCTTGAGCTTCTGATGGAAATTGATTAAGTGCAACTTCTTGGATAATATTGGAAGTATTACTTGGGTGTGTCTTACTATCAATTATCTGTTCCTGCGGATCTTTAATAGGATCTTTAATAGGAGTTGCAAAAAAACCTGACAACCTCTTTTCTGTTTGTTGAACTGACTTAATTTCTTTTTTTTTTTTTCCGTTGTTTTCCTGGTTGACATTTTGTTTTATTTCTTAAATGCTTCTCAGTGACAAATTATAACTAGATGTCACATATAAAATTTCAACTCCAAACTCAAAGAACTAGATTAAATCAATTGGTCAAATAATTGATTCTTGATGTCAATCTCCTCCAACGAGGAAAAAAAAAGATTTCCTTCCACTTTTCTTTTTTCCAGGCCAGTAATTATATACAGGTATGATGCCTTACAGTCATATTTTTTAGTAAATACAGAAGTACTCACAGTTTTTTATATATGGCTGTTTAGGAGATCACTGAGGGATGTATTTCCTCTTTTTCCCTTTATTTCTCTCTTATTCTTTCCTTCTTTGTATCCCTTTTTTCTTCTTCTTTTTTTTTTCGTTTTTTGTTTGATAATTTATACAGGAACTGTTTTTATTTCTTCCTTGACCTTTTTAACGGTCTATAAGGGAATCGCCACTATTTGCCCAAAAACGGAGGCAAAAACGGAGGCAACAAACCCCCAGCAAAAACCGGCATACACCACCACGTCAGACCAGGTCCACCGACCCACCAAATCTTCACCGGACCGAGCCCTCCCTCCACTTCGTCTAAGCCGGACCACACTCACAAATCGGCACGGAGCGGCATTGCTTATTCTCGACTCGGCGTCCTCTCTCCTCAACCTCCCTCCGGACACGCCCACCTAAAGCTCCTATCTCATGTTTAATAAAGTTTTGTCAAGGTTACATATAACATTGTAGTGAGGAAATAAAATGGTAAAATGTGTATGCAGAAACTGATTACTAGTTTTGTCTTAAATGAATGATTTACACAATTTTTTTTTTTTTTTCTTCACTGAAAATCAACATAAACCCATTAGAATTTCCTTTTGCGGTCCTGTAAGTTTTGTATCTATTTATCAGTCAGCTGGTGCAAGTTAACAGCACTGATTCCAGTTGTATTCTCTAACTTTGTCTTCATTTTCTCACATTCTTATCCAGGTCCTTGCAACATACTCTGTTTCTGATGCAGTTGCCACATATTACATGTACATGAAGTATGTCCATCCCTTCATATTTGCTCTATGCACCATTATTCCTATGGAGCCAGATGAGGTGAGATCTATTACAGTTACAAACTGTGACTAGAGCATTATTTCTCTACCCAGATCTTTGAATAACTCTAAGCAAAACAATGTTTTAAGAAGACCAAGCTCTCATTGGCTTGGTCATCCCCACTCAAGTTGGGATTAACTTACCTCTAAAATGTTTTGCGGATTTCAGCAGTGTATCCCAGCTGTCTTAGCCCTCTCAAACTTCAACATATTCCAAATTCCCAGTCTGAAAGAAACATACCTTTCCAGCTAATGAAAATATGTAGTGTAAGGAATGCTCATAGCACAGACTGCACTGCAGAGACAAGACTAGAACCCACATGTGTTCCTATCCCTCCCTGTAACGCAAGTAATTTCCCTTCCAGTCCCCTGTCAGCCAATCTCCCTACCATCTGGTAATCCCTTCCTTACCTGTCCATGTCAGCCCACCTCACCACCCACTATTAACCCCTTCACCTTCAGCCCCTGTTAATCAGCATCCATATATAGATAGATGGAGATAACACAAAGCTCTGTAGGTATGAGTGTCTCTTCATATTTATTTATAATAATCATATATAACACTATGTGATAACTAATGTAGTAAGGCAGTGTGTGTGTGTGAGATGTGGTATGTAAGTTCTAGTGTCTGAATGCTGGATTTGCTGAGGCTTGTTTATAAAACATGCATTAGAAGGCCAGTTTATTTGTTTTTTGGTGATAACACTTGTTTCTTTGGATCACCATACAGGTCCTAAGGAAGGGATCCGGGACACTTTGTGAGGCTCTGTTGATGGTCCAGGCTTACCATGCAAATATTGTTTTCCCCAATAAACAAGAGACTGTCTTCAACAAGTTAACAGGAGATGGTCATGTATTGGACTCAGAGACTTATGTGGGAGGCCATGTGGAGGCTTTGGAGTCTGGTGTTTTTCGTAGTGATATTCCTTGCCGTTTCAAAATGGTTTGTTTGGCATTTTCCATATAGGAAAACATTATTTTTAGAAGTTTTACTTTAAATGTAATTTTCCCAATCTAAGCTTTAGTATTGATGTTGATCTTCAACAGATTTTGAAGCATTTTAACTTAACTGGGTAATCATCATGGGTAATTTCGCAAAAAACTATGAATTTATTAATTAACTCATGTCTGTGGAGCTCATTTTCATTTAAATGACTTTGTCAACAAGCAAAACTTTCATTTCTGGCATACGGAATTACTTCATCCGCGCCAATTACACCATACCAAGTGTACCTTCTAGTGCGGTGTGAACTCGCAGGAAGTTATCGGGCAGAAATACGAGTGCTAGAGCCTCAAACATTAATGTTAGGAACAGTGCAATTGAAAAAAGCACGATTTTGCAAGGCGGCAAATGGAGTTCATTTAAAAGATGTTATCTTCTGTGCCTAGTCAAACAAATCTCCATACGTTAAGCATTCATTGTTTGTAATATCATTGAAATTGGTTCAATAATAAAAAATAAAAAGTTATTGACTCATCTATATACAGGATAAGCCAAAATTCACTGTAATATTTGCACAAAGTACAGGTAAATTAAGTATTTTTCCTCTTAGAACCCAGCAGCATTTGATTTTCTGCTCCAGCGTGTTGAGCTAACACTGCGACATGCCATAGAGGAGGAGGAGAAAGTTCCACTTGAACAAGTCACCAACTTCCAAGAGGTAAACTGATATTGCCCTACAGACACTGGCCCCTCATCTTATTTTTCGCTCTTCCTCCTAGTAACCCCGTTGTTCTTCTCACCCTAGGTCTGCGATGAGATAAAAAAGAAGTTGAACTCCTTGAAAGAGGTTCCAAACAGAATAGAGTGCCCTCTTATTTACCATCTGGATGTTGGGGCAATGTATCCCAATATTATCCTAACAAACCGTCTGCAGGTTAGTAACAATTCTTAAGTTCTTAACCCACTTTAGATCTTCTCTTTTGGTTTTTTTTTTTTTGGTTTTTTTCCTCATTCTTGGACTGTCATATAGGATTTGCCTAACCACTTTTCTTGACTGGGTTAAAGTTTAGTCAAACTCTGTTTGCTGAAATTAAGTATTTTCTTTTCTTCTTTTTTTTGTTTTGTTATTTTTTTGTTTTTTTTTTTTAAACATGATATATGAATTTTTTTTTAATTTTATTCCTTATTTTTGGGTTTTGGGTGCACAGATAGAACGACGAGCATTTATGCACGCATGAGTTAACCACTAGTCATCATAACACGTACAATGTGCATTCTATAGCACCTTTTATATATGCGTGTACATAAGGCAAATTCTATTCGCAAAGTGTTTGTGTACTGGAGTTAACTTAACATTTACAGTGGGGTAGTCTGGTAAATTGTAGTGACTTGCGGTAGCCCACTGAGTATGGTGCCTCTATTCCTCTTTAGGTTGTAGTGGTGGGGTGATTACCCTCGGTCTCGAGGTGGTGGGTGTCGTTTGCGGACCCCAGGTCTTGGGTCTGTAGGGGTGCTACGGTTCGCTCCTAGTGGGGGAATTAGTCTGGGTATTGGGATAGCAATGTACCCTGACTGGGTACGGAGTTTGAGCGGACTACGTGCCCTCCGTGATCTGACTGCTTCGTGGGTGACTAACGTCGGGCGGCTCGCTGGTGTGGGGCAGTGCGGCCAAGGTTGCTGCAGGGGGAGGGAAAGATAGTTGGCTCTGCTCCACTATGCCTGTTGTCACTGACCCGTAGGTGACCATCTGCGGGGACCCATGTATGGGGTTCGCCTATGTTTTGTTTTGTGATAGTGCACAGCGACAGTACGGGCTTTGGTGAGTTAAACATAAACGAAAATAGACAATTTAACAGTTAACTAAATCAGCACCGTATCTAGCCTCATACCAGATATGGCATGCAGTTTGCCATATCTGGTAGAGGTCTAGTCTAGAAGACCCACAGTGGGAGTTCAGGTGGTGACCTCCGCATAGGCGTCTGCAGAAGGCCTCCAGGGCACAAATGGGGGCTGTATTTGTGCCCCAGAATGCGTTTTAGCCATTTTTGTTGTTCCCCTGATAGTGAGTGTCTTATTGGAGACCCACAGTTTCCAAAATAGCCTCTGATCCTGCAAGGTCTTGGACTGGGTAGTTGGTGTTGCCCTGCAGCACGTGAGATTTCTTCCATCTGTAGGAGACGTCACACGCTAGTAATAGCGCAGTGAAGGGCTGCAGCGTTTTTCTCTGTGCGAGGGTGCTCCCTGATAAATCTGCATAAAATGTATGTGATGAGTCTTCAAAGCTGTAGGGAAACTTTCCCCTGAGAGCAACCATTACCGCTGTCTTGTCTTGCCCATTTTTGAAACGCACAATCATGTCCTTTGGTGCTGTGGCAGGTGCTTTGATCGGTCTTGGTATCCTAAACATTTCCTTGGTCAGTATCGATTTTGCCTGCTTGGGGGAGAGTATCGCACTGAGTAGTCGTCTCAAAGTGCGGCAGCTCCTCTTCAGGGACTGCCTCTGCCACCCCTCTGATTTTACAGTTCTTGCTGTGCCTGCAGTCTTCGATCATTGCAAACTGCTTCTCCCTGGTGACTTGTTGCCGTTGGAGCGCATGTATCTCCTGTTGCAGGTGGGTTAGTTGTGCCTTGGCATTTTGGGAGTCATCTTCCAGAGTGCCCGTGTGGACTATCGGGCCTTGAAGGTCTTTGCGGAACGTGGCCATATCTGCGTGGATGTCTCTCCTGAGGCCCGCCTGCATATCAGCATTTGTTACAGGCGCTGAATCTGGTTTGGAGGTTGCGGGTGCCTGAATCAGAGGTGGCTCCTGCGGGGCAGGCAAGTGGAGGTTATCTGTCTCCAGGGCTTGGTCATCCGAGAAGTCGGAGCTCTCTCCCATGTAGGGGGCCATCTTGAGCAGTGAGGCGCCATATGCATACCGCCTCATAACGCCGATGCTCATGCCCCTTCTCTGCTTATCCGCCTTCTGATTTTTTTATTTATTTTATTTTTTTCTGACCCATGGCATTGGGGGTCCAGTTGGGGGTCGCTTAATTTGGGGTAGAGGTTATAAATAGCGATAGTAATTGCCTTTGGTACCCAGAACACTGCAGAAATGCGACCGCTCAGTTCAGTAGCTTGGCCCGCCTCGAACTTTGTTTTTTTGTTTTTTAACATTGAAGTACATAGAATAAAATTAAAAAAAATTTTGTTTCTCATTACCTTTTTTCCTTTCTCTAAAAACCTGTACTAGACAGATTTCCAACTAAAACTTCAACAAACTTCTGTTGTAGGAAGTTTATGATGAGTCCGCATTGAGTACAAATTTTCATAGAAAATTGTACATTTCAACTCATCTAAATGATGACATTTAAAGGGACACTATAGTCACCTGAACAATTTTAGCTTAATGAAGCAGTTTTGGTGTATAGAACATGCCTCTGCAGCCTCACTGCTCAATCCTCTGCCATTTAGGAGTTAAATCCCTTTGTTTATGAACCCTAGTCACACCTCCCTGCATGTGACTTGCACAGACTTCCTATAAAGAAAGCCCTATTTAGGGTTTAATTCAGATTTTCTTATCCCCTGCTATGTTAATAGCTTGCTAGACCCTGCAAGAGCCTCCTGTATGTGATTAAAGTTCAATTTAGAGATAGAGATACAATTATTTAAGGTAAATTACATCTGTTTGAAAGTGAAAGTTTATTTATTTATTTTTTTAATGCATGCTCTGTCAGTCATAGCCAGGGGAGGTGTGGCTAGGGCCGCATAAACAGAAACAAAGTGACTTAACTCCTAAATGACAGTGAATTGAGCAGTGAAATTGCAGGGGAATGATCTATATACTAAAACTGCTTTATTTAGCTAAAGTAATTTAGGTGACTATAGTGTTCCTTTAAGTTTTCGATCTGTACCAATAGCGAACTGATTTGCCAGTTAGTATTATAAGTTATTTTTATCTGTGATGGGGTACCTCTACTAAGTCGCATTTTCATAGCACGCACAACACTGGGCTATGAAAGTGCTGTTTAGTAGAGGTACCTACTATTGTAACTGATTAAGAATAATGGAGACTACCCATGAGTCTTATGAATCCCAACTAGCAGTACAACACCAATACTGTCAGGGCTTTACTATCGTGTTATTAATAAGCACAAACAACAAAAGAGAGAGATCTCATTCATAAACAGGGATATCCTGCCTTGTAAATGTAATATTTTATTTCAGTACTGGGTGTTTTTGTGCACTGCATATATTTTCTTTCAGGTTTAGCTTCTTTTATTACATTGTTTTAAACTTTATTCAATACACCAAACAGAATATCCCTGCACACACAGGGAGCCACTGATCCCCCACCACCACAGACCGAGATCACATCCTCTACCACCTCTCCCCTTAGTGCTAGGAGTTCACCAGGCTGTGCAACTCTCTGCATGTGTGAGCAGCATCACTGAAGCTTATATGGAAAGTGAACTTTGTTTTTATTGAGAAGAAAAAATAATTACTTTTTTTCACTTAGAAGCCATCTGCTAACTGGTCTGCATCTGACCTTAATTTTAGAAACTTAACCCCTTAAGGACACATGGCATGTGTGACATGTCATGATTCCCTTTTATTCCAGAAGTTTGGTCCTTAAGGGGTTAAAATTAGGATAATGAAGAAAAAATTTATTTATTTTTTGCTTGTTTATGAATTTTAAATATATTTTTCGGTATGACTTTAATAGACCACTTTCTGATTTCTTGCATAGCCATCTGCCATGGTTGATGAAGCAACTTGTGCTGCTTGTGATTTTAACAAGCCTGGAGCAACGTGTCAGCGCAAGATGACGTGGCAGTGGAGGGGGGAATTAAGTAAGTGCTGTCAATCAGTAGGATAATTAAGCAGCTTTGGCACTTTTAAGTTCTCTAAAAATATGTTCAGAGTAGTATTTTCTGTTTAAAAAAAAAAAAAAAACGTGCTGCAATCAATTATGCAAGTAGTTGCCCTGGCTTTGTGACTTTGTAATGTTCACAGCAGCTGTGGTCCTTTCAGGAAGACTGAGGAAGTATGTTTCCTAGGATCTACTGTCTAATTTTATTACATCTTCTTTTGACCCTTTTTTGTGGGGTTGAGGAGATCTTCTAACCTGGCTACTGCCTTCATGTTTTAGCATTACTTCTCTTAGCAAATCATGTACCACTGTCCCCTTACCATGTGTCCATCTCTCTGCTTAAACATGGAAAGCATGACTATTCTGCTACTGGGAATAAATGATTATGCTTTATTAGAATACCTAGCAGCACTCTAATTTTGTTCCACTACTCATAAGTGATTTCTAATTTCATATACTGCATATTATCTGTAAGTGATAGTCCCAAATGTTAAAATTTAATTTGTAATTTTATTCAGTCCTAATTACTCCATGCATAGCTGCCAACAGCAATATCTCCAGTAAAGGATGAGTTTTGGCTTTACTTTTTATTGTATCAGTTAACCGAAGCAATTATTCTGTGTCTGGGGACTTCAAGCTCATGCAGCTTTCTATAGGATCATTCGAGAACAAAGCTTGCCATAATCAGTGCAGAATTAGTAAATATTGAGTGGATATTTTGTGTGTGCCAGTGACCCTGGTCTTATCTTGAGCCATCTTGTCTCCAGTGCCAGCTAGTCGCAGTGAATATCATCGCATCCAGCAACAGTTGGAATCAGAGAAGTTTCCTCCTCTCTTTCCCGGGAAGCCACCACGTGCATTTCATGAACTCAACCGGGAGGAGCAGGCCAAATATGAGAAGAAACGTCTTGCAGGTTTGCTGAAATTTACGCACTCCACTCCTGAGCTGACAGAGCACCAGCCTCAAAAATAATAGCATGTGGAACCGTTGTACATTAACATTGAAAGGGTTTTGCGTTTCAGCACATTTGTCATCCCCCTTAATACCAGTTGTTACATTTGACAGGCATTGCAATTTGGTCACTAAAGAACTTATGACTGCGTGGAAAAACCTGGTCATTTAATGTTGGCAGATCAATGCAGCCCTTATTTTTAAATAGTTAATTTCATTTTGGATCCAAATGGATCCAAAAAAGTCACTTCAATATAAAAGACTAATTGCGCTGTGCCATGTCTGTTGCTAAGCACAAGAATAATTTTGCTAGTGAATATACAAATCTTAATGCCCTCTCCATATAATTTTTTTGCTAGTGAATATGTATAGATCAATATATTTGTTGTGTTAAAACATGTGCTCACAAGATGGATATTTGGTGATATTAACATCTTTATGACAACAGCATAGTAACTTTGAATTGAAAATTCTTTAAAATCTTTATATTTGGTAGCAATTTTCATAACCAATACATTGTTAATGTCTGACAGTCGTGAGGCTGCCAGTAAATGTATAAATCTAGGTTGCCAGTGCTGTTGCCACTGACTAACGCACACAGATTCTTACAAAGCTGCCTACTACATATTGTGCTATACATGCATGTCATTTGGATGCAGATCTGTGTTTGTATTATTTTATCTCCACGGCAGTGGCAAAGCTGAATAAGTGAGAATCGTTCAGCAATAGTGTTTAATCTGTGAGTTGTCATGCAAATTTTTTTTATTTTTTAATTTGCAATGCTACTAAAAACATCCATCTCTTTCAAGTATTTTTTTATTGAGCTTTTCAGATATACATATAACAAACATATCGGCAATACTCATTAATAATACAAAAGTTTTTAACGAGTCTACAAAGTTACCAACAATATTAAATAAATATTTTATAAATAAACAAACAATAGGGGAAAAAAAGAGAAATTAAAAAATAAAATCAAAAATTGGGGGTAACATAAGAAAAAGAAATTAAACCGTAAAATGTAAAATCATCCTTAAAAATAAATATAAATTTTTAGCTATTTAACATATTCTTATTTACAAAATGACAGTTGTTGCAATATTAACAGTATGTATTACATATTTTGCTCAAATGGGTCTCACACTGCTAAATTGTATTTGCTTCGGACATATTTTTTTTTCAGATTATGGGTGGTAGATTAATTTGTGATGTTTATTATATAAAATGGAGTATAAAATCTCTTTAACATCTGGCAAGTCACTTGTTTTCCAATATCTGGCTATGGTTGTAGTTGCTGCAATTAAAATATGACCTACCATTAGTCTATTTAAAAGAATTCCAAAACACCCATCTCAAGTTAAAAAATAAAGTAAATGTGAGATATTTACCTCACCACGTGACCATATTATTAACTTCTATGTCACTGTATCCCTAAATCAGTGGGTGCTAACATACATTTAACATGGGGAGAACTTGTTATCTGTATTGCCTGCTTTTTATTGCTTAAACAGCTGCAACTTAAAGTTTACTGTATTACTTGCAAGTTTGCAATCTGTGATACATCTTTATAACTATTTAAGAATGGGCAGTTTATTGCTTGTATTGTTCAAGTAACCAATAGAGGACGCTAGGCAAAAATCTTAATGTTCTCTCTATATTGTTCTCCTATCAGATTACTGTCGAAAAGCCTATAAAAAAATTCATGTGACCAGGCTGGAGGAACGAGTCACCACCATTTGCCAGCGGGAGAATTCCTTCTATGTGGACACTGTTCGAGCTTTCAGAGATCGAAGATATGAGTTCAAAGGTCTGCACAAGGTGAGTGTTTCTAGATAACTGCTAAAGTACAACCCATGCTCCTACGACCTCAATCTGAAGGGCATTTCGTGTGTCCCTTTTTGCAAATAGGATATTCTTACTTTTCCAGAGCCCATTACTAAATTACATTCCAAAGGTTTGAAGGGAACCTGTAGCCCTAAAAATAACAATCGTTCTTTTAAGAGTCCACCCCGTTGCTCTGTAACAATTAAAGTAAACATTACTCAACTCAATTGACTCCTATATTGCAGCCCTAAGCTCTGCGTCTGGTATTGTCACAATGCATGCTGACGTCCCCCGAAATCTTGTCTAATCCAATGTATCTCATAGAGAAGTATTTCGTTAGAGAGCACATGTATGGCAAAATGCCCTGTTCTTTCAATCAAATCTTGCTATGAGCATCATTTGATTCCCAGATAGTTTTACTTGGCCTGGAGGAGGAAACGTCTCTAATGACTGTTTTCCTGGTGTATTTAGTCCTGCAATGTAAACATTGCAGTTTCAAAAATAAATAAATAATATATATATATAAATAAATATATATGTGTATATATATTTTATTTAAATGTTTTGCACTGTAGGGTTCAAACTTAAAGACCATTGCATCCAACCACTTCACTGAGATAAAGTGGTATGGGTGACTATAGTGTTCCTTTTGTTATCTTACCTTATCTGATCTCAACTCCACCTTCCTTATGTTTTTTATGGTGCCTTACTTTTTATGTAACACTCTTTGCATATTATTTGAAATACAAGGCATATATATGGAGGCTCTGCAGTTATCTCTGCAATAGTTAATTTGGAACATAGTTTATGGAAATGTATCATTTTAGATGTTCCTTTTCAAAGCAGCATAAGTGTTTTGTTTTAGAATAGTTCTTCCTTATGTTAACATGTTTTGCTCACGGATTCAAAAGGTTTGGAAGAAGAAACTATCTTCTGCGATCGAAAGTGGAGATGCTGCGGAGGTGAAGCGATGCAAGAACATGGAGATCTTATACGAGTCTCTGCAGCTAGCTCACAAGTGCATTCTGAATTCATTCTATGGATATGTCATGCGTAAAGGGTACATGCAAATTTTGTAGTAAACTTTTCTATACTTTACTAAATGTCACATGGGAATATTTTGTTAGTAATAACAGCCCTAAGGTATATTTTCAACTTTCTCTTTTTGAGAAAAATCTCACTTTGCTAAATATCTGCTAATGCTCAGGACCATGTTAATCTCCTATATGAGATAGCAGTGTACTTTAACACAAGCTAACTGAAAGTATTGTGACTCAGATCCTAGCTTCTGAGGAGCATGTAAAAAAAAATCTATAGATGGATATATATGGAGAGAGAGAGACAGACAACCTGATATATATATATATATATATCTCTGTGATTCACAGTCTCCAATGTACAGTTGTTTTTTTTTGTTGTTTTTTTTATATTTTAGACCTAAAACCATCAAGTATTTGTATTGGCAATAAAAAGTGGTTATTTGTGAGTGGCTATCATGTATATTGTCTTAAAATATTACAATAACAAATGTGTGACTGTGTGAATCACACTGTTCTACTAGTGGGGTAACAAACACTTTTATGTCAATGTGCTCCCTCCTGTGTCACAAACTCAGTGCGTATTTCAAAAAAGAAAAATGGTCCAAAAGGTGATGGATTGTCGTCCTCCTACATAATGTGCCCAAATACAATAACGAGAGCAAATTATATAGCTCCTGAAATTTTCACATTTGTACTTACCTTAATATTTCCATCAAACACATTGTTTTGTAACGATTCCCAAAGATTGGTTTAGTATCTTCAGATACCCATGAATATTTACAGTTCAGACAGTTTACCACAAACTGTTTTATAGTGCACACAAGCACATTTTTTTTAACCCCAAGATGCAAACTCTCCAGAATCCAGAAAAAGATTTTTGGAACCGTAGGCAACTTACAAAAAACAAAACAAAGGAAACAATAAAAAAAATATTGCTTTGATCCAATCTGGTTGATTCAGTGAACTGTATTTTGTTTCTATTCGCAAACATCCATGCACAATAAAAAGAAAAAAAAAACATTAAATGCCAACGAAATACTGTGCACAATGCAATTGTAATGGCTGGACCAAAAAACACATTTAGCAAACAGATTGATGGATTGATTTCTCCCATATAAGCTTTCCCTATTGGTCCCGTGACTTGGGATGTTCATGTTTATGTTCTTCCATGATTAATGGTATGCTAAAATCTGAATTTTGGATGATTTTTATATGAAACCACAAGTTTCAAGTATCTGCTTTTTAAAAATGTTTTTAATTTCTTCACTTCTCCCTCTAGGGCTCGATGGTATTCAATGGAGATGGCTGGTATTGTGTGCTATACTGGTGCCAACATTATCACGCAAGCAAGGGAACTGGTTGAACAAATCGGGTGAGGTGCTAAGAATAAGATGTGGCATAACCATATAGTCCCACCTAGCATTGTCTTCAATTCAAGTACTGTTTTTATATCTAATATAAACTTACATCATTTGAGAAAAATCTTTTAATACCTGTTAAGTTTTGCTTCCTTATTGTAAGGAATTTTCAATTTTTCCATCTATATTGAACAACTTTCTGGGAGAGGAATTGTTTTTACAGGGTAAAGGATAGTAATGTTTAACAATTGTATGTAAAATCATTTCGCATAATCTTTCTTTTTTAGCAGACTGACTCACTAGATTTCCTATTTTCTCTCAGGAGACCACTAGAACTGGACACAGATGGAATCTGGTGTGTCCTTCCTAACAGCTTTCCAGAGAACTTTGTCATCAAGTCCAATAATGCCAAGAAACCCAAAGTCACCATATCATACCCTGGAGCAATGCTTAATATCCTTGTGAAGGTTAGATGTCTTGTGTAATATATGCCTGGTTTAAAGAGAAAAACACTTTTGATTCAGTACTCTACATAATTCAGACATTTTCTTCCAGGAGGGGTTTACAAATCATCAGTACCAAGAGCTGAGTGACCCATCCACACTTACTTACATCACCCGCTCAGAGAATAGCATTTTCTTTGAGGTGGATGGGCCTTACCTTGCCATGATCCTGCCAGCTTCCAAGGAGGAAGGGAAGAAGCTAAAGAAAAGGTTGGTGCATGTTTTGTGACAGATCTATACTCTTAACATTACATCCTTTCTTGCACATCAGTAACAATCCTCACCTTGTAGGTATGCAGTGTTTAATGAAGATGGCTCGCTTGCTGAGCTGAAGGGTTTTGAGGTGAAGCGTCGCGGGGAACTGCAGCTGATAAAGATTTTTCAGTCCTCCGTGTTTGAAGCCTTCCTGAAAGGCAGTACATTGGAAGAGGTGTATGCATCTGTAGCCAAAGTAGCAGATTATTGGTTAGATGTGCTATACAGCAAGGTGAGCTTAAATTTAAAATGAAAGTTTGGGTAAAATATTTTCCTTTAATTACTGTATGAGATGAGAACATATGCATTTAAACATTCTAGAAAATGTAAAAGGTTTAGGAAACTACTACTAGTTGCCAGGAGAACTTGTACATTGCAGAGATTAAAGGGACACTATAGCCACCTAAACAACTTTAGCTTAATGGAGTAGTTTTGGTGTATAGATCATACCCCTGCAGTCTCACTGCTAAATTCTCTTCAATTTAGGAGTTAAATCACTTTGTTTAGACAGTCCTAGTCACACACCCCCTCATGTGACTTAAGCAGCGCTCTTAACCCCTTTCTGTACAGAATAGTCTGTTTACACTTCCTTTATTGCACATTCTGTTTTATTTCAATATTTTGTTGTCTGCTGCACTGCTAATCGCTTACTAGACCCTGCAGGAGCCTACTGCATGTAATTAAAGTTCAAATTACAGAGCAGGAGATAAAAACTGTGGCGGACTGCCTGGTACCCCGACTGGGTACCTCCCGCCAAACACGCTCCCTAGCTATCGTTGGGAAACCATCAGCACTTCAGCCCCTAGCCGCCACAGCTTGGCTGGGGTCTCACTGTCACTTCCCACCCTGGAACAGGGTCCTGGATCCAAATGATTGAAGCTCTCCTGCAGAGAATATAGCTGTGGAGTGATTATAGCTGCTTTGTGATTATAGCAAGCTGAATGATCATAGCTTTCCCCCACAGACATTAGCTGAGACTTTAATGCTGGGAGTGAACAGGTTTAAGGTGGCATGGTACAGGCAATTTACACACAGACCCCCAGCAGGGTGTCAATACAGACTCCTCCCCGGAATCTGTGTCTGTGAGATAATTGAGTGTACTTTGCTTAAACTAATTATCTCCCAGGCACAGATGTATTTCAAGGGACCCCCACAAGTCCTATTTCACCGAATAGCCTGGATCTTAGCGCCATACATTTCCAAAAAGGGCTTAGATCCCACAAACACAGGCGAATCTCCACCAGGGTAAAGTTTTGACCGACCGCACACATGGCGTCTGCCCAAAATAGTTCCATAAGAAAAGTGGTAGCGGTCAGTAACTTTCGTCGAGTCGCAAAACAAAATAACCTAGTTTCTAGGTATCGATTGTTCGCTTAGTTCGTGCAAACAGTCCTACTGAGCAGTGCTCTCCTGAGATGGTTAGAAAAGAAGCAGGCGTTCGTCTAAGTTCAGTAGTGTTCGCGAGTTAGTCTGTCCGATTTTAGTTCCATACACTTGACGCCCAAACACCAGGCGTTCGTGCGCCAAGATGGCCTCTAATTCATTCCCCACATGTTCGTTCATGCTAACGGCGGCAACCCAGTCGAACGCTTATGATAAGTGTGAAACAATGATGGAGGTGTCAGGAAAGGTTAATGGGGTTTAACAAGCCCAGAGGTGGTCAGAGTATGGGGGGTGTAGAGAGGCAATTTGTGGGTTTGTTCGGTAACCAAGCTGAAGAAGGGAAAACGTACCAACAGAGTATCTGAAGGGTCCGCTATATGGCCCTAAGTCCTTGGGCAGAAGGCTAGCTAGCAGGCTCCTCCAGGAGCGCGTGGCATAGGCATATTTGCCACAAAAACTTTTTAAAGGAAGTTACATCTGATTACAAATAAAAGCATTTTGTTTTCATGCTGGCTGTGTGGCTAGGGTTGCATAAACAGAAACAAAAGTGATTTAAGTCCTAAATGGTAGTGAACTGAACAGTAAGAGTTCAGAGGCATGATCTGTACACTAAAACTGCTTCATTAAGCTAACGTTGTTTTGGTGACTATAGTGTCCCGTTAAAGAGTCATTAGAGAGCCATGATGCAGCAGAGATTTAGAACAAATAAAACAAACAGTTTCCATAATAATTTACCACAATTCTACCAAGCTGATAATGACAATCTTTATAACCAAAAAAACAACTTTTGTCTCCCTACAGGCTGCCAACATGCCAGACTCAGAACTGTTTGAGTTGATTTCAGAGAACCGATCCATGTCCCGACGCCTTGAGGATTACGGAGAACAGAAATCTACTTCCATCAGCACTGCCAAACGTCTTGCAGAGTTTCTGGGAGACCAAATGGTGAAAGATGCTGGGCTGAGCTGCCGCTTTGTCATCTCTCGCAAACCTGAGGGCTCACCAGTTACAGAAAGGTCAGGCACTTGACAATTCGTATGTTTTGTGGTTGAAAAGTACATAAATGACTTGTGTCCATGTTCTGAAAAACACACTCTTGACCCTTCTTTACATTTAATTTGTTTGTACCACTTTTTATGTTCAAGAGCCATTCCTCTGGCAATCTTTCAAGCAGAGCTGGGAGTCAAGAGACACTATTTGCGCAAGTGGCTAAAAAATTCTTCACTTCAAGACTTGGATATTCGCTCAGTAAGTGCAAATTTTCCTTCCACATTTGTTCCATCATCCTATTTGTGGAAACTGTTTACCTTTTTCTCCCTTTTCTTCCTTTAGATATTGGACTGGGATTATTACATTGAGCGACTGGGCAGTGCAATCCAGAAGATTATCACTATTCCTGCAGCCTTACAACAGGTGGGAAGATCACATCTTGTTCAATGATAGCTATTTGCAACTTGACGTTTGTCAATTCTACAAAACTCAACATTTTGTCTAACTTAGAGCCAAAAATCACAATGGACATGACACATTTAAAATATATGAAGCATATGCACAAGGTTTATTTAGAGAAGTAGGAAGTGGATTTTAAATTAATAATGTGAGTCAATATTGTGGTAGACTCATTGGAAATGGTGGGGAATTGTATTTTATTGAAATAGTAGGACACCATGAAATATCTCAAAATGTTTAAATATATTTGTCGGGAGCTGCTTACACTTCACTATATCAGAGAGAGTTGAATCTTTGTTTCTCTGGTTTGACATTATTTTTGTGCTTTTTCTCTGGCTTCAAAAAGTCACACTCTAAGGGAACTAAGTCCATCAAAGTTTAAAAAAATTAAATAAATAGAAAGATCTTGAGACCACAGACAGCTTCTATTCGTGTGCCCTTTTTATTTATTTATTTATTTATTTATTTTCAATGAAAGAATGAATTGCAGGATTTATTGCACGTTTCTGCAAGTTTCCCTTAAATATCCGCTGCTGCTCGATGCCATGTTGGTAGTTTGTTCATTGTATCCATGCGTTTTGTGCCCTCAGGTGAAGAATCCTGTTCCACGTGTGCGGCACCCAGACTGGCTGCATAAAAAGTTACTAGAGAAAAATGATATTTTCAAGCAGAAAAGGATTAATGAGTTGTTCACGAGTGAGGGCAAGAAGCAGGTAATACATTTTTTCTTAACTGTCTTAATGTACTTCTAAAATATAGTAAATCAGAATGATCAAAAGTCATAAAACAGGGGGCTGGGCCTGGATACCAAGCTGTGCAGACGTGTCTAGCACGAGCTCCAGCCAAGCGGGCAAAAAAACGGGGCAAAGGCGTGGGAAATATGGCCCATGGTCCTTCACGGGTGCCCCCACCAACTCGATAGATTCTACCTCGGGGCCGGGAGCGCAGAGATCCGAGCGCGGCCTACTGGGACTGGAGCCAGGGAGAGGCGGCTTCTCTCCTCGGCGCCGAGGCCCTCCAGCAACTTAACTCCAGGGGCCCCAAAAGAGACACTCGCAGAGGCATCAACTGGGACTTCCCGATACTAGGCACCCCAATATGCTAATCTGTTTATGGCAGATCTTGAACAGAGATTCCTAGAAATCCAACACCATACAAATATTATCGCTATATCGATGATATCTTCATAATTTGGACTGAAAGCGAAGAAAAACTGATACAGTTCCATGACTCTTTCAACACATTCCATCCATCAATCAAACTAAAAATTTAATATTCCACTAGATCTGTGAATTTTCTGGACACCACTGTGACATGTAATAATGGCACAATCCACACCTCGGTTTACAGAAAACCCACAGACAGGTGCAGTTACCTTCACAGCTCCAGCTTCCACCCCTCTCATACTAAACAGGGCATCATCTACAGCCAAGCTACTAGGTACCATCGCATATGCTCTGATCCTAATGACTGTAATTCCCATCTAAATGTACTCTCTCAATCTATGAGACAGGCTACAAACCAAAGACTATTACCAAACAAATCAACTCTGCTGTAAAAACACCACGCACGCGCCTGCTACAGTACAGAGAGAAAACCATATCCACACGAGTGCCACTTGTAGTCACCTACAACCCAGCTCTTGAGGAAATACGGAAAATCATCAGACCTACAACCAATATTAACAGAAGATGAGACTCTGAAAAACATTTTCCCTGAAACACCCATTTTGACCTTCAGACTACCACCAAACCTCCAACAAAAATTAATCAACAGGAAGCTGCCCACTGATGGTAAGAATGAAGAAAACGGGACCAGTCAATGCAAAAAACCTCGCTGCAAACTGTTAGCACATGTGCACAGACAACACAGCCACACACAACAATAAAACCTACAGCATTAAAGGTTCATACTCCTGCACATCCAGCAATGTGGTATACATGATTCAATGCATAAAATGCCACCTAGGATGCTACATTGGGGAAACCACCCAGCCATTAAATGGCAAAATGAATATGCACAGACACTCTATTAAACACCACAAAGAAGAATCATACTGCACTCCTGTGGGACACCACTTTACCCAGCCTAGCCACTCACTGAAGGACCTAAAAATCAAAGAACTGAAAGGGGGTTTTTAAAAATACCCAGGAAAGAAAAGCATTTGAAGCCAGAATGATTAAATGGTTTAACAGCACGAATAGAGGACTAAATATTGATTTAGGATTCCTGTCCCACTACCAACACATTATATGAACACTCTCCCAGCATTATCTTACTATTCTGTCATATGTACAAACACTTTAAAATGCATTCCTATATGTTTATTCTATCTATATACAAAGTACTATGTATAGACCTATGCTTTCCCAAACTCGTATGCATGAATGCTTATATATATATATATATATATCTCTATCTATATATATATCTCTATCTATATATATATATATATATATATATATATATATATATATATATATAATCTGTGCATTTATATTTGTGTATATGAGTTGCATGTATGTATATGTGTTTATGTATATGTACATGTGTTTATGCGTTTACATATACATATTTGTGTGTGTGCATGTATAAAGTGTACCATCCTGTGCACTGTCTGCTTGTTTGTTTTTCTTTTCCCTCTCTCCCCCCTCACTCTGCCCTTCAACAAGATATTTATGACCCTCTGCTAAGATGGTGTCTATTCTCCAACAAACCTGTGTCTTATCTACACTCATGTCGCTTTAACCCCTGTATCACAACTCAACTTTGAATTCTATGTGTCGTTTTGCTCAGAAATGCTTCAGACTTGAGAAAGGTTCTCCCGAAAGCTTGTCATTAAAAAATTCTGTTAGTCAAATAAAAAAGGTATTACAAGATAAGAATTTTATCTGTGTTTTACATTTTTTTTATATATATCTCCAAAAAATGAAGTTTGGCACTCTTCCTTATTACAGTATTTAAACGCTATAACTAGGGTGCAAACCCGCGAAAATATATATAGAGAAAAATCAAAGGTCTCTCGCTTTCTCCCTCCCTCTCTCCCTCCTTCCCCACCATAACCTATTTGATTTACATTAACAATGAAATGGCAAACATGAGTTGTTTATTGGCTTTGCATCTTTTTCTAAGTTGTGTTTCAAAGCTGTTGTATGAAGCAAACACAGACTCAACAGAATCCATGTTTAAAATGTAAATCCATGCAAAATGTGATTCTTGCAAATGCCCACACAGAATCCTTTGCGGTAGTAACATCACTGCAGATTTGTTATTTCTGTGGGAAAAGAAAGTCTTATGGCTTGACTGGTGTGCAGATTTTTGTTTAACATTGTATTAACTATCTCCAGACTTCAGGTGGACAGGGTTTTCAATCACAATTTTTCCCCACAGCAACTTATTTGGATATATATATATCTATATATCTATCTATCTATATATATATCTATCTATATATCTATCTATCTATATATCTATCTATCTATATATATATATCTCTATATCTAAACTGATCATTAATTTTTTTGTTTTGTTATTAATTTTCAAGCATTATGCCATGGATATGCCTACTTCTAATAGATAACACACACTTAATTCATATCTTTGTTACCATTACAAAACGTAGATCAAATTTCTAGATGGTAGCAACATGATATGGAGTACTTTATTCCCTCCAATTTGTAATACATGGATGTTGTATGGTTTGGTTCAATAATATTTATTTACTATTATGGATATTTCCCTCCCCAGTCTACTTAGTTACTGAATGCATCAGGAAGTGTGTGGTTGGTTAATTACAAGCAGAGTGGTTTTAGAACAGGAATCTCTAATAACATCATCTGTTTTCCAAGCTATAATTGTGAACCCCTAGGTTGGCCTCCTGCCTTTCACTAATTTAATCAAAGGAATCCTGTATCATCTGTTATATATGATTTGATATATGGGAATCATTTTTTTGCTAATGGAATTCTAGTACCGGAATGGAAAATGTATTGAATCAGTTCAGTGACATAGAAAGAGCATTTACTTTGTGTCATGTCTCTACATCGTTTCTCAGAAAGTACAACTAATAGCACGTGTTAATAAACCTGTAGGTAGAAGTATACAGGAATAAACTTCCTTAGGTTTTGGTAGTCAAGTGCCAAACTTTAAGCTTTTAATGGACTTGAACAATCATGAATATTTCCTAACCACAAAGTTAGACTTATTTACTCTGCAGGCAGCTGGTGATTTAGATTTTTCTCACAACTGTAATTTCTTGTAGTAGGAGTCTAGCTATACTGGTATTCATTTGGCCTTGCATTTATTTTTTCTACAAATCTGCAGATAAATATATTTTAAATAAAAATGTGTATTATCCCCCCTTCCCACAAGTTTTTTTTAAATATTTATATATATATATATATATATATATATATATATATATATATATATATATATATATATATATATATATATATATAAACAAGCTCTTTTGTCACTTTATTTATATTGATCTTATTATGCTTTCTTGCAGTCTTCGGGTACTGTTTGTTTTGTTTTCAAAAGTTGCATGCATTATTTACACAAGTTGGTGCATTTTTGTAGCTCACTCTTCTTCCTGTATAGTATGGATTTATAAAAAGGTGGTTAGAATACCCTATATTGGATATAATCATAAGGGTGTTTGATAATCTCACCAGTGAGTGCTTGGATTGTTCAGATTTGGTTACTCTCACACCTGTTTAGGTAACTGCCCAGTTGCAGCAACCAGAAACCTCTCAGACCCCAGACATGGAGGATTTTGGGAATGGTAAACGTCTCCAGCCAGCAATTCCCATTAGCACCAAGAGGAAACGTGTGCCAACAGCTGAAGAGAGTCAAGGAGATTCTCAGGATTTAACACTCACGCAGTCTTGGCGAGAGGTGCTGGGACCACCTCCACCACTGGGCACCACAAAGGTGAGCAGGCATATAGAGCACAGTCTATGCAATATGTATTCGTGGTGGTGGATATCTCTGTGATTCTTAATTACTCTTTAGGAAGAGAGAATAGTATGGCTGCGTTACCACAAAAAGAAGTGGGAGTTGCAAGCACGACAGCGGAAGGAAAGGCAAAAGAAACGTCGATTGGCAGATGGGGATGCTGCACCTGGAGCTGGAGGAGTTGTCCGAGAGACTCAAGCGGCTGGCCTAGGAAGTTTCCTGAGAAGAACAGCTCGCAGTATCCTAGACATGCCCTGGCAAATTGTGCAGGTCAGTATAATTCCTTTTCAAAAGCAGGTATAAACAAACAGTCTTTGCGCATGATCCACTTACTTTCTTGGTATTCCATAGATTGGGGAGAGCAGCCAACCAGGACTGTTCCGCCTTTGGGCTGTCATAGGCAGCGATCTACACTGCATCAAACTCAGCATCCCACGTGTCTTTTATGTCAACCAACGAGTCCCAAAACCAGAGGAGGGTTCTGTTTACAGAAAGGTTGGAATTTCTCTATTGATAAAATACTGTGGTAAAACATTCTGTTACCATGTCCTTAAATTATTGCTTTTGCTTCAAATGTCAAGATGCATATGGCGACAACTACAAATTTCTCGTTTGTTCCTTTTTCTTTACATCATCTACCAGCATAAAGATCAAATTGTTTTCCTTTCACCAGGTCAACAGGATTCTCCCTCGAAGTAACCCTGTATACCATCTGTATGAATACACAGTACCAGAGGATATGTATCAGGAACACATCAATGAGATCAATGCAGATCTGTCTGCTCCAGATATTGAGGGTGTATATGAGACACAGGTATTGTCCACTTCTCAAATGAATTTTGAAAATAATTTTTAACCACTGGGAAGTCTTTCTTTAGTTGAAAGCACACATTTTGTTATTTCACAAGTGAAACAGTCGAAAAACATTTATTTCTAATTAAGAATGTTTATATATGATTAACTTAATTGAGAAGGAACATAAACATGTGATTGCCAGAGGATGTGACATTGTTCTGTTTTCTACTCTCTTTACTACGTGCTGATTATATTTGTTCCGACCCAGGTTCCCTTGCTGTTGCGTGCAGTCACCAAACTGGGTTGTGTCTGCATGGTAAACAAGCAGCTGATCCGGCATCTCTCTGGACGAGAAGCTGAAACATTTGAATTGGACCACTTAGAAATGAAGTCACTAGCTCAGTACAGCTACCTGGAACCAGGTAACAGAGGTTTTTACATTTTCATTTAAAGGGACACTATAGTCACCAGAACTACAGCTTAATGTAGTTGTTCTGGTGATTATAATCATTCCCTGCTGGCATTTGCATGCAAACTCTGCCTTTTCACAGAAAAAAACAATGTTTACTTTGCCCCCTATGGACACCTCCAGTGGCCACTGGAGGTGCTTCCTGGGGCAGTGCTGTACCGTGTGCAGCACTGCTGTTCCTCGGAGACGCTGAATTTTCCTCATAGAGATGCATTGATTCAATGCATCTATGAGGAAGGACTGATTGGCCAAGCTGGTGTTTGGCCCCTCCCCTGTCCTGCCGCCTTTCAATTTCAGACAATCCAATATGGCAAAGCATTGGATTGGCTAAAAATCATAAATTCTGATGTCAGCAAGGAGATGGATCTGGGGTGGGGCCAGCGGATCCACACGATGCTGGAAATAAGCTTTTATTACCTTTTTAATGGGGTAAAAGGGGGGCCAACCACCTAAATAGTGGTGTTAACACTATATGGTCAGGAATACATGTTTGTGTTCCTGACCCTATAGGGTTCCTTTAATTTTGAAACTTTTTTTTTGTTTCCCCTTCACAGGAAGTATCAGGCACATTTATTTGTATCATAATTCTCAAGGAAATAAAGCTTTGTTTGGTCTCTTCATCCCATCCCAGCGTAAATCTGCCGTTTTTGTGGTGGATACGGTAAGAGAAGTGATTGGGTTTGGTTGTTGTTGACATGGCAGGCAGTAATTTTATTCCCAAAGGCATTGTACTGATTGGGGCGGTATTGATGATAAGCAGTAATACAATTGCAAAAAGTGTAAACAATGGAATTTGTCAAATGCAGTGCAATATGCCTGGTATATTTTTATTTAAAAAATATAGAGATAAGTGCTTAATTCAGTGTTAATATTGGGTGGTAATTTCAAAGTAAAATATTTTGGTCCATTTTTATCTTTCCTTTGTACAGGTGCGTAGTAATCAAATGCCAAACCTTAGCAGTATGTATACAGCAGAACGCACAGCTATGCTGGAGAGAGTGGACTCTGAGCTACTGCCGCCAGAAAAGCATGTCTTTGAGGTGCGAGCAGAAACAGACTTGAAAACGGTCTACAGAGCTATCCAGAGATTACTCCTGAGCTACAAGGTGAGAAAAGAGGTTCTATGGCCATATTGTAAAACAAACTTTGCATCAAGTAGCATAGTTTTAAACCTGTTATGTTTGACCCTAACTTAAGGATGAAAGACGAGGTCCTACTTTGATAGCCATGCAGTCTAACTGGCCATGGAAGAGGTTGGCTGGAGGAATGCCTGTTCTGGAAGAATTCCCTCTGGTCCCTGTGCGTGTGACAGATGACATCAGCTACAGTGTCCTCGACTGGCAGCGTCACGGAGCTCGGCGCATGATTCGTCATTACCTTAACTTGGACAGCTGTCTATCCCAGGCATTTGAGATGGCCAGGTGAAATATAATAAATTTGTATGCTATTTATTTAAATATAAAACATTAATAGCATCTGGTATAATGATACACATTAATAATTTAACATCAACGGTTACACAAGGTCCTGAGGCCTTTGGCTATTTAAATACTTTCCATACATTACGTGTGTGGATTGTAAAAGCATTCTACAACTGTCATGGCAAACCTGTGGTGGGAGTTTCACTAAATCAGGGCAGGCAACCTTTGGCGCTCCAAATGTGGTAGACTATATCGCCAAAAATGCTGGCAAAGGGGACATGTAGTCCACAACATCTGGAGTGCCAAAGATTGGCTACCCTGCACTAGATGATACTGTCAGTTTAATAGGAATCCTGTAAATTGTAGCGGCTTTAACAAATGCTGTGCCTTTAGTGCACAATGCAAAGCTGCTAAATGTCGGTCACTAGGTATGATGATGATAAAGTGCTTAGTGAGTATGTGAGATACAGTAAAATAAAATCATGAGATCTGAGTGAAAGTGGATATGGCGTTTACAAATAATAGATAATTTAGAGGGAAATGAGAGTACTGATTTTAGTGGGTTTAGAAAAGTATTGAACTGAAGGTGGGACATTCAAGGAAAGGTTTAGAGGATGTGACGGGAGAATAGACCGTTAAAATTTAAATGGAGAAGGTGGTCAGCAAAAACCAGTGTAGAGGGAGAGTGCAATTGCAATTAGAATGTTGATGTACTGTAAAATATATTACTTGTACTTTAAAATGTTCATAGACCAAATCTTGCAACACAGGTTCCTAACCACAGGACTGATATCTGAACTCGATCAAGTAAATAGAAAAAATACTTTTGCTCCATTCCCCCCTTTGTGCACTATTTTTTATATATTTTTTTTCTTCCTACATTATTCCGGATGCAATAAAAGTTTTTGGTTTTACTACTTATATGATCGGGTCCAGATGTCTGTCCTCTGGTTATCACCTGGCGTTGCAGTTGCACTTTGTCTTTAGTGGGTGGTGAACCCACCAGTCACGTCTTGTGGGATAAGAACATTTGGAGGTTTACTTTATTTTCTCTGCATAATTTACCTGTCTTTTTTTTCCATAGGCCATATCATCTTTATATTTTTTTTTATCATCCTTTTGTTTCACACATACTTTTGTTTTGGGCTATCACTCTAAAACTCTCTGGACTATGTTTGTTTTGGGGGTTTTTTAATTACTTTTTTTTAGGTTTTTTTTTTTTTCCTATAATTCTTAATCTTAAGTATTTTGTATTTAATTTTCTTTAAAATGTCACTCTCCACCTTCAGATATTATCACCTTCCTGTGGGTAATTTGCCAGATGATGTATCCACTTTTGGATCTGACCTGTTCTTTGCAAGACATCTTCGCCGACACAATCACCTGCTTTGGATGTCCCCTAGCACCCGACCAGATCTTGGTGGCAAAGAAGCAGATAATAACCGTCTGGTAATGGAGTTTGATGAAAGAGCCTCTGTGGAAATAAACAACTCTGGTTGCTACAATACTGGTAAAAAAACTATTTATGATCATTAAACTATAGAAGACAAAAAAATCCTTATTTATCCGTTTTTTGAATGTTGAAGCAAAGTATGCCTCATGCCATTGCAATACATACCAATATGACAGAAAATCTTTTTACAATAACATTGGCCCAGTAGCCCACTTTTGATGATCGCGTTGTGCCTAATTTCTGCCTGCAGGTTCTGTTAGATTACATAATTTAAATTTACCCAGCCTGTGCTTCAGAAATGTATTGCGCACGTCCCATTAGAACAGTTTAGCGCTCTCTCTGTTCATGATTGTTGTAACTTCCTGAACAGTTGAAACTTCAGGATTTACAGTGTGAATCATGAAATAGACTCTTCTGCCATTTCTCAAAGTAGTGAATGAAGATAATGAACAGAGGTGATTTTAGATTGTTTCAGAATTTCATCTTTTTGAGGTCAATAAAATAAGCACTATTAACCCCTTAAGGACACATGACATGTCATGATTCCCTTTTATTCCAGAAGTTTGGTCCTTAAGGGGTTAAAGGGACACTATAGTCACCTGAACAACTTCAGCTTAATGAGGTTGTTCAGGTGAGAACTATAGCTCCCTGCAGCCTTTCTCATGTAAACACTGTATTTTCTGAGAAAATATAGTGTTTACAATGAAAGCTAGGAACACCTCCAGTTGCAGTCACTCAGAGTGAACCAGAGGGACCTCTGAGTTGATGGAGGCATAATATGCCTCCAGACACTCAGATCTGCTGTGCACGAACATCCTGTGATTCAGTATCTCCTCCCACTGCATGCAGACACTGAACTTTCCTCATAGAGATTCATTGATTCAATTAATCTCTATGAGGAGATGCTGATTGGCCAGGGCTGTGTTTGAATCATGCTGGCTCTGTCCCTGATCTGCCTCCTTGTCAGTCTCAGCCAATCCTATGGGGAAGCACTGTGATTGGATCAGGCTATCACATGTCAGCAGACTGCTTGTTTTTCCTGAGTCTTAACAGCATGCAGATTTACAGCTGCTGGCTTGAATACAGTAAGATTTTTTACTATATTTATGGAGGCATGGGGGGCTAGATGGTAGTGTTAACACTATAGGGTTAGGAATACATGTAGTTGCACTGGTGACTATAGTGTCCCTTTAATTTGTCCAAGACTAACATTCTTTATAATCATTTCTGTCAACAGTACCCTGTGCATGTATGTGTTCTCTAAAACCTCCTTTTGTGTCTTCTCTAGTGTGTGTGGAGCTTGATATCCAGAGCTTGGCTGTAAATAGCATCCTCCAGTCCCACCACATTAATGATCTAGAAGGTGCCGGCAGCGTGGGAATCAGTTTTGATGTCCTGCAGCAGGCATCGCTTGAAGATATGGTTACTGGAAATCAAACCAACACTGTGGCCAGCTACGATGAGACTGCACTCTGCTCAAACACCTTCAGGTGTGTAATGGTGTAAAATAGCTAAATTTTAAGCTATAATAAAATGTCTGCCCAAATATGGTCAAAGGCATTTTTATAAATGTCAAAGTAAGTACATTTTATTTTGTGAAACTCCACCTATTTTCCAAAACCTCCATATCTTCAACTGACTTCATTACTTCTTTTAAATTATTACCTGTTTTGTATTAATGTAGATCTTGATTGCCCTGGCCTCTATCTGTGCTGGCATAGATATCCTCATAATTGAATTATTACTACTCTGAATGAGGGCACAGTATCTCACAACGTAAATATCATTTGCAGAATTCTGAAGAGTATGGTTGTAGGTTGGGTGAAGGAGATAACCCAGTACCACAACGTTTATGCAGATAACCAGGTTATGCACTTCTACCGCTGGTTGAGAACCCCATCTTCCCTACTATATGACCCTGCTCTTCACCGAACCCTACACAACATGATGAAGAAGTTGTTCCTGCAGTAAGTAAAATGCTGTACATGCTTTTGTTTTAATTTTTTGTTACTGAAATGTATCTTATGGCTATTCACTTTATATTTCTGATAATGACATTTACACACTTTGTGAGCATACAGGACAGTGTTCAGTGCAGTTATTTAGGACAGTTTCAATTGCACTCCCTAAAGAAATAGGTGCTTTTGCTTGAATCATTAAAGGGACACTCCAGGTACCCAGACCACTTCTGCCCATTGGAGTGGTCTGGGTGCCAACTCCCACTACTCTTAACCCTGCAAGTGTAATTATTGCAGTTTTTTTACAAACTGCAATAATTACCTTGCAGGGTTAACTCCACCTCTAGTGGCTGTCTACTAGAGGGCTCTTCCTGGTTTCTAGCAGAGAAAATCTGTGCTGTGAGGACCTCCAGCATCGCCCATTTTCCCATAGGAAAGCATTGAAAAGCATTTGGGGAGCTCTAATGCAAATGCGCGGCATTGCCGCACATGCGACTTAGGTCTCCCCGGCCGGTGGGCGGGATCAGTCTCGCCCACCAGCAGACGCAATCACAGGGAGGAGCGGCGCGGAGGAAGAAGCAGCGACGTGGGACTTCGTCGCTGCCTCTGGTAAGTTACTGAAGGGGTTTTCACCCCTTCAGCAACCGGGGATTGGGGGGTGGGAGGAAGAGGGGACCTGCAGTGCCAGGAAAACAGATTGTTTTCCTGGCACTGGAGTTTCCCTTTAATTATCAAGCAAAAAAAACAAGGTATAAGAGAGTACTGAAAACGGACAACAACTCAGATAGCCTGCCCTTTGGTGGGTCCCCACTCCGATCTCAAGTTGGTGCCATTACAAAAATAACTAGGCCATTTGCATATCAGACTGATCCCACCTAAAAAGGCGGAACAGATCCAAAACGCAGCCTTTCTTCTCTTTGAGATTGCATCAGGCATTCACACTCCATTGTACAAATTAACCAGCAACCCCAACAGCACAGACACGAGGTGCACAAGTGACAGTGCCTTTTAGATTCCACACATTTTCTTTGTTTATTTTTTTTTTCAGTTCTGCCACCTTTCATAAAACATTACCGTTCTAGTTTCCCAGAAAAGACAAGAAAGAACAGAAAATTCCAGCCAAAGTTCAAAACATTTCTATGGCTGATATCACACTTACTCTTTAACGTAAAGTGTGCTGTTTAGAAATGTTGACAATGGCTTTAATTTGAACATTATCTGTCCATTTTCCCTCACAATCCATAAACATAGAATTAGTCCATCTTTCGACTGCATAGACTAGTGCTCACCAAACCAGTCTCTATGGATTCTCAATGCTACATCTTACCATACATCGTATTACTATAGTTACTAGAAATGCTGGAGCTGTAACCTAATCATTCTGTAATCAGACAAATTATACTCTTTTTATACATTTTGTAAACCTATTTGAATTACCCCTCTCACTCCCTTTTATAATTTGTTTCCTTTTTCTTCAGGCATTCATTGTTTTATTTTCTGTTATAGACTAGTGGCAGAGTTCAAACGGCTTGGCTCCTCTGTGGTTTATGCAAATTTTAACCGCATTATTCTCTGCACCAAGAAGCGTCGCGTGGAGGATGCAGTCGCTTACGTAGAGTATATCACTCAAAGGTGAGTATATAGTATGTTACGCTGTGATGTTGTTTGACTTAAAGGGCTGCTGTAAATTATTTAAAATTTTTGCTTCCAGCATACACTCACGGGAGCTCTTTCACTCTCTCACTATTTCGTTTTCGCGCTGCTGGGAGTTTTTGCTCTGGATGGACCCTGCGAATTACGGTGGCATCAAAGGGAAGCTTCCTTCCAGTGTTCACTATGGAGAGGTCGGTTTACACATGTTTACAGAAGGGTTGGATTTTAGAAAGAAAAGTGAATTGGTGTGTGTCTTAACATGGATTGTTGTGGCTTATTTCAGAAAGTAAAAAAGAAGAATGATGAGGGCAGTGAAGATGAGGAAGACGAAGATGAAGATGTTCCTTCAGACCGGGAGGACCCAGTGGATGAAGTTGAAGAGGCTTTGGAGAATAGCTGGAATATTGTACAGTACTTGCCACAAACAGCCTCTTGCCAAAGCTACTTTCTCATGATCATCTCTGGTGAGTACTTCTCTTCTTCTGTAACTTTTTATCCATGTTATGTGCCACGAGAACTTGTAGTATATCTGATTGTGCTCTTTAACTTCCCATACATTCATAACCCAGTGACATCTGCTGTGTACATCGTCGTTGGGGGTCTCTCTTCTAAATCACAGTATGTCTCCACTTCTCCCTGTGATCTCTGGTCCTTCACTTTCCCACAGAGCACTTTGTGTATTAGAACTCATTTTGACTCCAGTCAGACTGGGCAAAGCTTCTGACCAGAGATTCACAAGTAATTAAAAGAACTTTTACATGCAGGTACATTGATGGGAAGACAAAATATACAAACTTATTTTCAGATTTCCTGGTCATAAATTTAAATTCTTATGTCCTGTTCATACAGCATATGTTGTGGCCGTGTATCATAGCATGAGAGAGGAAATTAGAAGGAATGCGCCTGGGAGCACTCCAATCAAACGAAGACAGCATAGCCAGGTTTCGCAAGAACCGGAAGGAGAAACTGGAGCCATGCCTGGTGAGGACCTCTCTGATTTAAGCATATTGCAAATTTTTTTGTGATTTTATAATGGATTAACTAACGTTGATTTGCATGGGCACTTTGAGGTATATCCTACTGCAAAATGTCTTCATGTCATTTATATGAAATTATGTCCATTGCCTTTTTCTGGGGCCTGTATTTGAACCTATGTTCAAAAGAAGTTGTCTTGTCCTATAACAGGGATAGGCAACTTTCGGCAGTCCAGATGTTTTGGACTTCATCCCCAATAATGCTCTTACACCATTAATGTTGGCAAAGTATTATGGGAGGTGTAGTCCAAAACATCTGGAGTGCCGAAGGTTGCCCATGCCTTTCCTATAACATCATAAACCAATTGCCAACATGCTAACTTCTATATCTCTTGGGAGGAAATTAAGTTGCCACGGTTTGAATTACTGTGTATTTTTTTTTATTTTTATTTTATTATAAAACCCACCTTTTCTTCACAGGTCTTATCACCTTTTCCCAGGATTACGTGGCTAATGAGTTAACACAGAACTTCTTTACCATCACACAGAAGATACAGAAGAAGGTGACTGGGACTCGCCATGCAACAGAGCCCTCGGATATGTTTCCCATCTTACCAGGGTCTTATCTTCCTTTCAACAATCCAGCCTTAGAATTCATCAAATGTGTGTGTGAGGTAAATAGCTAGAATACATGGCAGCTTTATACTCAAGCTAACTGGAATCAAGAGCTCATATACTTGTAGTATTCAAAATCGCAGTAATCACTAGAAAACAGCAAAGTAAATAAAAATAAATTCATACTGTGTGAATGCAGAACCTCTATGAAGCAATGCTTTGTAATAACTGTACTGTGAGCATATTTATCCAAAGAAAATAAATTATTTTAAACTAGCTGGTGCTGGTCATTTATATTGCTGCGTGATTTTGTAAGGAATAGATAGCTACAAAATATTGTTCATATATTTTCACTGTACATCATGATTTCATCTGCCTAGTTTATCTATGAAGTTTAGTATTTTAGGCAGGTGCCCACAGAGTACAATGAGCGTCCTAGTGGTAACACTAATGTATCAGGACTTTGACATCCTCTTTAAAGCGGCACTGTCGTTCCAAACGTACTTTTCCCCTATTGTTTTCTTTTCTCTGTCTGTTTCTGTTCTTGGGTTCTTTATTTTTGATCTAGCTTTCTGTAAAACATAACACAAAGTAGGGACAACTTTGTCCTTTGTATTTTTCCTACACTTGATATTCTCTGACACAAGGAGTAACTCAAGTCCGTTCCATTTCCTGTGTCAGAATGTTAGGCGTAGAAAAAAATATAAACAAAGTAGGTCCTACTTTCGCTTATGTTTTAAAGAAAACTAGATCAGAAATAAAGAAAAGCCGATTCTGAGAGCGGAAGAGAATATGAAAAAATAGGAGAAAGGCAAGTTCCGCGTGACTGTACCTCTTTAACTTCTTGATACTCAAGAATGGACTTTATCCTTTTTGTGTGCATTTAGACTGGTGGTTTTAGCAGATCATAGTTAATGTCCTATCCTCTTTTTGGATGAATTACAAGAGGATATCTCTATTCTAATTTAGCAGCCATAAACATTAACTGTTCTACTTCCTCTCTGCTGTATTCCAGTCATTAACTGTGTCCTTAACTATATGATCAACATCAAATCTTGGTACCCATTGTCTCTAATATGGTTCTCAATTATATTTAATCAAAATAGACAATGAAGGAGCCTGCTCTAGATTGTGGTTATATTGGCCCATTCAAACCAGAAACCTCACTGGTATGGTTGGTTTTACAGTCTCCCTATACAATTATAAATCTTCATCATGCTTATATTCCTGACATTGACTAAAGCTAGGACAGTTTATATCAGTTTGTTCTAGGCAACACATTATGTTACACATTTTAGCAAAACTGATTTATAGTTTTCAATTCTAATTTAATAGCATGTAATTTTTATGGCCCTTTCCAAGAATTCTGGTCTAGTTACTGTGACTAAGCAATTGAGAGAGTAATGTTTGCAAGGCTAAAATCAGAAATTATATAGGGTCCTGTAGGCTGGCAAAATTCAATGCTAATTAACTATTTTAAAGCACCTAATATTGATAACCTTTAGTTAAGATTTTATTATATTTATTATGGATGCATGTTTCTGAGATCTAAATGTGTATTCAATCCACAGGTATTGTCTCTGGATTCAAATATTACCAACCAGGTCAACAAACTGAAAAGAGATCTCTTGCGGCTTATCGATGTAGGGGAGTTCTCAGAAGATGCACAGTTCCGTGACCCCTGTCGATCCTATATATTACCAGAGATCATTTGCAGGAATTGCAATTTCTGCCGGGACCTTGATCTGTGCAAGGACCCTTCACTTGGTCAGGTCAGTGCCTTTCCCTCTTTCATATTTTATAAGTTCAGGAGCACTCCATGGTGAATATAACAGTTTTTTGTGCAGCACTGCTGTAAAGAGACATTACAGCACTCAATCTAAAAAAAATACCAATAATCTAGAAAATATCATTTTCATGCAAGACACCCACTCCCCCTAGTGTTTTTGATTTCAGCACTAATGTCTCCAGAGACCTGCTAGTAGTTGAGATCTCTTGTTGATTTGTGGGAGTGTTAAAGCAGCACTGTCATGCCGAACTTACCTTTCCCTAATCATTTCCTCGTATCTTCCTCTCCCAGGATCTGTTCTTAATTTCTTCCTCTCTGCTCTAGTTTTCTTTAAAATATAAGACAAAGTATGGACTATTTGTCTTATGTAGGTTTCCTACACCTGTGTGCTCCATTTCCTGTGGTCAGAGAAATTTGTCCACAATTTTCACCTTTCCTCAGTGTTCTCGCGATGCCTCCTTTCTGTGAATGCCAGCAAAACTACCAAATTTCCTACTGTCCTCTGGACCCCACCCTTGAGCTCATATATTGCTTCTGTGAGTGTCAAGCCTCCTACTGGGATGATATCATTTCTTTCCACATTGCTTGTAGATACTATTTTTTCCGGACCAAACTTGAGTCTCAATATGTTCTTATTAGTTTCACAAATCAAGTATATAACGGACATGGGGGTATAGTATATGTCTCCAAAATGTACAGGCAATATATAAATTAAAAAGAGAAGAAAGGAAAAAACTAGTATTAAGACATATATGTAAAAAATGATGATAATCATATAAAGGGAAAGCTTGCAACTGTTATAATATATAAAGTGTAAAACAGACTGATCAAACGTGACTTCCTAGCACAAACAGACTTGCCTAGGTTTACAGAGGGCGACGCTGACACTCTGAAAGCACCCATTTCACAGGAGGTGGTGGAGGTTTCCACTCTCAAGGGTAATAAAGCACCCAGACCTGACTGATCTGATATGAGCTATTACAAAAAAATCAGGGGGGAGCTTGAAACACTTCTATGTAGCTATTAAGATGTATCCAGATACAAGGTCAACCTCACTGAATTGATAGCAATGCCATTTAACTTGGTGGACCAGGACGTGACACACATTAGACATATCCACCAAATCAAAACCACCACAGAGGCGCTCACTTACCTGGGAGTGTGACTGACTGCAGACCCTAACGCATTATTCAGATATAATGACACACCACAACTCACCACACTCAAAGATTATCTAGAGAAATGGACAGACAAACCTATTACCTGGCTGGGTCGCTTACATTCAGTGAAGATGAATATCATGCCTAGACTATTATTCTTGTTTCAAGCCATACAGGTACGGGTTACAAGGGGAGACTTAGCAGACATACAGAAAGCTATAGACACATTTATTTGGCAGAGAAAGCGAGACAGAATCGCCCTTACGATACTCTATAGCCCTAAAAGGAGGGGTGGACTAGGGCTACCCCAACTCTATTTTTACTACCTTGCAGTACAAATAGCCCAAATCGCTTATTGGCACTGCCCCGTAGACCATAGGTGATGGGTGGACATTGAGTCTGTGCTGACCTCCTGCATTTCTACATGTAGACTTCCAGAGAACAGTGTTTCTCAGGACTACCTACCCAGCGGTCCTCAACTCCATAAGCTTATGGGACCAAGTGGCACAAATACAATCTCACTAGTTTCCCTTCTCCAATGACCCCAGTGTTGAGGAACAGAGCGTTCTTGCCGGGACTGGGGGCTAAGGATTTCAAGGGCCTAGAGGCCACGAGTCTACAACGCTACATCCATCTATACATTAACAAACAGTAAAGTATGAGCATTTAAAATCGTTTGCCCCACTGGGCACCCGAGACTTCTTTCGCTACATACAGCTTAGAGACTTTGCACAAACCACTGAGGTTAGGACAGCAATAGCCAAACAATTTAAATTTTTTGAGAACATGCCTATGCCCATGAAACTAATATCCTTACTCTATAGCCACATCAGCTCGGAATCCGGGGAATGGGGAACACTAACATGTACAGACCAGTGAGAGGTGGACTTGGGAGAAACAATAGAGGGAACGGATTGGCAGGACATCTGGGAGGCCTGTGCGAAAAAATCCATATGCACCTCCTTACAGGAACAGGCTTACAAAACACTATTTTGATGGTACACGACCTTTGTCAACCAATGCCACATGAAGATCTGTCCAACAGATACATGCTGGCGCCTGTTCGGGGAAAAGGGCAACTTCATACACGTAGTGGCACTGTCCCAGAGTTAGAGAATACTGGCGAGGGGGGGTGCACCTGGGCTTGCAGATCCTACAAAGGAGACTAACACTTGATCCATGGGCCTGCCTGTTGTCCAGATCCACAGAGGGGCTAGACCGTTACGAACAAAGAGTATTGAATATGCTCTGCTTAGCAGTTCGCTGAGTGTTGGCTCACTGGATAAAACCTGAGACTCCCCAATTATCTCTAGTCATATCTAAAAGTAGAGACAATTATCTGATGGACAGACTGACAGCACAGGTCTGCAACACAACTGCCTCTTTTAAAAATGTATGGGCTCTATGGGAGCAATTTGAGGAGTGACAGACATTCCAAAACTGACCCTGACAGGGGAGGGGTGGATGGGGGACGACCCCTCACCTCCGGTGCCAAACAACTAACCGGATATTGGGGAGAGCTGCATTCGCAGATAGTGCTGGTACCGATGTATGGGAATTCTTGACAGCGGCTGGGGGTTGTCGGCTTGGGACTGCTGTGCAGCCGCCCTGCGGACAAGTGCTCAGGCCATAGCATGGCGGCCACCGGTGGAGACAATATACAGACTTAGAGCTACGAATCCAATTTAGCACAACCCTGATTGTGTAACCAAATGCGAACATATGATACGAGCAAGTTATTGTTAATGGATCGATTACTTTTTTTTTTGAATATTTAATCTTTATTTTATATTTTTTTTTTTTTTTAAACCTTATTAAATACATATATCATACAAATACAAATATCATACAAATATACATTTATAATACAAAAACAACATAGCAGCAAAATAGGGGAGGGAAGAGAAAAATACATCAAAAAGATTTCCGTAGTAGAGTGGTAATATCATTTAGATAAGTCTCATAATTATTTACAATGTTCATGGAATTATTCTACTTCTAATTGATCGGCATTATTTTCTACATCAATCATCTCAATACACTTTGACCAAACAGAAATCTTATTGCTTAATCTTTGTTTACTTAGCATCAGCTCCATTCTAATCTGAAACTCGAGTTGAATTTTAACTTTCTTCCAGGGGACTTCTAAATCCCTTTTCCACCATCTCGCAATTACTATTTTAGCCGCTAAAAAAAGATGTATAAGAATTGCTTTTAATTCATATGTCATATGAGGCCAATTCAGATGCAGTAGAACTACCTCTGGAGAAATTATCAACTCGAGTTTTAAATTATTAGATATAAAATGCTGTATTTTCAACCAGAGATATTTTAATTTGTGACAATCCCACCAAATATGTCTAAAATTGCCTCTAATACTATTACATCTCCAACAGATAGGATTAATTAGAGAGTAAATTTTATTCAATTTAGCTGGTACTAATTACCACCTATTTAAAACTTTAAAGTGCGTTTCTAATAAATTTAATGAATGTATATTTTTCTTAACATCCATCATTGAAGAACCCCATTGATTCAAATTAATATCGATATTCAAATCTTGTTTCCAAACCTGTATGGCAGTAGGATTTGTATCTTTAAACATTGATTTAATTAATATTAGAGCTTTGGAAAGTGGTTTATTGATTTTTTTTGACGTGAATAATAAGTCTATCAAATTGCTCAGGTTAGATTTTGGTATTATAAGGTGTGTATTCATATAACTTTTAAGTCTTAAGAAATTAAACACCTCTCTAGGAGGAAGATTATATATCCCTGTTATTTGAGCAAAGGTTTTGATTGATCCTTCTATCAATAATTGGTCCAAAGTAGTTATCCCTACTTTTTTCCAATTATTTAAGTTTGTCTTCCACTTGTTTTTCTACAATATCTAACTCTAAATAACTTGGAACTTTTTTTTCTATATTCATTGCTTTTTTAATTTTTAACCAATTTTCCAGTAATTGAGTTAAAATAATACTGGCATACTCTTTTTTTCTTTGACATTTTATTTATATTCCAAATTAAACAGTCTAAGCTAGAAACTTCTCCTGCCTTCAATTCCATTTTATACCATCCCTCATCTTTATTTTCTTTCATTTGCATTCTATAAACATGTAGGATAGTAGCTGCTTTAAAATTATTCATTATAAATGGATAGTCAAGTCCACTTTTATGTATTTTCTGCACTAATATTGACTGTTTCAATCTTGGCTTCTTGCCTTTCCAAATGTATTGAGTAAAACTTCTTTGTATTAATTGAAGCCAATGGATTGGGATATGGAGAGGTAGCATTTGAAACATATAATTCCACTTTGGTATGACGTATGAATTGATAACATTTATTTGTCCCCAAAAGGTAATCTCTAAGTTTCTACGATCTTTTAACCATTTATTAAGGTCTAATAATAATGTTAGGAAATTTACTTCCATAATCTTATTTATCTCTCTAGTTATTTTAATTCCTAAGTAATCCATACTTTCTTTAACCCAAATAAAATCATATTTGTTTTTAATCTCTTGTTGTATCTTTTTATTTAGGTTAACATCTAATATCAAAGATTTATTTGTATTTAACTTATAATTTGATATAAGGCTGTATCGCTCTATTTCTTGCATTATGTGCTCTAAAGAATTTTTAGGGTTTGTGAGAGTAATTAAAATGTAATTAAAATGAATTTTTTGGTCCTCATCCATTATTTTATAACCGTGGATCTCTTTATTGTTCCTAATATTCTCAGCCAATGGCTCGATAGTCAGCAAGTAGAGCAATGGTGAGAAGGGACAACCCTGCCGGGTACCATTTCTAAGTTGGAACCATGGGGCGACAATATTAGGTCCAATAGTTCGTGCAACTGGATTTAAGTATAATGCCATTATAGCTTTCTTAATCCAACCTTCCAATCCATAATGTAGTAAAACGGCTTCTAAGTATTTCCAGCTGACTCTGTCGAATGCTTTTTCAGCATCAATCGACAGAGTCAGAACTGGAACATCATTTCTGTTTGCGTCATCCAAGATATTAATAATTTTCCTTATACTTGTATAGGAATTTCTACCTGGAACATATCCTATTTGATCTTTATGAATGATTAGTGGAAGAAGTTTTTTTATTCTGGCAGGCAAAACCGAAGCATATAACTTAGTGTCTACATCTATTAAAGATATCGGACGATAGTTTTTGATGTCAGTGGGGTTTTTATCGTTTTTCAAAATAGGCAAGATATTCGCTTTAAGCATCTCTGCTGGTAAAAATCCTCTGTTTGCCGCTATGTTGAAAGCAGAGGTCAAATGTGGACATATTAAATCTTTAAATGTTTTATAAAATAGGTTGCTAAACCCATCCGGGCCTGGTGTTTTAGATCTTTCTAAATCATTTATTGCTTTCATAATCTCCTCCATAGTTATAGGTTTATTCAAAAGATCATTTTCAGTGGATGTTAATTGAGGCTTCTTTATATTGTTTAAATAATTTTTAATATCCTCATCTGTATTAATCTGAGGAATATTATATAGATTGGCATAATATTCATTAAAACACTTTGCAATCTCTCTAGGGGTTAATGCTATTTTTCCATTCTGTATTATTTTATCTACCTTATTTTGTCCTATTTGTTTTCTAAGTTTTTGGGATAGCATCTTTTCAGCTCGATTGCCTTTAGAGTAATATTTAACTTTTAATCTATCCATATTTTTAGCTATCGTATCCATTAATTTTTGCTTTATTTTTTCTTTAAGTTCTAATATTTTTTCATAAATTTCAGGAGATGGAGATTGTTTATTAATATGAGTCAAATTTCTTAATTCTGTATGTAAATATGCCAAAGTATTATTTTTGTCAAGCTGACTTTGTAGCTTGATAATATGACCTCTTATAACAGCCTTAAAGGCACACCACAAAATAGATGAATCAATATTTTCTGAGATATTTTCTTTAAAATAATTTTTTATATTATCTCTTATATAAGTTTTTTTGATTCACAACAAAGCAAATTATCTCTTAACCGCCAAGTATAGGCTTCTCTTTTAAATGTACTAAAAATCATTTCACAAAAAACTCCATTGTGGTCTGTCCAAACTATCTCATCAATCTTTGTTTTTTTGGTCATATCAATAATACTTGGATCGACCCAAATCATGTCCAATCTTGAATAGGAAAAATGCACTTTAGAGAAATGCGTATAGTCTCTCTCATTAGGATTAAAAATTCTCCAAATATCAAATAAATTATATTCGTCTTTAATTTTTTTTAAAGCTTTTGCTTGTTTTATCACCATCTGATTTAAAGTATTTCCTTTCATTAATTTTTTATCTATCTGAGGGTCCAGTACAGCATTAAAATCCCCTGCCAGTATTAACTTTCCCACTTTGACTTCATCTACTTTTTCCAAGATTGTTTTTAAGTAAGCAACTGGTAAATGATTAGGAAGATATATATTGCATAATGTAAAAAGTACAGAGTCAATTTTGCATATTATTATTAAATATCTACCTTTAGTATCTTGTATTTGATGGATCGATTACTTGACCAACATCCATGGTCACAGACACAAGACAGACCTCTTGGGGGGAACCGGCCGGGCTGATGGTCGACAAAGAAGGCCGGGGGACTCCCGGGGTTGGGTGCGGTCGGTGCCACCAAGCCGGTCATATAACGCAGCAAATATAACACCTAATGCCATGTATGCCAGAATCCAAAAATGTTGGACCTTTTTCTCTCACTTATGTTTATCCTTCTCCCTTTTGCTGTGTTAATATTTATGTATTTGTTTCTGTTCTATCTATATAATGTAAAACCTTGACACACGGTGATCATATGCAGTCTGCTAACGTGATAGCCTGATCCAATCACAGTGCTTCCCCATAGGATTGGCTGACAAAGAGGCAGATCAGGGGCAGAGCCAGCATGATGCAAACACAGCCCTGGCCAATCAGCATCCCCTCATAGAGATGAATTGAATCAATGATTTTCTATGAGGAAAGTTCAGTGTCTGCATGCAGTGGGAGGAGATAATGAATCACAGGATGCTCGTGCACAGCAGATCCTCCATCAACTCAGAAGTCCCTCTGGTTCACTCTTAGTGACTGCAACTGGAGGTGTTCCTAGCTTTCATTGTAAACACTGTATTTTCTCTGAAAATACAGTGTTTACATGAGAGAGGCTGCAGGGAACTATAGTTCTCACCTGAACAACCTCATTAAGCTGAAGTTGTTCAGGTGACTATAGTGTCCCTTTAAACAAGAAGCAACTAGAATTCAGAGGTGCTCTTTAGTAAAGCCTTAGCTGGGAGTACTTAAGGTGAAAGCGCCATTTTTGTTTTGTTTGTTCGTTATTGCATTTTACAACATCAAATGCATCATACAATATCCCTTTTGATGTGAGTTCAATAAATGTCCTACTTTTTAATGTTTTTATTGCATGGGTTTCATGGCTGTATTATTCCATTGTAGGATGGGTCTGTGGTTCCTCAATGGGTTTGCACTAACTGCCAGAGTGAGTATGATATTGACAGCATAGAAATGGCCCTGGTGGAAGCTCTACAGGAAAAGCTTATGGCCTTCACATTACAGGACTTGGTAAGAATTTCTATGGTCTGTGGCCAAACTTGCAATATGTGTCTGACATTAGCACACCATCTGCTTTGTATACCAGTTTCATCAGAGACAACTGGGTGCTATAGTTGGTAGGAACACACATCTTTTATATTACTGAATGTTTAACACTTCATGATTATGAGTAACCGTTCTCACCGTACTCCTCCTCTTGATCCATATCTTATTTCTCAATCCCTGTCTTAACTTATCCTTTGCTCCATCTGTGGAATGATGTAATAATTATTTTTCATCCTGCTCCTAAGTACTTTTTTTAGTATTGCATTAATTTATATAAACTAAGAATGTTAAAAAAATGTTTTTCATGATTTTGTAACCTCAGGTTTGCACAAAGTGTAAGGGTATAAAAGAAGAAAATATGCCCGTGTATTGCAACTGTGCAGGAGATTTCAGCCTCACTATTTCTGTAAAGGTATGCATAGATCTGTTATTAATGTTAGCTGTTATGGACGAGTACATGTGTTCAGGTGGTACTATTGCTATAATTTGCACTTATTCTTCATTTTAGGCATTCACAGAGCAAGTTGACACGTTTCGCAATATTGCACAGCATTATAATATGCCCCATCTCTTGGAGACCATTGTTTGGCTGATGCAGCAAAATCCTCAGTTGAACAAGTGATGCCGTCGGACAAGGATGGATCCATTTTGTATTTATGTATAGTCCCCTGGGAACCTGGTTTTTTTATGACAACCACCCTCTGTTTGTTTGTTTTTTCAACCTACAATGTTTTCCTTAAAGTAATAAATATTGTGATATTTAATATATCTGATCTTGTTTTCATTAATTTGCTAACTGGAAAACGGTCTGCAGACAGTACTCAAACATACTAAGAAAATGTTACAGTAGGAAATGTAGGCCTTTCAGACGTTGGCATTATCCAATTGTGCTATATTGACATGACTTTAACCCATGTTGATTTTAATTTACCTCATTTCACAGTTGCTATAATGACTACTTTAGGAAGGAAAGGTGGTTTGAAGGGATACTCCATGCATCATAACTTCATGTCAATTAAGTTGTTGTGGTGTAGAGGTTTCCGAGTGCTGTCTTACCTTAAAGGTACACTGATGGCACCCAGACCACTTCATGACAATCTTCTTTTTTTTAAGTTTGCGATATAAAATTGTTGCCGTTCTGTAGGGTTGATTTGAGGGTTAAGATGCCTCAATTGGTTGTTAGGAAGACAGCTTATAGAGGCGCATCCTCTGCTATAGATGAAATGCTTCTCCTAGAGCAGCATCTGATTGGCTCGGCGATTTGCCAAGAATGTGTACTAGCCTCCCAAAGCTTTAGCACGTTGAAAACAGCCAGTAAAGGGCAGTCACAGACCACTATCTCTTGTTTTATCTTGGCATTTACTTTGCCAATATCATTAGTGATATTAGCTAGCAGAGAGAAACCCTTCGGATTTGATCATGGATTAGGTTATATTTAGGTAGAGCCAGCAAAGTAATTCCTATGCTGACAGTAAAGGGAATCTGTCAAACATTATTTATAGGGTTAGTTATAGGATGAAAAAAATATAATCTAAAATAAGACTCAAAAATACAATTTTAATAAAGTTCAAAATATATCACGAGTCCCCATGCCGTCCACCTTTGCAAATGGTATGCATTTATGCAGTAGTTTAAATGTCTGCTACTAAAATGTACCATAGACCCATCCTTTTTGTGTCTGCAAAGGGAGTCATTCTGTACTCAAGGGATATAACAGGAGAATTGAGTGGGGTATTTTTTTTTTGGGGTTATTAATGGTACACTTTCATGTTTAAAATAAAACGAACTTGCAATATGCATGCATTAAAAAAAATGCAAACATAAAATAACGTTAGATTTGAAGGTAAATGGTGTTAAGATGACTACAAATCTGAAATAGTCAGGTCTCATATGCACATTGTGGGTATTGTTTTATTAAGAAGAGTTTGCGGAGTATAATTTGGGGGGATTTGAATCACATATCAGACTTGCTAAATGTCCAGCAAAAGTAATGTTTATGAAAAATGTTAAAGGGACACTATGGTCACCTGAACAACTTCAGCTTAATGAGGTTGTTCAGGTGAGAACTATAGCTCCCTGCAGCCTCTCTCATGTAAACACGTGTTTACAATGAAAGCTAGGAACACCTCCCGTTGCAGTGAACCAGAGGGACTTCGGAGTTGATGCAGGCATAACATGCCTCCATCCATTCAGATCTGCTGTCAGCAGAGCACAGGGCAGCACTGTGCACAGAATCCTGTGATTCAGTATCTCCTCCCTCTGCATGCAGACACTGAACTTTCCTCATAGAGATTCACTGATTCAATTCATCTCTATGAGGAGATGCTGATTGGCCAGGGCTGTGTTTGAATCATGCTGGCTCTGCCTCTGATCTGCCTCTTTGTCAGTCTCAGCCAATCCTATGGGGAAGCACTATGATTGGATCAAGCTACCACATGTCCGCAGACTGCTTTTTTTTTCCTGAGTCTAACAGCATGCAGATTTACAGCTTCAGGCTTGAATACAGTAAGATTTTTACTATATTTATGGAGGCATGAGTGGCCTAGGGGGCTAGATGGTGGTGTTGACGCTATAGGGTCAGGAATACATGTTTGTGTTCCTGACCCTATAGTGATCCTTTAATTTCTGCTCTTTCTTGTCAGTTAATGGCTCAATGTTGACTGACCGCTGTAAGGAAAAACCTATTTTTAAATAGGATTTTCTCCTGATCTATAAATTTGCTGGCAAACCCGCTAGCACAATGTATAGATACAATCTTGTGCTCCATCTAATGGGGCATGTTAAGTGCCCTTTTAGTCACAATATATGCATATGAGATAAACAGGAGTGTCTGCTTTCACAAATGGTAGGCCTTTGTGAAGTTATTTAAATAGTCAAATTGATATAATCACCCAAAATGACACACAGGGCTATGTAACAAAATTCTAACTATAAAAACTGAAACTTGGGTCTTTAATATGGCACTGTAGCTACACAGGATAGTGGTAAAAGCATACATTATGTGTATTATACCCGGAAGAAGAAGCTGAACACGATATGTGGTTTTGTACAAGAGCAGCACACAAAAATATATACTTTTGTGTTGCAATTTTGTTTTATGTGATAGAGATTAAACTTAGAAGACAAACATACCAAATTCTAAAAATGTTGCACATTTTACTCAGTGTATTTTGTGACCTGTAACTGCCAAAAATAAACTGACATCATAGACATATGGTGAACTTTGTAAATCAGGACAAAGAAATTAATTTCTTATGAATTGCCTTTCTTAAAGGAAACACTATGGCGTTGGGAATACAAACCTGTATTCTCAACGCTATAGTGCTCCTCCCCGTGCAATAAAAATGTAATAATACAGATTTACTTGGCTTTTTACAGAGCCGACGCTCTCTTGATGCTGCTCACCTTCGTCTAAGGCAAAGAAAAGGTTTTTTTTGTTTGTTTTTTTTATTGTAAGAACAATAAGGATGTGGAATTCTCTGCCTGAAGACGTGGTTTTATCAGAGTCAGGTCAGATGTTCAAACAGCAATTATATGCATACTTGCAAAAACAGAATATTCAAGGTTATAATTTTTCAATGTAGGGTAATAACTTCTTCATCGAAGGATAAATCTGACTGCCATTCTTGGGTCTTTTTTTTTTCCCCTAGTTTGTTGCAAAATTGGCAGTGCTTTAAACTGGGTTTTTTTGCCTTCTTTTTGATCAACCGCAAAAAACAAATGTGAGGAAGGCTGAACTTGATGGAAGCAAGTCTCTTTTCAGCTATGTAACCTCCTACATCACGGAGGACACATGGCAGCCTCCATGTTGGTCCAGTCCCATGCTTCTCACTACATGCATTCGACATTCCTCACAGGAAACCCTTGGATCAATGCTTTCCTATGGGGCTCCCACTGCACATGGCAGAGTTTTACTGTCATTTCAGGGGGACCACCTCTAGTGGCTGTCATATGGACAGCCACTAGAAAAGGACTTAACCCAAACATTGCAGTGACCGTGATCTGCAGAGTCTGATCGCAGTGACAGCCTGTCACTAACATTGCAGTGACCGTGATCTGCAGAGTCTGATCGCAGTGACAGCCTGTCACTGCGATCAGAGTTACTATGTGTCAGCCTTTTTGCTGACACATGTAACTACAGGCAGGATCCCCCTGCAGATCGCGGTGGGGGGCATGCCTGGCCACCCAGGCACTCCCCCCTGTGGCCAGTTACCGCGATCTGCAGGAGGTGATCAGTCACTGTGATCTCATGTGAAATCACTGGCTGACACTGTCTCTGCCCCTCTTAACACCTTAATGTTAGAAATAAAATATATTGCAGTTAAAAATAAAATATAATTAGATCTTCTATACACACACACACAAACCTTTACATACTGTTTAAGTGTATTTTAATAATATATTAATATCAAAATACACGTAGAATTGATTAAATATATATATATAATAAAAAAAATGTAACCATGTTAAATAATAAAAATAATTGTGTGTAATTTCGATCTAACTGTGTATTTTGATATTAATATATATTTATCAAAATACACGTAGATCGAAATAATATCTATATACATAAGTATATACATATATATCACTATATGTATACCTATATATAAATAAAAATATTATATTTACATAATTAGGCCCTTTTATTAATTACAATTTGCGGGACCTGCCTGACAACCCAGGCCAAAAGTATAGAGAATTTAATTTGCTAGCACTATATTTAACCCTATAGCTTTCCAAGACACTATAAAACCTGTACATGGGGGTTACTATTTTACTCGGGAGACATCGCTGAACAGAAATATTTGTGTTTCAAAACCATAAAATGTATTACAACGATGATTTCGTCAGTGAAAGTAACGTTCATTTTTCACACACAAACGGCACTTACACTGATATTATTGCTGTAATACCTTTTACTGTTTTGAAACGCAAATATTTGTGTTCAGCAAAGTCTCCCGAGTATAACAGTACCCCCTATGTAAAGGTTTATGGTGTTTTCAAAAGTTAGAGTCAAATATAAGGCTTGCGTGTCAGTTTTTTCACATTGAAATTCGCCAGATTGGTTACGTTGCCTTTGAGACCATATGGTAGCCCAGAAATAAGAATTACCCCCATGATGGCATACCATTTGCAAAAGTAGACAACCCAAGGTTTTGCAAATTTGGTATGTTCAGTCTTTTTTAGTAGCCACTTAGTCACAAACACTGGCTAAAATTGATGTTCAAATTAGTTTTTTTGCATTTTTCACACAAACAAATATTAACGTTAATTTTGGCTAGTGTTTGTGACTAAGTGGCTACTAAAAAGACTGGACATACCCCATTCTCATTCCTGGGCTACCATACGGTCTCAAAGGCATCGTAACCAATCTGGCAAATTTCAATATGAAAAAACTGAAAAATGTAACATGTGATATTTGACCCTGTAACTTCCCAAAACACCATAAAACCTGTACATAGGGGGTACTGTTTTACATGTAAGACATCGCTGAATACAAATCTGTGTATTTTATTGCAGTAAAAGCAAACAGTATTTTGACATTCACAGTTAAAATGTCATGTAGAACCTAAATTCTTTTAAAAAAAAATTTTACATTTTTTTTTAAAAGAATTTAGGTTCTACATGACATTTTAACTGTGCATGTCATAATACGGTTTGCTTTTACTGCAATAAAATACACAGATTTGTATTCAGCGATGTCTTACATGTAAAACAGTACCCCCTATGTACAGGTTTTATGGTGTTTTGGGAAGTTACAGGGTCAAATATCACATGTTACATTTTTCAGTTTTTTCATATTGAAATTCGCCAGATTGGTTACGATGCCTTTGAGACCGTATGGTAGCCCAGGAATGAGAATTACCCCCATGATGGCATACCATTTGCAATAGTAGACAACCCAAGGTATTGCAAATGGGGTATGTCCAGTCTTTTTAAGTAGCCACTTGGTCACAAACAATGGCCAAAGTTAGTGTTAATATTTGAGTGTGAGAAATAAAAACAAAACAAAAAACTAATCTGAACGCCAATTTTGGCAAGTATTTGTGATTAAGTGGCTACTAAAAAAGACTGGACACACCCCATTTGCAATACCTTGGGTTTTCTACTATTGCAAATGGTATGCCATCATGGGGGTAATTTTCATTCCTGGGCTACCATACGGTCTCAAAGGCATCGTAACCAATCTGGTGAATTTCAATGTGAAAAAACAAATGCAAGCCTTATATTTGACTCTCTAACTTTTGAAAACAGCATAGAACCTGTACATGAGGGGTACTGTTATACTCTGGAGACTTTGCTGCACACAAATATTAGTGTTTCAAAAGAGTAAAACGTATCACAACAATTATATTGTCTGTGTAAGTGTCAATTGTGTGTGAAAAATGCAAAAGATTTCCCTTTCACTGACGATATTATAGTTGTAATACATTTTACTGTTTTGAAACACTAATATTTGTTTTCAGCGAAGTATCCCCCCCCCCCTCCTCCCCCCCCATGTACAGGTTTTATGGTGTCTTACAAAGTTACAGGGTTAAATATAGTGCTAGCAATTCAAATGCTCTGTACTTTCGGCCTGGGTTGTCAGGCAGGTTCCGCAAATTGTAATTAAGGAAATGACCTAATTATGTAAAATTATTACATAAATATATACATAGAATTATATATAATTTTTATTTTTTATATATATATATATATATATATATATATATATATATATTTTGATATATACTTATGTATATAGATATATATTTCGTTCTACGTGTATTTTGATACTGGCACATACGTGTATTTTGATACTGGCACACCAAGCTCACTCGATACCTCCAAAAATGCTCCAGAACTGCTGAATGCTGTTGGCGAAAGTCTCACTGTGCATCTGACTTTCTCCACTATAAATTTATGCTGAGCTCATACAGCTTGGCTCTTTCCTCTGCAAAAGTTAATTACTTCAATACCCTCATAACCACACTTTCCCGCGAAACCAAATGACTATTTCACGACTTCTTCGCCCTGCTGTTCCTCCTCCACCTACTAACTTGACTGCCTCAGACTTTGCAACTCACTTCACTGACAAGATCTCTACAATCAGAGAAGAGATATCTCATCTTTCTTCTTCCCCTTACAATACTTGCCCTAACTTCACTCCCTCTGCTGTTCTATGTTCATTCGCACCCACTACATTGGAAGAGGTTTCTGCTCTGCTCCAGTCCTCCCGCCCCATCACCTGCTCCCTAGATCCAATTCCCTCGCATCTCATCCGTACTCTGTCTTCTTCTCTTTCTCCACCTCTCACTAAAATTCTCAATCTCTCTCTCTCCTCTGGTGTATTTCCATTGCCCTTCAAACATGCAACTGTAACCCCAATTCTAAAGAAGCCCAATCTTGACCCTAACTCCCCATCCAACTATCGTCCTATCTCGGACCTCACGATCACGTAGGACAGCATAGCCATCCACAGCAATGCCAGCAGGGGGAGTGCCCTTATTTAAAATTTTTCAGGCAGGGACGTGCTGTGCCGCCCTCGGCGTTTAGAGCCGGGTCCCCAAGGACAGCACAGCATGCCAACCGTCCTTAAAGGGACACTCTAGTGCCAGGAAAACAAATAGTTTTCCTGGCACTGCAGGTCCCCTCCCACCCCCCATCCCATGTTGCTGAAGGGGTGAAAACCTTTCAGTGACTTACCTGAGACCACCGCCGATGTCCCTCGGCGGTGGTTTAGGGTCCGCCCACCACCCTCCTCCGCTGACGTCAGCCGGCGGGGGAGACCGATTGCGCAGCCGCCGGTGTGATGAGACCTAATGCATTCCTATGGGAATTTTAGCGACGCTGGAGGTCCTCACATAGCGTGAGGACGTCCAGCGACGCTATAGCACAGAAAACCTGTGATATAGACCAGGAAATGCCCTCTAGTGGCTGTCTAGTAGACAGCCACTAGAGGAGGATTTAGCCCTGCAATGTAATTATTGCAGTTTATGAAAACTGCAATATTTACAGTTGCCGGGTTAAGGGCAGTGGGAGTTGGCACCTAGACCACTCCAATGGGCAGAAGTGGTCTGGGTGCCTGGAGTGTCATTTTAATGATTCAAGCAAAAGCACCTATTTCTTTAGGGAGGGCAATTGAAACTGTGCAAAATAACTGCACTGAACACTGTCCTGTATGCTCACAAAGTGTGTAAATGTCATTATCAGTCAAGGGGATAAAGGACAACTATAGAGCCAGGAAAACAAACACTTTTTCCTGGCACTATAGGGTCATAAAGTACCTCCCACCCTCAGGGCCCCCCTCCTGCTTACCTTTCTCCAGCGCCGGTGAACTCTCCTCCTGCCGACGTCAGTGCCAAATGCGCATGTTCTGCGTGCGCATTCAAACCACCCATAGGAAAGCATTACTCTGCTTTCCTATGGACGTCAGCGACTTCTCACTATGATTTTCACAGTGAGAATTGCGGAAGCGCCTCTAGTGGCTGTCAGTGAGACAGCCACTAGAGGCTGGATTAACCCTCAGTGTAAAACCACAATCGAGAGCAAAACTAATAATGCAGTAGAGTTATCAGGACTCTTCAAATGATGGGAGTGTATCATGCACAAGCCCTGTGAGCTTATCCATAAGATTGCTTTTGATCTCAGAGTTGGGTTGAAACTATCGATACACCAAAGCCCTTAAAGGGATCCTATAGTGCCAGGAAACCAAACACGTTTTCCTGGCACTATAGGCTCTTGGAGAGACCCCCTCCCTCGTCGCTGAAGGGGTTGAGACCCCTTTAGCCACTTACCTTAATCCAGCGCCGGGCTTTGGACCTCTCCTCCCCCTCCGACGTCAGCTCCCGAGTGGAGCCGAATGCACATCCACAGCCAGACGCGTGCGCATTCAATCCTGCCCGTTTCTCTGAAACTATGTTTTCAGCTGCAAGGTTAAAACTAGAGGGACCTGGTACCCAGACCACTTCATTGAGCGGAGTGGTCTGGGTGCCTAAAGTGGTCCTTTAAGGAAACCTTGTCTAGTTTATACAGGTTAGGTTGTCAGTGTTTCAAAAATCCTCACTTGCTAGTGGATGAGAGGCCTACAGTGGTGCCTTTGCCAGTGACAGCTTAGTTTGTTTTTTATCCCCAAGGTAAACGTGTTGTTGTACATTAGTGTTCTACGCGTACATTGTAGAAGTCTGATGTAAAACAGACAGACAGCCATAACGACACACACACTAGCGAGTTTTTTTCAAATAAATAACTTTATAGATTTATGTACACGTATTGCTATGCTTGTTAAATAACATTAACACTGTCATGCATAATCTACAGCCATCAACCAGTCCAGTGTGACCATGTGTTACCACATTACCACACTTCATCTCTGAAGACTGTTGAATACACTTGCCACTCTGTTGCGTTTCCTTTCTCCATGACTAAGTATAGGAAACGGATTGCCACTGTGTATGATTTTGTTGGTTAATATTCTAACACCATACAAAAGATAGAATACCTTACAATGCCAAGGTATGCGGGCAGCTTTGTAAACCATGGCTGCTCACATCAGCGCTGGACCTTAGTTACCTCCTAACAGGAAGCTTTCTTTAAATCCCTTTAAGTCACCTGCTCTCCCTGTAACCACGTGTTACCGCACCTGTTTCCGGGTCATGGGCGCCGCATTCATACGGCGTCTGTTTCCATGGAGACAGCTAAGTCTTTAAAAATAAAAATGGGGATTGTGGTGGCAAAACCAAGGGCCACAAAGAAAGATGGACAGGATGGGGCGGCCAAGGTAAAAGGGGCTTGACAGCCTGGCAAATCCTTCAGTGAAATGAACGACTGACCAATGTGTGTGTGTGTATGTATAGAGAGAAATGACTATTTTGAGTAATGTGTAAAAGGTTAATTATCATGGCAGGAACCAGCCCCGATGGCTGAACGTTGTATGAGTTGTAGTGGAAGCAGATGATGTGCCTACTGTATTTTTTTAAGTTATTTGATTGTCCCTCCCCCAGGTTTACTGTGCAGTTTTAGTGTATGAGACTGGGATGTCATCAATAATTAATAAGAATCACCAGGATATCTAATCTAAACGAGAGTTTGTGGGTTGAATTTTTTATATGCAATCTTTAGTCCATTAACAGTTAGATATACGTATTTACATATAACTATATTATACAAAAATGTCATTGTAATGTGTGAAAAATTAAATGTAGAAATCCACACCTCTTTATCCTGCAACTGGGACACTCCATCAGCTCCCTGTCAATTATTGTAATAATTTCTGTCAGTGCAGCAAGCAGGGTGCCCCCTAAAAGTTGATTCTCACGCATTATTCGGGTGTGCTTGGGAACACCTAGCACATCCCATACACACTTATGCCTTATGGGATATTTTCTTGGGAGATCACAGTATGTGCATCTGACCATGCTGCCAGACTATGATCAGGGACAGCAATTAAAGATTCACCTGGATTGCTAACATTATATTTGGTAATGGTTGAGGTACCTACGATTGCCTTTATTTTCTTTGAAGTTATGTAAATTTCAAAGCTGGAATGCTTGAGGTTGTTCCCTGCCATGCTATTTACTGAACAATGTTCTACACATAGATATAACAAAAACAGACGTTGTGGCACGCTTATGCAATATATGATCATATAATGTAACTAAACCCCCATTATATTTTGCCTAGGTGAGGTGTTTTTAAATAAAACTATTACAATCTCTAAGATTTTAAATCATTTTCTAGTGAATAAGCGAGTGCGCTGGATTGTGTATTTTGTGTGTGTGTGTGTGTGTGTGTGTGTGTGTGTGTGTGAATATATATATATATATAAATATATATATATATATATATATATATATATATATAATTAGCTATTATTCAAAGATTCTTCCCTGACGGCCCATGCCTTTAAGTGCTAACAGCTCAGGTCACCTTACTCCGGAGAGGGGAAAAGGACCTTGGAGGGTTTAGATCTTCATCTCTTCCTGGTGTGAAATATTCTCCTACATGCTCCAGCAGTTTGGAGCATTTCCATGGGAACCGAGATTGTTCCCATACCTCACTGTGCCAGAGCTTGCAAGAATAGTGTACTTACCCTGCTAGAGTACATACCACAGGACCATCAGTTTTTCAATGCCCCCCTTCCTGGTAAGAAGAAGGGAGGGGGTATAAAATTAATTTAAAAAAATAAATCTGACCCCTGCTCCCAAAACGGGCACTATCTCACCAAACACATTCCTGGCGCGCACACACTACATCTATTTAAAAATTTTTTTTTAAAAATGATCACACACATACACATTTACTAGATCACCTGTAAACACAAACTATCTGCACACGCTACATTCCTGACACACTACATCCATTATACACACTCTGGATTCCCAATGCATAGAGTAGATCCCCTGCACACACCAAGGTGCTATCTACAACCCCTATACACACACACACACACACGGTATATCCCCCATCATACACACACATTGCCCCCCATACACATACTAAAACTCTCTCTTTCACTACAGCCACTATACACGCATACTACGCCACAAACAGAACAGCCCAACACCACAGCACAACTGAAACCAACCTATTTACACAAAACGCTCAGTCTACTTATAGGCAATCCCACAAGAAGCCCCCCAACACATGCACAATTTTTTTTCCTGGCCGTTTTGTCCTCTGGTATGCACTTGAGACACCAGAGACAAGTCACAACCAAATACAGCATGTCATTAAATTTGCTTGCTGTGCTCAAAACAAACACAGGACCTTTTCCTGTGTGAGAGCACTTTAGCAGGGCTCTGCACATAAACTACACTGGAAGAACATTTAACTAACATCCTTACTTTTGGGGGGAAGAATGTGATTGTCATCAATGATTACACAACACGCCCCTTTCTACCCCTACTCTTTCCCACTGGGACACTGTGATTAAAAAATACCTGGGCCAGATTTCACCCCCTCAGTCTGTCTCTAAACCACAGATGTTTGTGAAGATAGCCTTCAAAAATGCAGAAAGAAAATCAAAAAATTGGCAATGCTGCCAGCACATATTTTAGTTGGCATTCCGTGACGTTTGTATAAGCATGATCTTTAAAATCTGTTATTTTCCAGACAAGTTTATATGTTTAATCTGTTTTATGGATATCTAGATACTTTACTAGTTTTTGTGTTGTGTTTTTTTCCCCCTCAGCTCACCACTCTTAGCTATAATGTCACTTATAATGCTTAACCTTTCTTTAGCATCCAGCTCTTGATGTGAGCCAGATGTGGGATGAAATTAATAGATTGCCTCCTGTCAAACTACCCGATTCCTCTCTCCCACCAGTGAACAAAGGCTGGGCTACTGTGAGAGTGTTTGTCTCATCCACCTTTGAAGACTTTAATTCTGAGAGAGAAGTTTTAATAAAACAGGTAACAACAGAAGTCTTTTAGAGATCCAATATGTGTCAAGCTGTTTATACACATTTACAGTATAAGTGGTGGTAGGACAAATGGTGTATTTTTTTTAATTGTGCTGCCCTAGGCGTGATGAAACTCGGGCACCCCTAATTTAAATTGCCCCATCTCTTCCTGTCAAGGCCACACTTCTTCCTGTTAAAGACCAACACACAATTTAACAGACACACACCTTCACTGATGCATGCACTGATATACATACACTTACTGACACATACAGTTATTGGCACACTCACTGAAAGACACACACTGTTTTACACAACTCTGACTGGTTTGACACACTCACTGATTTGACACACTGACAGACAGACAATCAAAGAACACTCACTGACAGACACACACACACACACACTCATTCACAGACACGCACTGACAGACATACACACATTCACCGACAGACTCACACACTGATACGGACACATACATTTTCCCCCAACATTCACAAATTATTATTATTATAATAACTTTTTAAATTTAAATCCACCCAGCCACCCTACCTTTTGGCGAGCTGGAGAGGATTCTTTACCTGGGGTCCTGTGGGACTGCTGGGCTGGCAATTGGGCGGGCAGGTAGGCGCGTGCAAAGTAGGTGGCGAGGGAGCTGTGATCTTCTTGCTCTGTTCCCTTGAGTGCTGCTAAGCAGAGCAGGAAGAGCTCACAGACCAGATCTCCCTCGCCGCCCGCCTGTAATAAAACTGTTTGCCTGCCTTGAGGAGGGCCCAAAGATGGCCAGCCGGCCAGCTCTTGCCCTCCCCCAAGATATGAGGATAGCAAGGCATCTGCCAAGGCGTTTGGGGCTGTTGTTTTTTGACAGCCGCTGGAAAGGGCCACCCAAGGCAAATGTTAGCCTTGTGGTAAATACATCTCTGGGTAGGACACAGGTGGGAGATTTGGTTGTGGAAGATTATCTTGTACAAAGTTTTCTTGGTGTGCTTTGAATTAGTGTTAGTCTTCTTTGAAAAGGAATTAGTGATAGAAAACATGTAAATGTTTTTAGACCTAATTTAATATTTTGGAGTCCAACATATTGCCAAATCTAGGCTACAATAGTTGTAGAAAAATCTCCAACTAAGGTCTTGATTAATAAGCTTTCCAAATGATTCAATATTGTCCAAATTATTTATCTACAAAACTTTCAACATTATTTATCTACTAAAATGTAATGGTGACTTCTATAGCTAAATCATGGAATAACAGTACAGTATTGAATCATTTGGAAAACTTATTAAATCTAAGCATATGTTGTTTTGACACAAGTCACTGTATAAAAAAAGTATTATTAAAGGAACAGTCCGCAAACATAAAATACTTCAGCTTTATGTGTCTGGAGTCTCCAACATATGTGACAGTTTATAAAGTGCAGATATCAATAGAAAACAATATTTTTGTATAGCTGGGGCAAATATACCTCCCTGGCTGTCAATCAGATTCTCAGCTCCACCATAACGGATGTGGCAGACGCGCTATGCATCTGTCCTTCTGAGTGAGGTGTATTACATCTTATTAAGAAGCAATGAAAAGCGCGATCGTGGGCTATAGTACCGAGACTTATCAGTGGGAAGCCACTGACTGGAGTATTCCCTGGCAAAGACTGAAAGCCTGGGCTGTGGAAAAAGAGGAGGGATTGCAAATAAATCTGTAGATTTTCACCCAATGAAAAAAAATGCATGTTTTCATTGGCTGTATGTTTACAATATAGTGATTTAAAAAGATGGCAAATGAGTGTTCCTTCAATTGATTCAAGTATGGTGATAAATGTTCAGATAAACCTGATCCACGTTTGATTTGGCAGGCTTCTGAGCAGAATTGCATAGCCATGATCATAGAATCACCATAACAGATTGGCCGTGATTTCATATTTTTGGATAAACTTTTTTAAACTGATTTAATATTAAAATATATATATATATCTCAATATGATTACATATGATGTGTTTTTATATTTAAATATTTTGAAAAAAATCATTGTAAAAGTTTTATCCAAACATATGGCATAATTTAAAAAGCTTATCCAGATATATGGATAACCTGTCTCCATACTTTGTGCATTTCTTTTATATGTAGTCATAAGCTTATACATTGTATTAAAAGGATAGATTGTTTCCTGACCTATCCTTTATGTTTAAATACATTTGTTATAGGGTGAAGGTTATATAAATTGTATGGTGTGATAATTTTTTTCTTTGTGCTTTTGATGTGTCTCAACATGATGGTTGGGGTTGGTGGCACTTAAATACAATGCCAGTTTTGTAAGTTGTCTTCTACGTAATAATGTCCCACAATGGGTTTTTTTTTCAGGTTTTCCCAGCACTGAGAGAGTGGTGTGAGTCCCTCAGTATGTGCTTGGTTGAGTGTGACTTAAGATGGGGTATTCCTCAGGACACCCCCTCAGGCAAGATACTCAACACTTGCCTTGGTGAGCTGGACCGTTGTCACCAAGATACACGGGGAATGCCTCTTATGGTGATACTGTTGGGCCAACGGTAATTTTCCATTTATCTTTTTTTTATACAGTTGAAGTTATTACCGCTAATCGGTTAATGCATATGACACAGGTAATCTGTTTTCTTTCTCCTTGCCAATAACCATTCTGGGTTTATCAGAAATTACTGTTCGAATTCAATATTAACTCTCTATCGGGAACATATATCCTGTATGCATAGAAAGGCACATCTGTCATGATCTTGTGCAGGTCAGATAGGAGACTTTGGCCAGGGTTTTTATTTGAGACTTTATTTGTGCTTTTAGACATATTATGCAACTTGAGGGAAAACAGACTTTAGGCAATATGCCACAAAACAGAATACTTGCCACAGAACAGGTTACTTGCAAATAAAGAAAGTCTGTGATCTCCAGGTAGGGTTGATACAAAGGCAGGTTGGTTTCAGAGGCAGGCTGGTTATAGAGGCAAGCTGGTTACAAAAGCAGGTTTGTAACACAGGAAGTCTGGTAACAGAGGCAGAGGTCAAAATCATACATCAGAGTGTAGCAGGTTGGAAGGTAAGTCTGGAGCAGGTTGGTATGGAGCAGGAATGCGGGTAAATCTGGAGCAGGGTTGAAGGCAAGTCTGGAGCAGGTTCACATGAGCCAGGAACTGAAGTCTTTCAGGCAAATCACCAACTTCAATGTAAAGACCCTGTTGTGAGCAGGGTGTAGTCTTATGAAGCCTCTTCATTAGTCCAGGCAGGTGAGGATGATAAGGTGACTGAGGAGATTAGAGGCTAGGGAGGCCACTAGAGGCAAGAAACAAGTATTGCATGAAATAATAACAGAAGCAAATGAAACATGTTCCTGGTTGTCAGGATAGGATCATGACACATCCCTGAAAACGTATCAGAAAAATAGTTTTTCCCAGTGGCTTTAAAATTGATCACTGACAACACTTTTTGTCGCAATGCTTGATATGTCCTAAATCGCCGCCATTGAGACATTGTTTAATATTTAGAAGGCAAGATAGAATAATCTGACTACTTATGTTTCTAAGAGACCACACGGCTCACTAATCTACACATTTAGTACTCCCGGGGTCATAGACTTTTTCTAGCTGTTTGGCAATGGAAAAATTAAGTGTTTAAAGGGACTCTCCAGTGCCAGGCAAACAAACCGTTTTCCTGGCACTGCAGGTCCCCTCTCCCTCCCACCCCCCATCCCAAGTTGCTGAAGGGGTTAAAACCCCTTCAGTGACTTACCTGTATCCAGCATCGATGTCCCTCGGCGCTGGTTCAGGGTCCACCCACGCTCCTCCCCCGCCATCATCCGGCGGGGGGAACCTATTGCACATTAGACCTCCCCATATTAAAGAAAGGAAGATCCTGAGAGCATTATTTTTTCTCCATACTGCACGTGCTGTTCGTTTAATTGACACAGTGTTTATGGTATTCTGAGCAGTAACATCATTACTATTCAGCACTCCTTTGGGTGCCAGATTATGTTGATTCATTCTGCTCAGCAACCCCTAAGATCAGATAAAGAGTGCATGTATACTGAGTTACTAAAACCACAGCAAATCTCCGTGCTGTTTCCGTATAGGTCTGGCCCTACGTTCCTTTCCAGCCTGTCACAGTATTTCATCTATTAGCCTTTTGTTTTTCCTTTTTTTGGGGTATATGTTTGTTATTTATCATTTTCACATTTTTTTGGATCTTAATAAAGTAATAAAAATTACATTTTAACATTCAATATTCAGTTCAAGGGACGCCCTAACTGTTGACCTTATGGGCCTAGTGCTCTCAGGGTCTTCCTTTCTTATCTATAGTACTTTAGTAAGGGTTATCCCCTATAGGCTCGTCCCTGACACACGACTACTAGTTCCCCCAAGGGGCTACTAGATTTCAGTTCTCCCCATAGGAAAGCATTGAAAAATGCTTTCAATGCTGGCTGGAGGTCCTCACATAGCGTGAGGACGTCCAGCGACACTATAGCACACAGAATGTGTGCTATACACACGGAAGTGCCCTCTAGTGGCTGTCTAGTAGACAGCCACTAGAGGATGAGTTAACCCTGCAAGGTAAATATTGCAGTTTATGAAAACTGCAATAATTACACTTGCAGGGTTAAGGGTAGTGGGAATTGGCATCCAGACCACTCCAATGGGCAGAAGTGGTCTGGGTGCCTGGAGTGTCCCTTTAATGTTGACAAATCTTTTCTTTTTCATCTCTTACTATTGTATGTATGCAATAGTCTTGCTGCTATGCAGTGCGGTACTGCTCAATTTATGTACCACCCACAAAATTAAAGAATAAAAAAAAAAATGTCAAAGTGATGTAAGTGGCAGATCAATGTCTCCAGCATGATGTGTGTAGTTACTCCTAAGAAATTTGCCATCTTTTTATAACAATACAATTACCAACCTTTTCTCAGATAAGGAATTATTTAAACACATTTCTTCCAACATCTGGCCCTGACAATAAATACCTCTGATAGAAATGGTTTCCTACCATTCCCCAGAGTGTATTCAAAACTTGGCAAATATACATTTCGAATGGAGTTCTCATGTACCTGGACATATGAGAACAATACATCAGTGCCCCAGATATTGAAATCCAGCACATGGAAGAAAACATAATAAATGTAAAAAAAGGCAAGTGGCAAGGGGGGATAGTATAATTATTAAAATAAGAGATATACAAAAAGGACAATGACAATGGAGAGGAGGTGAGTAATCTTATTTTTTTTATTTGGACAGAGGGCAACTTCTAGTCCTGAAATATTGTTTGTTGTTTTCGGGACTATAGGCTTCCTTTTATAAATTGGTGACCACAATTTAAATTATACCATCCATTACTTATATTAAGTTGAGTTCTAATAGAAATGATAGATAGATAAATAGGTAGCTTTCTATAAAGTGGTGTAAATTGTTATTAAAGGACTGGTGATAACAGCATTTTAAATTACTACTCTACCAGTCATAATGGGGGAAAATCTTTCCAAATCCATTACATATTACTGAAGCAGCGGCTCCATGCTGTATGATTAGTAATATGAAACCTGATGGATCATTTAGAAGCAAGCACAAGATTTGTTAGTGACTTGGTTTAAAATATACCCCGACCTCATTCTAATCTCTTTGTTTCCCTAACTAAATTATATTGTATTCGACATTCAGGTTATAGTAAACATTTATTGCATTAACAGAGCTTTTCAGGTCAAAGGCAGACAATAAACACTATTAAGATTGGCATATGCTTGATTTTACACATGAGAATGTACCTCTTACAATTCCACATTGCCACATGTAAGCCCCCAAACCAAGAAGGTTTGTAGCGTAGCAGTGCATAGACCTGTAGCTTACACACTGAAATTAAGGTATAAGCTATTTTTGTTAGCAATTAACAGAGTGTAGAACATTATGTGCTTTATGTGATGCCTTACAAATTCAGTACATTTTCTAGTGATATATCTTCTATAATCCATATGAAAATATTTCTTGTTGCTTACTCAAACATCAAGCAGAGTAATAGCAATTAGACTACTGTGGATTAAATTCTCACTTTTACCCATCTGCTATTCAGATACTTATTCGAATGGGTGTAGTAATGTTGGTTCATGTATGCTATAAGTGCAGTCCCTCTGTTTGGCAAATGTTTTGAACGTGGCTTGGCCAAACACAATTTCCACAGAAGCCAAAAAGGCCCACTCCCACAGTATTATGCATTCAAAATATTTGTACAGATTCATTGCAAACATTCTTGTGTTGCCATGTTTCTGTTAACCCTTTTCTATATTGGTGTGGTGTCCAGGTGTGTGAATACAGTTGAATTGTATGTGGTGTGTGAGAGAATGCAGTCGTGTTATGTAAGTATGTGCAACTCTGCTTTTTCATCCTTCCTGGACTTCACATCTCTCACCAACTCCTGAATTTCATTCTAACCCCACTCCTTCTTGTATGTCCTTCACACTTGTGTCTCCATCCCTGTCAGGATTGGATAATGATCCCCACATGCAAACCTAAACTTAGTTGCAAGTATAAAGGAATGCGTGTATTACCAGTCCTTCGTATGAACACTTATATAGTAAAGCAATGTGCTTATAGAACACAAGAATAGTATTAGACAGATCAGGGTCAGGAGACAACAGAAAGGCAACAATGCCATAAGGAAAGCCAAGGTCCTGACATACAGAATAGAGAGTAGTCAAGATAAATGCCAAAAGTTAAAACATGAACAGCCATTACAGAACACTGAAACGCGCACTCGTGGACAATAGACTATGACAGGATGTGGATGCCTCAATCCTATAGGCCAGAATCACTAGAGCAACCCCAAAAATGCGTGTGACCGCAGGGGCAGGAATGACATGTAACGTGCATAATTTCTGGTATAGACATGATCTTAGGTGGAGTGTTCTGCGTCAATCACGACACTGGAAGGACCTTGTCTCCCTCCACATATCTATCCTACTTGTCTCCCTACCTCAGCTTGTGTTTATTCCTTGTACCCTGTCTCCCCATTTGTGTCTCCTTCTTGCATCTGCCACCACTCCAAGTTATGTCTGTCTTACCACCCTCTACCCATATGCAGGGCCAGTACAAGGATGTTTAATTCCATGGACCCCCTCTTTGCATGCAATTTGTAGTGTTTCGATTTAATTTCTCTTCCACTTTTTACTAGCAAAACTGCAATGGCATTATAAACGGTTATGGCACTATAACAGCATTCTTATTTTTACATTTTTTTGTTTAACAACAAATGTATGAAGTAGAATGCGTGAAGGCAAAAACAGCATTGATACATGCAAACATTTTTAGATATAAGTAAAATAGAGAAACAAAAGAGGAAAAAAAAAGGAAAACCACAATCGAGAGCAAAACTAATTATGCAGTAGAGTTATCAGGACTTTTCAAATGATGGGAGTGATCATGCACAAGCCCTGTGAGCTTATCCATAAGATAGCTTTTGATCTCAGAGATGGGTTGAAACTATCGAGACACCAAAACCCTTAAAGGGATCCTATAATGCCAGAAAAACAAACCCGTTTTCCTGGCACTATAGGCTCTTGGAGAGCCCCCCTCCCTCAGCGCTGAAGGGGTTGAAACCCCTGCACCCACTTACCTTAATCCAGCGGTGGGCCCTGAATCTCTCCTCCCCCTCCGACGTTCGTTCCCGAGTGGAGCAGAATGCACATGCGCAGCCAGAAGCGTGCACATTCAATCCTGCCAGTTTCTCTGAAACTGCTATGTTTTCAGCTGCAGGGTTAAAACTAGGAAGACCTGGCACCCAGACCACTTCATTGAGCTGAAGTGGTCTGGGTGCCTATAGTGGTCCTTTAAGGCCACTAAGTTTATTCTGTTAAAAAGCCTTTGGGGGACTGTCACGCCAAGGGTGCATAATTCATTGTTGCACTATGAAATATTGCCATTTAATGTAATTTGTGAAGTGCATAGATGAACTGGCTGCCTGGTAGAGGTAGTATTGTCAATTCCAAAAGGGGTCATGTAAATTGTATAGAAATGTGAAAGGGGCAGATGGTTTACAATGTGGATTGATACTTTGATTAATCAAAAGTACTGCAAGGTGTGACATTCTACACTTGATATGCCTGGATGTCTAGTACCAATGTAAACTAACTGACTTTAGTCATATGACCTGTACAACTTAATTGATGAGTTAATTTCTTTGATATGTTAATGATCATTTGCCTTCAAGAAAACCTTTTAGTTCCCGTATCATATACAAAAGAAACATTAATACTTATCCACAGAATAATAATTAAGCCTCATTTTTATTATATTTAGAATGGGACAAGCACAATTTTCTAATCAAGCCTAAACATGAGTTGCATAACTTACACCGCTGGGCAGGATTGTGATGGCTGCTATATTGGGTCACAAGTAAGAAGTGTGACATATCTATGGAATGGAAAAATGGTTACACATTAATAGATGCAATTATTATTTCTGTGGCAAGTACAAAAGTGGAGATCAAAGAAAAAGTTTCTATTTGGATTGGTGTTTGTCTGGAACACAAGGGGGTGGTCACTTATTGTCGACATAGGTACACATTATCTCCACCTTTTGGGGCGAGGCTTGGTAATCCACAGGGTATATAATCTAAGGATACTGAAGTGTGTATTAAACTTGCTGGGGCCAAAATCTAATTTTTAGTGAGACACCATCTTCCTTGCCAGAGATTCCCTGGGCAGAAGTTTTATTTTGAAAACCTGAGTAAGTGATTAGGACTTCTGTTATTTTTTTTATTTATATTTTATTAGAGTTTTACAGCTCAGAAAACATGCATCTGAATCACAGTATATAAAATTTATAGTTATAGTAAGTGTCTACCTTCTGGACCTGCAGTGAGCCGTCAGTTCCCCCTCTGTAGCGGATCGTTGCCTCTCGGAGCTGTTTAGCTATTGGTGCAAGTTGTCTCCACATCAGCAGTACCGCAAAAGGGATATCTCCATAGATAGCCACAGTATGTCCCTCAAATTGTATGTTGTGTAGTTCCCTTGAACGTGACAGTATTGTGGTTCGCACCCCCTCGTGCCTAGTCACGACTATAGTGTCCCTGGGTGAGAAAGAAAGTACTGTACCTGGGTCTTTACTGCTTTGGAGGCCTATTGTGGCCAACATATCTGGCAGCATGTCATCCCTGCTGACGCATTCCGGGATACCTTGGAGGTGGACATTCCTCTTCCTGTTCCTCACTTCCAGCACGGTTCTGGTTAGTTTGTGGACCTGTTGTGTGAGGTCTTGTAACTGATCTTGGGTGGATTATAGGGTGCGATCACTTGTGTAATCGCGACTGGTTCACTTATTTACCACTATAATGTCTTAAAGCATAGAACTTAGTAGGGCTAACCATACAGATATCTTAGCCATAATTTCATATAGTTAGAGATCCTCTATTTAAAATATATAAATAATTGAGAATACAATATAAAATAAGGATTGTCTTGGAAGCAATAGTTTTGTCTTTTAGATATTTGTTATATAAAAATATAAATATAGACATATAAAATCCATTATAGCAGAGTTTATAAGATTAAATTAAATGCTTGCAAATATCATTAGTAGGTTAACATACCCTTCTGAACATGTCAGCCTCTATGTCATTTTAAGATGGAGCAGCGTCTGTCTCCAAGTCTCTCCTCTGTGTCTTAACATTTAAAAGTACACCTATTTATACCTTAGGTGTCTCCATTTTAGGGTTACCGTAGTTCATATATGAAAAAGTAACACTTCTTTTACTTTATTCATTTTAGGACCTCCCTTAACTTGGCAAACATACAAGGCCATAACTAAAGGTTGCATACGTCATGGAAATTTTCCTGACTTAGTTCAAGATGGCATCTTAAAGTCTGAACATCCTTGTCTACTAAGGTTACCACAGTATATTACCTACTGAAAGTGTCGTAGCATAGCCTTGAAGCTTGTTTATGCATTATTGTTATTGTAATTTGTCCCTTACTCCAGCATCTACAGTAAATAATAACAGCATTCTTTTCAGGATGGTGTAATTAGAACATGAATGTAGCATTTTATCTGATGTTTTCATTTATAAAATTTTAGTTTTGGTTTGACAGACATGAACATTCATTTGGAAATAAGTATGACAATAAGGCTGAAATCAATAATAATGTTAATGCAGAGATCTTGTAGAAGAGTGTTGTGGTAGCATAATTGACTGCAATAATAATGTTAAATAACAAGTTTGTGTTAGATGGGGGAAGGGTGGATATAATTATAGTTTAAGAGGTTTGGGAATTCCTTTTACCATAATTCTCTTATTTGAAATCTTAAAGGGACACTATAGTCACCAGAACAACTACAGCTTATTGAATTTGTTCTGGTGAGTAGACTCATTACCTTCAGGCTTTTTGCTGTAAATACTGTCTTTTTAGAGAAAATGCAGTGTTTACATTACAGCCTAGTGATAACTTCATTGGCCACTCCTCAGATGGCTGTTAGAGATCCTTCCTGGGTCATGGCTGCCAAAAATGCATCCAAACATTCAGTATCTCCTCCTTCTGCATGCAGACACTGAACTTTCCTCATAGAGATTCATTGATTCGATTCATCTCTATGAGGAGATGCTGATTGGCCAGGGCTGTGTTTGAATCATGCTGGCTCTGCCCCTGATCTGCCTCTTTGTTAGTCTCAGCCAATCCTATGGGGAAGCATTGTGATTGGATCAGGCCACCACTTCTGATGATGTCAGCAGACTGCTTGTTTTTTTGTGGCAGACAGGGCAGAGCCTTGAATACAGTAAGATTTTTACTATATTTATGGAGACATGAGTGGCCCAGGGGGGCTCGATGGTGGTGTTAACACTATAGGGTCAGGGATACATGTTTGTGTTCCTGATCCTATAGTGATCCTTTAACTCTTGAAAGGGTAGTGTTTTTTTTTGTTATTCTTTACATCCTGTTTTTGTTTGTTCTAGTGCTGGTTGGGTTCCTATTGTTAGTGAGATCCCTGAAGACATTATGGAGCAGTACTCCTGGATCAATGGCATGTCTGTAACGGCTTCAGAGATACTTCATGGGGCTTACAGAAATCGTAATCCCAATGCTGCTTTCTGCCTGCGGGATCCTTCTTATTTAGACCAAGTGGCTCAGCATGAACTGCCTCGATATCAGGAGGAAGGTTGGAGCGCACTAATGTTGCAATCGCTGAAGGAGCAGGTGTGCAAACGTTTTCCTGAAGAGCAGATTCTGAAATATAAGTGCCAAGTACTGGGCACGGATACAAGTACTGGAATAGATAAGGTAACCATCTAATGTTAACTGTTCAGAATTCAGATCAAGAATTAAGGTGGCAAAGTATTTACTAACATGCAAAATGTAAACAGTCTTGGACTTTTTATTCCAGATTACCTTCACATATCTTTTACTCATTTCCATGCTTTTCTGACATTACTATTGTTACAGTTGTCTATAGTACAGATGTATGATACTGCACATGCCCAGTACAGTAGTAGAACTGCCCAATATGAGAACAACTCTACAGTCAGTACTTGTCAATATCTAACTAATTCGTAATGAGCATACTACAAACTAGAGTGGTGTGGTCATCACAAATTGGTTACATATTGACACGTATTTTGAGGGGGTGGTTAGGAGAAACCCACACGAATGTAGTAGCTGCTAGTTTAATATCGGGATCATTATGTTGACACATACATTTGAGCGCCCGATTAATGGATTTATCCATTAAGTAATGAGGAAGTACTGCTTATGTGAGTGTAGGGCCATCATACCTATGAATATACAGTGCTTTTCTGTTGGCTTCAGTTGGAAGTTAAATTAACACTTCAAATACCTAAATCACTTTAGCTTGCTGAAGTGCTTTACACCCTCTTGGCTGTCAATCAGAAAACTGGTCCTGAAACTTCCTGGTTTGTTTATCTCAGTAGAGCTAAACACAAGATTCAGTCAATTGCACAAAGCAATGCCTTGCAAAAACTTCACACTGAGCTGCATTGAGATTACTGTATTTGAAGTCTTGGCTCATGGAAAAGTGAGAATGGTTTGCTCGGGCTTCTTCTGACCCATTTCATTGCTTCAGACAAGAGATCTGCTGCTTTTTCACGCTGTTTTAGAAATACCCCTAATTTAAAAGTGCATAATAAAGGCATGCATTTTTTCCTTGGGAATATATCTACTAAGTAGAGATTTTATTTGGGCAGTGGAGTGTCCCTTTAAGAATTGGCTTTAGATTGCTGCAGAAATCGGAGTAACCTAGTATAGCAAATGGGTAGTGAAACTCACATGGTGGGTTCATATAGCACTGAGTACATCATTACATGGTAATTATTAATCAGGTGTTGACAGATTGCAGAGAACCACATAGAGTATGTTAACATGTTTTTACCGTATGATTAGGTTAAGCTGGGCTTTTCTGATGACTTTGGTTCTTGGATTCTGCGTTTCCTACAAGCAAGGATCCTTGAGACATTCTCGGGTCACTCAGAGGTTTTGTCAACAAAAGAGAAACCTTCTTGGTAAGATGGAAGTAGAAGTAATCCTGGATGATCTTTTTGTCATACTGTTTGTTAGATTTGCAATTGCAAAAAAAGAGGTCCCTTAATTGTTTAATTTCACAAATTAATATTATGCTTGTTTAATGTTTTAACTTTTTCATATTGATCAATGACTTATGTCTTTTCAAAAATATCAAATATCATGTCTTTAAGAGTTCTTCCCATGATTCTGTCCTTAGGGAACAGATTGAGAGTACTCAGCATCAGTTGTTCCTGTGGCAGAAACAGGAGGTTTTCCTTGGTAGAAATCCTGAGATTCAAAGGATCCTTGATTTCCTACAGATGAAGATGACTGCACAACAGCAGCAACATAAAGGGTCAGAAGAAGGTGATAAAAATCATACGATTCCACTTTATCAGGTGATAGCTGAGCCTGGTTTAGGAAAATCCTCTCTGTTAACAGAATGCATTAACAGAGCACTTCAGGTGAGTTACATCATTTCCTGTAAATAGCAGATAATGTTAGTGATGGTCTTGCATCTAGAAGCAAGTTCTACTTGAATATCTGTAAACTCACACACACATATATATATATATATATATATATATATATATATATAATTATCGGGGTCACTTGTCACCCACAGCTTCCACACTGCACAGTATTTTACCATTTTGTTGGCTGCTGTTCCTCTTCAATCCAAATTTCCAACATTATGATTCGCCTGTGTTATCATCTTTTGCCACCTGGACAAGGTAAGAAGTGTCCAAAGCCAGCATGGCTCATTTTAATGGGGAATAACTTGTTTATCATAGAAGGAATGTTCGCCATTATGGGATAGTCACATTATCTCACTGTATCATTTATTGTTAGCCTTTTTGTTATTACACTCTTGACCAAATATGTCTATCGCTGTATATACTTTTCATCAGCTCTATTTTGTGTTTAGATCGCGATGATGCCCTGCAGAGGCTGAATAACTGTTTGAGAAATGAAGACATGAAAGAGATTTTAAAGGATCTTTTGGCTTTATTTCCCAGTTATCAAGACAAGGCTCTATATATATTTATTGATGCTATGAATCAGGTACATTTGGTGACCTATATATGCAGGTCAATGCCACAAGCATAAAGTCAAAATCTGTGTAAACAACTATGGCCATGGTTGGGGGTTTGGGTGGAATCTCTGGCAGGTACCTCTGTTTCACTTTTCTAAGTTTCCTCGATTCCTCTGCTTACAGAAGGGTCTACCAAGCCAAAAGAAATTCAAATCATATTGATTAAACTTCTTTACAATGTAATCATTAGTGTAGGACACACTTATACTTATGTACCCTGAAGCAGTGGTGAGTGTGACGGACCGACTGCACCCAGTCTAGGTACCTCCGTCAATCGCAGCTTCCTAGTACTTGTGAGTACCATAATCACTGCACTGGAACACCATAACCACCGTAGACCCCATGAACCGCCGCAGCTTGGTTGGGGTCTCGCCGCCCTCCACCCATCCCGGACCCAAGACCAGGATCCAGCTTCCAGTGGGTAGACCTCTCCTAGTCCAGAGAGCATAGCAGGAACAGGGAACAAACCGCAGCACTTCTGCCCACAGTCGCCGTGGCTTGACTGGGGCCCTGGAACTGCTCCTTCCTGGAACCGAATGGGAAATTAGCTCTAGTCCTTACAAGGACTTTCCTCGTTGACACCCAGGTGGACTTTGTTGGGAACAGGGACACAAACTTCCAAACCAATAACAACACATTTACAATGTAAGGTACTCCCACACAATGCAAACAATCCCTCCCCTCTGCTTGGGAGATAATTGAGTTAATTACTGTATCAACTCAATTATCTCCAGGCAGACAAAAAAAAACACATTTCCCAAAAGTACCCCAAAACACAACATATCCCAATAAAAGTCACAGCCGTGATCTGGGTGAATAACATATCCAAAAATCACCCAGATCAGAGCAGGGGTTCAGGAATTTCCTGGAAGTCATAGTTTTGACCAACCATGCACATGGTCCTATGCCCAAAACAGTTCCAGGAAAATCAATGCTAACAGTCAGTCAAGTTTGGTAGTCTTTTACAGGTTTCCCTGCAGGGCCCATAGTCTGTGGGCAGGAGGCTGGCAAGCAGGCTTCTCCAGGAGCTCGTGGCACACTCATTTGGGGAGTGGAGTTTGTCACAGTGAGCTTATACACAAACTGGTCATATGGTGTAACTAAATCCCAATATTTCTTTGCTTAAAGGGACAGTATAAGCACCCAAACCACTTAATCTCATTGAAGTAATCCACATTGCCATTCTGCAGACAGCCATTAGAGGTGCTTCTGTAGAAATAGCTGAGTGAAACTTGGCTATTTCTATCAGATGGTCTCATAGAGACTATGTGATTGGTGCATCGAAACAATGCTTTCCAATGGGACAGGTGTATTGAAACTATTTTTATATGTATGTATGTGTGTATTGTTTGCTAAATGTGTAGTTATTATGGTCCCCAATTTCTTTGTTTTTTTGGGGGGTGGGGGTTTAAATAATTTTTTATTGCAGAGATAATGAGGATTACAATATACATGAAATGTAGCTCCAGTATCAAAAAACTTATATAGAAGTGTATTAAAAGTAATTTTGTTTGAGAACAAAACCAAACCAAAAACATAAAATGTAAAACAAAGTACCATGTCATACATTCATATGGACGGTTGGTGTTCTGGAATAGGATCATGAAGAAGCAAGAATATAGGAATAATGGCCTGACATCCAAGAGGGCCAGACATGTTCTTTGAGAGCTCCGGCAAAACGGAGCTTAACTTAGGCTTTTATTACCTAAAATCGTGTCACTTGCAGCCTTATACAAAGATGGTTAACTGCTGAACTGAGTGGGAACCTATGGAAACAAATCACCTGTACAAATTAGCTTGCCGTGTTATCGCTGTCGGAACATGTGGCCTTGCAAGTGCTGTGGCCTGGAGACCGGGGAAGGCGGCTGATTCCCTGACACGGGAAACACTCTGCACAACTACTCACCTGATGCCACGCAGCCCCCCCTTGTGAACTTGTGAGGGATATCCCGGTCCCCACGGTGGAAGCTTACCACTCTGCAACCGCAATATCACCTACAGAAACGGAGCCCTCATGGCAAAACCAAAATGGCCGCTGCGCCACTTCCATCACAGTCTCGAGAGAGCTTTGAGCTGCAGAGATGGAGAGAGAGCTTTGAGGCTCGATTTGATAAACTCTGCCAGGAGTTTTGGATCCACATCTCCCACCTTCCTCCCTCCCATGCATCACTTGCTCAACCGGAGACTGTGGAGAAAGCTGAGACAGCGGACCACCAAGCCTGCACTGCACACCTGGAGGTATGTCCTACAAGCTGCCAAAACAAACGGAGGGCTCTTTGTCCTTCTTACCGCCCTAAGGCCCATGGTCCTGCCAGGAAGAGACAGAGGGTACACAGATACCTGACGCTAGCTCACCATTAAGCTTGTGCTCCCACCGACGATGTACCCAGGAACAGCGGATTTGCTTAAATCACAGGCAGGTGCCATGGTGGCCTGACCCAGAGTTGGACTCTATATGATGGCTTATTCAGGGTATCGGATGATCCCCTGATGGCAAAGACTCAGCCTGTACAACAACTACCATCTTGTTTTTATTATGTGTTTTTCTCTTCTATTTCTGATTTCTGTTTTCTAGTTTCTCCCCTAATCCTTTTTGAACAATGCATAGTACCCAGTGGTATCAATACTACTTTTATCTGACAGTCTAGCCAGACTGAATTATTTCACCTCTGAAACTCTCCTTCTGAGAGGCTTTCTCTGCCTGTGAGTTCCATACTCTTTCTTAGGTCATGAGGACTGATTTAGGAACCACTGCTCTATACTATCACAATAGAAACTGAAACAGATTTTAGTAGGCTATAGGGACATATGGGGAAAATCCATTAATTATTTAATGGATAATAGATTTCCTAGAAGCTGCCAATATGACCCCAAAATTGTTGTCACAAACTGCAATCTAAAATACTTGAAGCAATTGGTTTGAATGGAATAAGCATATATATATATTTGTTGGCTTAATTTCTCCATGCTGCGCCATGTTGGTTTAATTTCTCCATGTTTCTGTTATGGTTTTTGTCATGTTTTGTATCTTACTAACCATTAGTTAGTACTAACCATTATAAATTTGATGAACACATGTACTTTCACAACCATAAAATAATTTTTATTATTGACCTGGGCATTTACTAGTGCTGGTACCTCAACGCTTTATTTCTTCTTTGTCTCCAGCTGTCTGTACCATCTGATGCCTCAGATCTCTTGTCCTGGCTGAGCACTGAGGAGGTTCTACCCCCTTTCTGCAGGTGTGTTATCAGCAGCACCCACAATTCAGTTTCCTCAGGCTCATCATATATCATGCACCTGGAACCTCTTTCCCTGGAATCTGCACAAAACCTGGCAGTCATGTACCTATCTCGCTATACCAAGGTGACAGTGTGCTTTAAATGTTGAGGCACGGGGAAAGTCAATGGAGGAAAAAAAGATCAAGAATAGGGAAATAAATAAAATAGTGGGAAGATAGAAACACTAATCAGATGGTGAGAAAAAAAAAAGAATCAGAAAAAGACGGTTTTGAAAACTGATATACAATAGTGACCAAAGCCTGGGAAACTGATCTGAATTTCTTGATATGGGTAACTAGGTAAAGAGATTCTGATTACTGCTGAAAATAGTTCATCACAATAGTATAGAGAAGGGAAATTTTATTTAGCAAAACCAGTGAACATTTTCAATAAATCAATTATATAGTATTGAAAATACTGTCTTTCATCTGTGGTGTGCAGGAACTGAGCTCAAAGCAGCTCCACCTGCTACTTCAGAAGACTTCTTCCCAGAATCCTCTATGGCTTACCATGGCTTGTGAAGAGCTACGTGTTTTTGGGGAGTTTAAGATGCTTACGCAGAAGATTGCTGGATTTCCTGACACATTACAAGGATTATTAGAAAATATTATCCAAAGGCTTGTCCAGGAAGACCAGAGTGCCCGAGTTAAGGAGGTGAAAAGACAGCTACATTTTATACATGTTACACATTTGCCTATGTAACATATACACACGCTGTTTGCACACTATGTTATAGTGCAGGTTTATAAGCAATGTAACTGTTTTGCTGCAAATGGATAAGGAAACATGCTTTCAGTGTATGTATGTGCAGTATATATATATATATATATATATATATGTTTATTTTTAATATATTTCTTTTTGGTAGATGCTGGTATAACAAGTGGTTTTTCTTATGAATATCTTTTTACAGTTGTTGTGTCTGTTATATTGCTGCTCAGAAAGTGTGGTGGAGAAGGACCTCCAGGGTTCCTTGTCTTATTTAGAACGTGGTCCTGAGATACCCAGCATGCATTGGGCCACACTACGCAGAACCATAAAATGTCTAATTCGAGCAAGCCGAGATCACAGAGGGAGGGACAAACTGAGTTTTTTCCATGGTAGCGTGGCAAAGGTAACCAGCAAGTGCCAGTAAGAGAGTCATATGTTAAAAAAAAACAATACATAGGGATTGATAAATGGCATGCCTACTGTTTAGTATTGTGGGTTATATAGTATTGTGTATAACTGGAGCAAAAATGTTGACCCGTATTTACTGTTTTAACTTAAAGGACGACTCTAGGCACCCAGACCACTTCAGCTTAATGAAGTGGTCTGGGTGCCAGGTCCCACTATGATTAACCCCTTTTTTTTTATAAACCTAGCAGTTTCAGAGAAACTGCTATGTTTATAAATGGGTTAATACAGCCTCCAAATCCTCTAGTGGCTGTCTCATTGACAGCCGCTAGAGGCGCTTGCGTGCTTCTCACTGTGAAAATCACAGTGAGAACACGCAAGCGTCCATAGGAAAGCATTGTAAATGCTTTCCTATGAGACCAGCTGAATGCGCGCGCAGCTCCTGCTGCGCATGCGCATTCAGCAAAAGAGGAGGATCGGACACTGAGAGGAGGAGGAGAGCTCCCCGCCCGGCGCTGGAATAAAGGTAAGTTCAACCCTTTTCCTCTCCATCCAGCCCGGCGGGAGGGGGACCCTGAGGGTGGGAGCACCCTCAGGGCACTATAGTGCCAAGAAAACGAGTATGTTTTCCTGGCACTATAGTGGTCCTTTAAAACCTAGCATTTCCAGATTACATATCATTTGGCTATGGAAACATGTTCAATTTAGAATGAATAGATTGTATTCTTCCTTGGGAGTTTCTATATTATCTGTATGTATGTTATGTCTGTAGTGATTGTTATGTATTAACAAACTGTTCCTATTAGTTACATAGTTACATAAGCTGAAAAGAGACATGCATCCATCAAGTTCAGCCTTCCACACATCTGTTTTTTTGCTGTTGATCCAAAAAAAAAACAACAAAAAAAAGTTAGAAGCACTTCCAATTTAGCAACAAACTTGGAAAAAAATCTCCAGAATGGCATTTAGATTTATCTTTGGATCAAGAAGCTATTACCCTACAGCTGAAAAATTATATAATTGAATATTTTATTTTTGCAAGTAGGCATGTAGTTGCTGTTTAAACGTCTGTACAACCTCTGATAAAACCACTTCTTCAGGCTAAGAATTCCACATCCTTATTGTTCTTAAGGTAAAATTATAAAAATATGCAGTTTGTAAACTTATCTTGCATGAAGAATACATTTGATCTTTTATGTCTACAGGCAGTGGAGCAGAGTTTCTTGACAGCAGACACATCCCGTCAGCCTTACCTCTGCAGCCTGTCTGATTATTATGAGAACATATGTTCTGATGACGCCACTGTGGTGTCCCATTTGCCCCGTCTACTGCAGGAGGCTAAACTGAACAATCGCCTGGTCCAGTTCTTGAGAAAGGATCAACGTGCCAAGTCTATCCAAGCTCACATACGTGCTCAGTATTTGAAGGTAACTGAACTGCATTAATTTACATGTCTAATTGCCTGAAGTTCACAAAGAATCACTATTATTATAATATCATCTAAAAAAACAAAAAAGCATTGCTTGCCTACATTCCCACACAGTTAATATTCATCAACAGCATAGTTTTTCTCCGAGGCCCTCTACAGCATTCAATCTTTGTGACAAATTTGCAATTCACAACTTCCGGTTCCGCCATCTTAGCTGGACACGTTTTACCTCCACTCCATCATCTGATTTCACAATCTGCTTCCATCCAGTGTTGACGAAAGCATAATTTTGTAGTTTCTGGCCTATATTGCATGCCTAATGGACTCTGCGGTCGATCCGCATTTGTAGTCTGTGCTCACCCTTCATCACTGCAGGTGCAAATTGACGGAAGTCGAGGCCTGTGGGGTAGGCCTCAACCTTTAGCGTAGGGTACGGAGGCAGTGGGCACACAATCCTGGGCCAAATCTACCAAATCTATCATGATTGTACTGCCAATGCATCTATTTCTGACAAGGAGCACATAATAATCGCGATAGGTACTACACCATCATCGACTACCTGTATTACGAGTGGTTCATCTCACATACCAGGTTTATTGTGATCCATTGCTCACACACTGTAAATATCGACCAATCTGTCCTCAAAGTATGTTATCCTGCCCAGGCCACTCTAAGATTTTCCAGAGCTTAGCGCTTTAAGGCACTCTTTGAAGGATACTCCTCATCAATACAGCTTTATATATTCTCAATTGCCTTCTCACACCAGCAATCTCCACCACTAGCTCATGTGCATACTTTAGTTATTTATGCTTTGTTTTCATTTTATTTTTGCCTGCAACTTAACATCCACGTGCTTGCATAGAACACGCATAACTGTGCTCAGCTGGGCCTGCTCCTCACTCATACCATTAAACCTGCCCAGCAACTCTGGCTGCAGTAAGATTTATTCACACAGGCTTCCATCGTCCCTTGTGTAATTTTTCCAAAGGTTTACCAGATTGGTCAAACGCAGCCTCATTACAATCCTAGCTGACATATTCTCACAGGTTGTTCCTACATACATCAAAATATTAGTCTGTGGCTCCACTCAAGCAGGTGTGTATACTGTGGTTGACCATTTGTTGTGGTTTTTACCTTCCATTAAAAACTGGTGCTCAGGCAACACTGTCGGATAGACCCATCACACTCAGACCATCACCAGCTATCACCAGCTTGTGCCTCCACTAATGCATAATTTTCTCAGGAGGGATACCACAGGTGAACCTGTGCAAGAGTGGCTACATCTGACCACCGGGCAATTTTAGCTGACAAGTACCCAATACTCTATCAATGTGCCAATCTAAGTACTAACCAACACATTCTATATTCATATAATCTCTTAAAGCTACAACCATGCTCTAACCAAATAACCTCACTTGCTGGTCCTCAATTCTCGACCTGACCACTACTCAACATCACTTATTGTACACTGAGAGTCTATTTCTAGGTGGTCTCGGTCAACATCTATATGACTACATAATCCAATTAGGGACTTGTTGGTGATCTATTATGTTTAGGAGATTGAGGTGAAGAATGTGATCGTACAAATCTGCCTAACTTACAACATTTACCTAGTTACTCTGAATATTTAGCTTACCTAATTCCTGGCAGCTACTACTGTACTCCCTCTCTACTCTTTTCTATATTGCTAATCCTCTTCTGCCAAATCTCTGTCTATCAAACTCAACTCACTGGGGCTATCACACCCGTTATAGTTCTAGCACGACATTTTTTTGCAGATCGCTTACACTCCCTTTCACATACTGATTCTACTACATCTCACTCACTATCCTAGGCCAGGGATGATCACAAAGGACATTTGTACTCTCAGACCAGACCACACATTCTCAATACACAACTGAATCAAAGAGCACCTTCTCAGCCAACCTGCAATCAACCTCCTATCAACTCACATCCTTTTCAAACACCCAACAAAAACTCACATCATCCCATATCGCTTGACATCACGCTTACATTTGATTTCGCTTTTCTCTTCCTTTCCCTTTCTTCCTTTTCTCTTTTTCTTATACCCTTTATTTCTTTGTTATGGATAAATTCATAGACAAAACGCTTTCCTCAAAGCAAGATATAAGGACCAACCAATAAACAACATCTCAAAGAACCGCCACCACCCTCTACTCTTGCCCTTTGTTTTCAAGACTCGGATTCAGATGAACATTTTTCTCAATTTCTTTCTGTTTCCACTCTCATTTCACAACAAGCCTCAGAAACATCTTGTGAGGTCTCCAACCTTCCTAAACCAATCTTTGAATCCAAATTCAAGGACATTAAAGAATCTATTGATAGTGCAGTCAATCTACTTCAAACTCATACCTTCCAAACTACTCAGTTGGAAACTCGACAGAACACAACTGAAGAAGAATTACACCAACTGTAATCCACGATAAGACAGCAACAAACTGGCTGATCTTGAAAACTGCAGTAGAAGAAACAATTTACCATCTGTTGGCTTTCCAGAATCCTTGAAAACAGGTGATTTTATTTCTACTGTTGAGACCTAGTTACTGGATATTCTCCAAATAGCCACCACATCCACTTCCTTTCTTACCATCGAGTGGACTTGGCCCAGAAAGATCTGATAAAACCTCCAAACAACGAGCCATTGTAGCAAAGTTTTTGAACTTCAACAACACTGTACGCATTCTTACAGCTTATAAGGAAACCTATCAAGATAACAAAATCTTCATCTTTAAAGATCACTCGGCACAGGTCACCCAAAGATGCCGAGCATTGACCAATTTGTTCAGCACTTCACAACCAAATGTATCCTGCTACATTACGCCTAAGCATCGCAAACCGTTCTCTCTCCACCACATCCGTGTAAGAAGCAACAGCCTTCCTAAACAATGTTCTACTAATTGATAATTTTTTTTGCCAATGCCCTCAGCCCATTCTTCACCTACTAGGGAAGAGTAGTAATTCCCACATGTCACTTCTTCTTGGTTCAGGTTTTTGTATATGCCTTCTAAATAGCCCATAAATTCCACCAGACGTGGCAATTTACATCTCCACCCAGGACCATTTATTTCAGTCTAAAATCAGAGCAACACTGAAGTACCCAGCATGGTTCTCAGCAGAGCTGGTAGTGTGTTGTGACCCATTACAAAATATATCTTAAGATATCAGTTATCCATACGGTCTTTATGGTCGTTGGAATGATGGGGGGCACGTTTATTATGTTTTTAGAGTTTAATTACTTTGTTACATAACCAAACAAGTTTTGACTTATGGTTTGGTGCTCCAACTCTTGATCTTAGTGATGGCCCCACACCCCAAGACAATATTTTCACAGTAAGTAGTTCTCTTCCTCAAAAGAGAAGACAGGGCAAAAGGGGGGGGGCTTTGGTTGGGCAGTGTTTCACTGTTATTGTGTAAGGGTTACAACTCTTTTCCTTTGTAATAGAGAATTTTTAATATTTGAAATGTTTGGAATGTAGAATGATGAATGACATGTAAGCTTAACTTTTCATAGTGGTTATTTACTGCATGTTATCAGTGTAATTGCTTATATATGACATACCTATTAAAAATTACTTTTCAAAAAATAAATAAATTACCAGCCGTTTTATTGGGTGTTGATAGTGGAGATGATGATCTCATTGACTCTTTATGGTGTCTATGTTTTGGGCAGGGTCTACGTTGCTCTATGATGTGCAGGGAAGGATTTCCCAGGAAGCCAGCAATGATCTGTGCATTTTGTTCTCTAAAGTCTGGTGCATTTGGACAGGTGAGTTAAATGTATGAAACTTGTGTTTTACTGCATTAAAACTCTATTCTTACCTTTCTTTCAAAGAACCTGTCACCTAATGCATGGTTTCATCAGGATAGTCTGTTACTTTTCATCCTAAGGGTGCGGAGTGTCTTGATGATCAAATACCGATTTCAGTTGTAATGGTGATTATAATAAACAATTTCTGTGTACTGATCCATTTCTGCTTGGCTTGACCACTTATAGCTTTCTTTACCTGTGCAGGCTAAAATAAGTTATTGGTAGCAACAAAGATTCTGTATTCATCATTTGTTACTTTTTATTTTTCCCTGTCCTCGTTCTTTCTTTCTTGGTCAATTCTTTTCAAATTTGTCTTCACTTTGTAACTGTTGCTTGCTGTGTGTTTTTCTGCCCTTATCTCACTTTTGTTGTTTACTTTATTACCTTTCCCATTCCTCTTCAAGCAAATCCTATTTGTAATATCTGTGTTTTCGTTATAGTTTTTTCCCAACAGCCAGAGCTGTGCTGTGTGTGGTTCACATGCTGCCTATATGGGTAAAGAGGCCTTTCAGTGTCCTCAACACTACAGGTAACAACAGGACTTTTCCTCAGCAAGACATTTCCAACCCTATACCTTTTTTTTTTTTTTTTTTTTTAACATATTCTCTCTTTCTAGCCATGGAAGAAATGATTGTCTTGTTTGTAAAAATATCATCCTGGGCCCACAGTCTCCAATGCCAGCCTTGCTGTGTAACACATGTGGCTTCTTACAAACTTGTATTGCTCTCAAGACATAACTCGCTCTTTTATTCTTTGAATGTTTGATAGTGAATTGAACTCTTGACTTCAACAATAACCACAATTTCAGATGCGTCAACTGATATTTAATGCATATAACTGTAACTCCTTTTTTAATATTGTATTTTTAATCTTTACTCTGTCTCATATAATAAAGACACATGCCATCATTACTTCATTTTAGTATACTTTTTTTTTTTTAATTCCCTTTCCACATCATCTTACATCTTCTATTGAATTAGTTAATATTCGCTTATTCTGCTAAAGTCAGAACTTGGCTATTTTAGCCAAAATTTACTATTCGATTTACATTTCACTAAAATTCGGTGCTTACACTCTGCTGTTTATAGTACATACAAGCAAGAGTTAACAAGCACAGACATTTGTGTGACATCTGTTTTGTCTTTCTTTGCAATAAATCGTGAATCTCCTTAAAATCTATCCCAGTAACAACTGTCATTGCGCACTTATAGACAAGTAAAACAAGGCAGCTTTTTATAGAATTAAACAATGTCATAGAAGAGACTTGTATTGTGTGGAAAGAAGTGTGACAGAGACAATGTTGTTCTCAATTCCATAATGTAGAATCTACAGATGGGATTATGTGTGATTAGAAGTTCATTACGGGCACTTTAATACCACAAGGAACTTGGTAATTGATTTATGGACAGTTCTCAGCACTTACTTGGGTCTCCTGATAATTTTCCATTCCATTGTAGCATACCTACAACCCAGGCTATTATTTCCCGAGTAAGCTGAGAAGAATGGAGTCGAGCAGTAAGTGGATAAGACTGTAATGGAGGTAGATGTCAGACCAGCCCAGTCAATCTTTACAGTAATTGCTTGTGAAACCTTGTTATCTAATAAGACAAATCGTTTCTCATCACTTCCCTGCTTATGGATCCCTAGAGATTCAGAGATGAACGGGTACAGAAAGACCGTAGAAAGGAGAGGCCAAGAGAAATCTATAACCACAATGACACTGGTAATCTGCAAAATGCAGGGAAACCTGGAAAAAAAATACAGAGAAGCTATGGGTCCCTACAGAATACAAAATTCATAGAAATTTAAAAGGCAGGGATGTTTTGTATCATAGAAAATCAGCCATGTTAAGGGACTCTGAAAAGACAGCAGGATACTTTTTCAAGATAGGGAAGGGTTAATAAACATATGACATGAGTGCCACCACTGGCTATCAGAGGCCTTTGAGGTGGCCTCAGTTTCTTTCTGCAGGATAGTCATCAGTACTGGCAGTCCTTGTTTTCATGAACCATGGCATCATCTAATTACCTGTCATGCCTAGTGCTGACATTATAGAGCATCAAGTATGTTAGGCTGGTAAGGAGGTCTCATATGAAGATGTAGTTACTGCATATTGAAAATAAAACTTGGAGACCGGGAGAAGAGGGTCCAAGAGGTGGGACACGGAAGGAGGAGTTAAGGATTGGGGAAGTGGAATGAGCTCAACAAAAAATGGAAGGGACAAAAAGCATGTGTGGGGGTACAAGAAAGCAAAATGTTATGGAAGGAAATGTCAAATGGAGAGAATTGGGAATTTTAGATCTGTGACTTGATTTGTGCAAAATGTATTCCAGCTAATCACATGACCCTTGTGATTATTTAGCTAGGAGGATATTGAAGTAGATTTATGAATGGCTACTTTTAGATTTTACTAATAAAATTATGTTTTATTATATTTTATTAGAATATTTGAAACATTCATTATGTCACACTGAAAATCTTAAAAAAGAAAAAGAGAGATGATCCCTCCTTAGAAATGATTAACTATTTTCAATACTTTACATGATAATTTACATTATTTCTCCAATGAAACAGTAACACAGTAACATTTTTCACTATTTCTCATTATACACTTTGCCTTCTCCTTTTTTACATTTGATAGAAATGTGAAGAAACCATGGCTGAGATACTATATATATAATTTTACTTTTACTTGCTCTGTTATCTTAGCCAGTTCAAACACATGCCATCACAACCAAATTAATAACCTTCCCACTGAATTGTAATTGTGTTTTATGCAAATTTGCAGTAATTATAATTAAAAAAGGTAAATTTAAATCAAACATACTACATTTCACACAAAGCTATACTAAATGGATTAATCTTTCAAGACCACCATTTTATACTCTCTAATACACATAAAATAGTTTACATATTTAGAATTCAAAATTGATTTTGTTTGAAAATCGCTTTTATCTTGAGATGAGATGGATAATTGCTAATTATTTTGAAGTAACAATTTGTATATATTCTATTAATTTGAACAACCCATTTATATTGAATATTCCTGTTCCTCTAAAGTGATGTTCATTAAACTTGCCCTCAGTACCCAACAACAGGGTTTAAAGAAGCACGGATAAGACATTAAAAAATGACTGAACTATGTAGAAATTTGGATTTTCTGGCTACTAAGCTCCTAAAGACAGATTTGAAGAACACCTCTACGATATGTTTCCCGTTATTCTCGAGCACCTCCCTGGAGTGCATATGTTATTGATATCACTTTTAAACAAAGATAGAAAATTCTTAACCCTTAATGACAACTTGGCAGATGAGTAAAAGAGATTCCCAATCCCTTGTCATAAAAGGGTAGAAATCTCCGCGATTAGGGGGTTCATGTTGCCTAGCATAGACTGCGTTTGCAGATCATTTGTTTTTACATGCTTACTTAGTCTTGAAATGGTAACTTTTTGTGTACATGATTTTTTATTTTATTTTCTAGATGTTTATTTTGTGGTTTTAAAATGTTGCCTTTGTAATATAAATTTTAATGAACAGACATACTGTGAACACTGTCATTAATCTAATACTATCCTTCCGTTTTGTGTCATTTTACCCCACTCCCTCTAGCATGTAAGCTCATTGAGCAGGGCCCTCAACCCCTCTGTTCCTGTGTGTCCAACTTGTCTGGTTACAACTACATGTCTGTTCGTCCACCCATTGTAAAGCGCTGCAGAATTTGTTGGCGCCATATTAAAAATAACATAATAATAATAACACATTCATTTCTATACTCTATCTTATAAATAAAGACAATTTAATATAAGAGGAGAATACAGATCGGGGTAGACAAAATGAGAGGCTAATCTACTTCCAATGTTATATTAACTGCAGGAAATGGTAATATTGTTAATTAACCCTCCATATAGGTTTACAAGAATCAGGTTAAATATGCCATATTTACAGAGTCTGATAATTTGCCTGTCCCAGACTCCATCTGCAGGCATTAATAGAATCAATAAGGGTTACCAGATCCACTATGTTTTTCCATGTTCACAAAACCCAGAATTGCCCTGCAGCTTTTGTTAAGAAGCTGCTTCTCAAACAGATGTAACATGTAAATAAGCCATGCTGTACCTGTTTTCACAGCAGCACGCAGATTGTTAGACATTTTAACACTTACTATAGAATGCAATTTAACAAATATGATGGATTTTACTTCCTGCTTTGATATCAACTAAATTTCAGTTGAGAAAACTGTAGCAGCCTGTTCACTCCTCAATGTTAATGCATACCTCCTGAGTGTCCCACTTTTTGAAGGTGAGTACTTTTTTGCCACTGTCCCTCTTTGTTTTGTCTGGTGGCTTACGAATATGATCTTAGAATGATTAGTCGCATGTGTGTAAAAGAACTATGCAGAAATAAATCATGTGAGTATATGTGTGAACTGAGATTGTGTATACATTTGTCTCAATAAAATACTGTCTTTGTAGTAAAATAGCCCAATTACATCACTAGCTACAAAAAGATGACCGTCACCTAAGAGTTCTCCCCACTCTGTAGTCAAAAGTGTCTCTATTTCGTCTTTAGTGATGTTGGGATATAGGGCAGGACACATTAATTTGAAGGTTCATGTGCCTTTTACCTTATTCCTTTTTGCTTTGTGTATTAGAAGTAAGAGAGTCACACTGTGTCTGTGACCTGTCACCATTGTATGCTCTGGTCTTCAAGGAAGGGTAAAAGGGTAGTTGGAGAGCACGATATCGATAAACCCCATGAAATATTTGGTTTGCAATTTCTGCAATCACTCAAGCTACTTTACTATTTACACTTTATATCTTTGCTTTCTCTGCCACCCTACAGCATCGGTCCTGTGCACTTGCATCAGTGATATGGTTTCCATTGTCACTAGAACAATGTGTGTCATGCTCTTCACCCTCCCACCAATGCTATGCCCCTCACCCTGTTATTCCCTTGAGCATACAGTTGGCATTGAAACAAATAATAGCAATGTTATCAATTTCTTTCATTTTTAATTTCGGGTTGACGAGGACAGAGCTTTCAAAGTATCAGCTTCCAGGAGGCTGCTCTGTCCCTTCCAATGTTGTCTGCGTATGTCCCTCTGGTGATACTCTCCTGTCATTTTCGGGGCTACTGTCTCTGTATGCAGATTCTTGAGGAGTGCTAAGAGATTGAGAAGTAGCGCAGGACTGCGGGGAGCTAGCTGAAGTTAGATTTGGTGGGCTTGGCTCCTGCCCCTTCCCCTTCCGTACCTGCAAGGGAAAGTGTATGAAAACAGGAGTGAGTTATTCTTAATTACCTAGCTTTACTGTATTAAATAGTAATGCAGACAGGCATAAACATTTATACAAAGAGCATTCACACATCTTTGTTTCTGGTGTTATCCAAATGAAGGCCACAACCATAGAATTCAAATTTATGTTGTAAAATAGGTAAATATCACTCTTGATGCCCAAAAAAAAAAAAACAGTCAGATTTTGTCTTGGCTCAAGAAACTGTAAAACAGCATGTATATAATATTATGGCATATATTGATCAGCCACAACATTAAAACTACTGACAATGACACCTATCAAGGGGTAGGATATATTAGGCAGCAAGTGAACAATTAGTTCTTGAATGTCATGTGTTGAAAGCAGGAAAAATGGGCAAGCGAAAAGATCTGATTATACAAGGGTCAAATTGTGAAGGCTAGATGATTGGGTCACAGCTTCTCCAGATGGGAAGTCTTGTATGTGTTCCCGGCATGCAGTGGTTAGTACCTACCAAAAGTGGGGCAAGGAAGGAGAACCGGTGAAATTATGTAAGGGTCATGGGTGCCCAAGGCTCATTGATGCATGTATGGAGTTAAGGCTAGCTCATCTACTCCAGTCATACATAAGAGCTACTGTAGCTCCAATTTCTTAAAAACTTAATGTTAAACCATGATAGAAACGTGTCATTACACAAAGTGCATCACGGTTTACTGTGGAGCCGCATACCAGTCAGATTGTCCATGATGATACCAGTTCACCGCTAAAAGCTCCTTCAAAAGGGATGTGATCGGCAGAACTGGACCATGGGGCAATGAAAGAATGTTTCCTGGTCTGGTGAATTATGTGCCAGATGGCCAGTTGCGTGTGCCGTTCACCTGGGAAAGAGATGGCAGCAGGATATACTATGGGAAGAAGGCAGGCTGGTGTGGACAGTGTTATTCTCGGGCAATGTTCTGTCCTGGTATTCATGTGGATGTTACTTTAACATTTGCCACTTTCCACCTACCTATAGATTGTTGCAGATAACGTACAACCTTTCATGGTGATGTATATGTGTGTATGGCAATGGTGTTCCCTGATGGCAGTGGCCTCAGCAGGATAATGCACACTGCTGCTCTGCAAAATGTGTACAAATGGTTTAAAGAACATGTCAAAGAGTTCAAGGTGTTGCCTTGGCCTCCAAATTACCCAGATCTCAATCTGAGTGACCATCTGTAGGATCTGTGAAACAACAAATCCGATCCATGGCGGCCCCACCTCGCAACATGCAGAACTTAAAGGATCTGCTGCTAATGTCTTGGTGCCAGATACCATAGGACACCTTCAGAGGTCTTGTGGAGTCCATGCCTTAACGCATCACAGCTGTTTTACAGCACAAGGGGAGCCTACATGATTTTAGGCTTGTGTCTGTCAGTGAGTATGTGTATCTGTGTGTGTGTCTTGTGTCCCAGTGTGTGTGTGTGTGTGTGTCTGTCGGTGAGAGTATGTGTGTCTGTGTGTGTGTCTGTCAGTGTGTGTGTGTGTGTCTGTCAGTGAGTATGTGTGTCTGTGTGTGTGTCTGTCAGTGAGTATGTGTGTGTCTGTCCAGTGAGTATGTGTATCTGTGTGTGTCTGTCCAGTGGTATGTGTGTCTGTGTGTGTGTGTGTGTGTCTGATGGTGAGTGTGTGTGTCTGTGTGTGGGTGAGGTGTGTATCTGTGTGTCTCTTGGTGGGTATGTGTGTGTGTGTGTGTGTGTCTGTCTGTCGAGGGGTGGTATGTGTGTGTCTGTCTGTCAGTGGTATGTGTGTGTGTCTGTCAGTGAGTGTGTATGTGTGTGTGTGTGTCTGTCAGTGTGTGTGTGTGTGTGTGTGTGTGTGTGTGTGTGTGTGTGTGTGTGTGTGTGTGTGTGTGTGTGTGTGTCTGTCAGTGAGTATGTGTGTCTCAGTGAGTATGTATGTGTCTGTCAGTGAGTATGTGTGTGTGACTGTCAGTGTGTCTGTATGTGTTTGTCTGTCTGTCAGTGAGTCCTGCCGACATGCTTGCTTTAAGGCTTCTGGAATTTTGAGAGAGAACTACTACCTTCTATTTTTGATAGTTTATGACAGAACCACTTTATAGTGCGTGCAAGGGTGTATGTTGTGAGTACAGAGTAAATACAGCATGTGGTGAATAGGGCCAAGGGAATTTATGGTTTTGGTGCCCTTGTCTAACCCCTGGGCTTATGGTCACCCTATGGATAAGCCTATTCGGTATAGTACTCTAAATTAAAGGACCCCCTATAGGCACCCAGACCACTTCAGCTCAATGAAGTGGTCTGGGTGCCAGGTCCCTCTAGTTTTAACCCTGCAGCTGAAAACATAGCAGTTTCAGAGACACTGCAATGTTTCACTGAGGGTTAATCCAGCCTCTAGTGGCTGTTTCCCTGACAATCACAGTGAGAAGACGCTGACGTCCATAGGAAAGCATTGAGTAATGCTTTCCTATGGGTGGTTTGAATGCATGCGCGGTGAGTATGTGTGTCTGTCTGTGAGTGTGTGTGTGTCTGTCTGTGAGTGTGTGTGTCTGTCTGTGAGTGTGTGTGTGTGTCTGTCAGTGAGTGAGTGTGTCTGTCAGTGAGTGTGTGTGTGTGCGTGTGTTGGTCAGTGTTGCATTGGCTGCGACTGGACAGTGGAGTACCTAGAGGTGCATGGAGGCACGCAACGCCACGTGAAATCGACATGCTCCACCTTCACAGGGTTATAACAAGTAACAAGAGGATCAGATTTGGCACAGGGTGGTAGAGGGGTGTGTTGTGGTTTAGTAGAGGGGGATACTGGTTTTTTTTTTATACTGTACTTTTTAAAATAAACCTTAGTTTCTGTGAAAATGTAAGGTTTTTTTTTTTTTGTGGCCCACATAAACTTAAACCTTGTTTATGTGGCCTGTGCCAGATTATGAGTTTGACATGCTTGACATATTGGCTCCTCAGGAGGCCTGGGGCCACTGTACGCCCGCCAACGGAAACATGGGATTTGGTCTCATAATGGGACATTTGTGGAGCGCACGGGAATAGGGTGAAACCTACCGACGACCCTTGTTACCACCCTGTAGTATGCTCTAGTTATGCTGTGTTTGCAGTGCGCCCATCACTGCAGTTAGCGGAGGTGCAGGTTAAATACCTCGTGCGAACGCACTATTTTATCTTTCTTTTCATTTTATTGTAACCTGTCTAGCCATTTCCATGTGAGCTTCTCAGTAATGATCATTCAATATATTAACCCTTACCGCGCTTCCTTTTACCTTTTAATTAACCACCACATAGATAGGTGATTGCTGTACTACGAGCATGCTTTATCGTACATACCTCAACGTCAAGGCCGAATTGACTAATGGCTTACCCTGTGTGCATTTCTGACAGTATGTCTAGTCTTCATCTTGGTCACAACCTATGAGCGCCTACTGTGGTATTACCTACATCAGGGATAGGCAACCTTCGGCACTCCAGACGTTATGGACTACATCCCCATTACTGCTATTACACCCATAATGCTGGTAAACCATCATGGGAGGTGTAGTCCATAACATCTGGAATGCCGAAGGTTGCCTATGCCTGACCTACATAATCATGTTTACTCTCTCAGTGAGTTAATCGAGCCATGGTGCAGTAAGGGTCGACTTTAAGATATGGCTGCCGAGGTTGTTCCCTCCATAATACACTTTTCTCACCACGACTAGACTAACTTCGTAGCCTGACTGCATAGACGGTTTCCTTGCCTGGACGTGTCTGCCTAGCCTGTTTATCTAGTTCACTTGGCTTATTATTAGAAAAATGAGGCTGAGCTAGTCAAAAGTTTACTTTCATTATTGACTTGTTCATGTGCACTAACATCATACAGTTGCAAGAAAAAGTATGTGAACCCTTTGGAATGATATGGATTTCTGCACAAATTGGTCATAAAATGTGATCTGATCATCATCTAAGTCACAACAATAGACAATCACAGTCTGCTTAAACTAATAACACACAAAGAATGAAATGTTGCCATGTTTTTATTGAACACACCATGTAAACATTCACAGTGCAGGTGGAAAAAGTATGTGAACCCTTGGATTTAATAACTGGTTGAACCTCCTTTGGCAGCAATAACTTCAACCAAACTTTTCCTGTAGTTGCAGATCAGACGTGTACAACGGTCAGGAGTAATTCTTGACCATTCCTCTTTACAGAACTGTTTCAGTTCAGCAATATTCTTGGGATGTCTGGTGTGAATCACTTTCTTGAGGTCATGCCACAGCATCTCAATCGGGTTGAGGTCAGGACTCTGACTGGGCCACTTCAGAAGGCGTATTTTCTTCTGTTTAAGCCATTCTGTTGTTGATTTACTTCTATGCTTTGGGTCATTGTCCTGTTGCAACACCTATCTTCTGTTGAGCTTCAGCTGGTAGACAGACGGCATTAAGTTCTCCTGCAAAATGTCTTGATACACTTGGGAATTAATTTTTCCTTCAATGATAGCAATCCGTCCAGGCCCTGACGCAGCAAAGCAGCCCCAAACCATAATGCTCCCACCACCATACTTCACAGTTGGGATGAGGTTTTGATGTTGGTGTGCTGTGCCTTTTTTTCACCACACATAGTGTTGTGTGTTTCCTCCAAACAACTCAACTTTGGTTTCATCTGTCCATAGAATATTTTGCCAGTACTGCTGTGGAACATCCAGGTGCTCTTGTGCAAACTGTAAACATGCAGCAACGTTTTGTTTGGACAGAAGTGGCTTCCTCTGTGGTATCCTCCCATGAAATCCATTCTTGTTTAGTGTTTTACGTATTGTAGATTCGCTAACAGGGATGTTAGCATTTGCCAGTGACTTTTGTAAGTCTTTAGCTGACACTCTAGGATTCTTCTTCACCTCATTGAGCAGTCTGCGCTGTGCTCTTGCAGTCATCTTTACAGGACGGCCACTCCTAGGGAGAGTAGCAGCAGTGCTGAACTTTCTCCATTTATAGACAATTTGTCTTACCGTGGACTGATGAACAGCAAGGCTTTTGGAGATACTTTTATAACCCTTTCCAGCTTTATGCAAGTCAACAATTCTTAATCGTAGGTCTTCTGAGAGCTCTTTTGTGCGAGGCATCATTCACATCAGGCAATGCTTCTTGTGAAAAGCAAACCCAGAACTGGTGTGTGTTTTTTATAGGGCAGGGCAGCTGTAACCAACACCTCCAATCTCATCTCATTGATTGGACTCCAGTTGGCTGACATCTCACTCCAATTAGCTCTTGGAGATGTCATTAGTCTAGGGGTTCACATACTTTTTCCACCTGCACTGTGAATGTTTGCATGGTGTGTTCAATAAAAACATGGCAACATTTCATTCTTTGTGTGTTATTAGTTTAAGCAGACTGTGATTGTCTATTGTTGTGACTTAGATGATGATCAGATCACATTTTATGACCAATTTGTGCAGAAATCCATATCATTCCAAAGGGTTCACATACTTTTTCTTGCAACTGTATTTCTTTATTCTGGATGATATTTCTAATTGCCTCAATAAACGAATGATTGACTTGAAAAAAGAGTGCTTCGTATTTTATTCATTTTGCAAAAAGTGCAGATATCAATAGAAATGTTCATTTTTATAGATTAACTGGTTACACCCCCTTTGCTGTCAATCAGACAGCCCATGTTGGGTAGAGCATTGGCATAAGGATAGAGTACAGAGAGTTGTCATTAATAGTATATTTGGGAATTGTTATAGACAACAAACTATGCAACAATGTGCAATGTCAATCAGCAGTGGCCAAGGCCAGTAAGGTATTGTCATGCATGAAAAAGGGCATTCATGCTCAGGCTGAGAATATAATTTTGCCTCTTTATAAAGGCAGTGCAATTTTGGGCACTTGTTCTAAAGAAGGATATTATAGCACTAGAAAAAGTGAAGAGGTGAAGAGGTGGGCTACAAAATTAATAAAAGGAATGGAACATATCAGCTATGAAGAAAGGTTAACAAATTTAAACCTATCTAGTTTAGAAAAATGTCGCCTGAGAGGGCACATGATAACATTATACAAATATATTCGAGGCCAATACAAACCATTGTGTGGAAATCTATTCACAAACCGGACTTTACATAGGACACGAGGTCATGCGCTTAGACTGGAAGAAAGAGGATTTCGTCTAAGGCAAAGGAAAGGTTGTTTTACTGTAAGAACAATCAGGATGTGGAATTCTCTGCCTGAGGAAGTGGTTTTATTAGAGTCCATACAGATGTTCAACAACAATTAGATCTATACTTGCAAAAACAGAATATTCAAGGATATCATTTTTCAATGTAGACTAATAGTTGCTTGATCCAAGGATTAATCTGATTGCTATTTTGGGGTCAAGAAGGAATTTTTTTCCTAGATTGTTGCAAAATTTGAACTGCTTCAAACTGTTTTTTTTTTGCCTTCTTTTGGATCAACAGCAAAAACAAATGTGAGGAAGGCTAGACTTAATGGACATATGTCTATTTTCAGCCTATGTAACTATGTTACTTCCTGGTTTGGTGGCTCAGTGGTAAAGAGGCAGCAATTGCTCAGAGCACCTGCCTTGCAAAGACTTCTCATTGAGCCGCATTGGGAAGTCTGAGATTGGACGGCCACAGAAAGTCTAAGTGGGGGTAGAAGTGGAGGGCTTGTAAAGGCTGCAAACAAGTTTTACGTATACACTAATGAAAAAAATGCATAATTAAATGCATGCATGTTTTTATTAGGGGTGTATCCAGTAAACAGTGAGGGTTTTTTTTCTAGTGAATTGTCCCTTTAACACAATACTAGTAATTAAGCAGGGTTGCTCTTACAAAAAAAACAAACATATTATTCTGTACTATTCAAGCCAATTACAAGACTACAGTTCAAATGATATTAAATTGGCAGTTGTAAAAAGATACAATGGAACTGAAAATGTGTGAAAGTAGGCCATACAGAGAATTTTTCCAATTTGACCATTTTGGTCTAAAATATTCCTTCTCTGATAATTCAAATTCAGTGAGAAAACCGGATTGTATTTTTATATATTAAAGGAAATGAAACCGTAAACTGATCCAAATTTAGACCAAGCCAGTGTATTCTCGAATTGACCTGAAATAGTGTCTATTTATGAAAAATATCGAAATAAATTTCCCAAGAAAAAATAAATTGGCCTCTTGACTGCAAAAGCTGCTAACAGGGACAGGGCTAAAAAAATGTGTTTTTAAATGCAAGATATATAACTATGTGACAATGTCACTGGTGGTCACAGCCTAGCTCTAATGTATATTTTGAAACTTGAACTTTTGTTTCAATGAATATCAATATATATATTCAAGAACAAAATACATTTTCCTCTTTTCTACAATGCACGCTTCATTTGTATCATTTAGGAAATCAAGCTAAGTTTGAAATTACTAAGTTTGCAAAATGTGCAAATAAACTCTGTCATACACAATGCGCAAGAATCTGTCTATTCACCAAACAGCATTGTGTTCAGCGTTGACCCCCAAGATAACAGAACTGGAGGGAACTGTACGTCTCCTGAGATAGTTTTACTCTGCGTTGTTACAACTCGCTCTGTTGGCTTAAGTTTTGCAAATCAGATGTTAACTCAAACCACTGTGTATTAGGAAAGCTGGTGGGATAGAACATAATTAAACTATTATTAATTTGAAATACCAAAACTGCAATCAATGTACAATCATTTGCTAAATATTTAATCTGCCAGTTAGAAAGAATATGAGACTAAAGGAATGCAAATTTAGAAGTTTATCTGAAGAGCTATTCAAATCATTTTACTTATCCTATTTTCTGGTGTAGTTGTCAGAATACCTGCAGGCATTGCTATCTGTAAAAAGCGACTACAATTGATCCCCCTAGCCAGATGGTCACGCCTAGGTATATCACAAATACACCAGCTGTGCAGAGAACAAAATCATGAGTTTCCCGGATATAAGGGATATCTTCCCTTACTTACAACAAAAAAATGCGATAAACACACATGTCAAAAACACGCCATCCACCATGCCTACAACTACAGTAGCAGCAAGACCTATACCCCACAGATGCTGGGCAGCCCCGATGAAACCCAAAGCCCTCTCACTCTGCTATAAAGCATGGCTAGAATTAACACCCCAAAAACCGTTAGCATGTAAACAGAACTGGGACACCGAGAGGGGGAAGGAATTGACAGATGACGAGTGGATGCTAGCCCTAAATGGGATTAAAAAATGGAATAAGTGCTACTCTCATATTGAAGCACATCGAAAACTACTCTATAGGTGGTATATGACTCCCAACAGATTACACAGAATCTATCCGGGCGTATCATCCAAGTGTTGGAGATGTGCAGTGGAAGAGGGATCGATACCACACACATGGTGGCAAAGCAGCGGTATACAACCTCTCTGGGGGGATGTTAAGAATTTATTAAGGGACCTGCGAGTTAGGAATTTTCCCATGAACATAACGACCTGCTTACTCCTGCTATTCCCCAGAACCACAAACAATTAATTTTGATAGTTCTAATGGCTGCTAGAAATCTAATAGCACTAAACTGGAAAAAGCATAGTTGCCCAGCTATACAACAATTGACAGACAAAATACAACAGTTTTATATATACGAGAAAATGTCCACCGACACAGCTAAGGCCACAGAAAATTTTAGAGACATTTGGAAGGTTTGGGAGACATGGTATGGGGAGAAGAGACACCCTGAACGATGAAAGGAGTGGAGAGGGGCCAAAGGGGACCTTAACAGCCCATGGAAACAAGGACAGGGATTTGTATAAACATGGAGGGAACGGAGTATACAGAAATTACTGGATCCGACATAACTTGGTTTGCCTGAATACTTGTTTGTGTATATACCTTTGTTGAGTTGATTTGAGTTGTTAACATAGACCTAAATGAAGGGAATATTGTAAACCATCTACGTCAATATGTTAAATTATAAATAGAAGCGGATGTTGTTGTTGTACAATTTTAGAGTACGATTGTATTACCTCGTAACTCACTAACTACTTGATTGTATACATTAAGAGGCAACTATGTACTGGATTTAAACGTTTAGAAAACCTTCAATAAAAAATACATGGAAAAAAAAAAAAAGCGACTACAATAATTAACGAAGGAGTTTATGCCTTACCAGCATCCTTATTTCTTTATAAACTAGATTCCCCATTTGCAAAGCATTCCTCTTTTTCAGGGGTATTTACTGAAGTGCGAATTGCTTGGAATTCAGAGAAAATTAGATTTTTTTTCGGAATTGAAAATAAAGTGGACTTGAATTTTGCCATTTTAGCTAATCGGGCCTTCCATTTGAAAGAGGCTTTTTATTTCCCAACATAGTTTTGAAAAAGATGTGAGCAAGATCATTTGAAGATTAGTCACACTTTTGGTTTTTATTTTTGATAAAGTGTAAACTCATATCTACTACACAATGTACATGTTAAGAATTGATACAGTGCATAGCTAATTAAATTAGGTATATTATTTATACTTTAATATACTCCTGCTTTTAATACCCATGCAGTGATTCATTCGTTGGTGCTGTCGTAAGACATTCACTCTCCTTTTAAAACTATTAAATTAAAGGACACTCTGGACCCCTAAAGCAGTCTAGTTTGCGGAAATCGTTTATGTGAAGTGTCTTTTATTCATTTTAGAAAAAGTGCAGATATCCATTGAAACCACATACTTCCCAATGTAGCTCAATGAGAAGTCTTTACAAGCCCTCCCCCTCTAACCCCGCCCAGACTTTCTGTGGCTGTCCAATCACAGACTTCCCAATGCAGCTCAATGAGAAGTCTTTGCAAGGCAGGTGCTCTGAGCAATTGCTGCCTCTTGAGTTTAGTTCCACTGAACTAAACAAACCAGGAAGTGACAGGACTGGTCGTGTGATTGACAGCACAGGGGGTATGTAAGAAGTTTAAAAATAAATAAAGCACAGGAAGTCTGGGCAGGATTAAAAGGTGAGCACTTGCCCAGGCTACCGACAAGAGAGCTGCAGCTTTTACAAGCTTTTTGTGTTTTTTTTTTTTAGATATATCTCAAGGGAAAAAAAAATGCACAATTAAACATTTTTAGTGGCATATCTACTAAAAGTGATTATATTTTTGATCTGAACAGTTGAGTGTCCCCTTAACATAGAAGATCACTATGCAATCAAACTTGTATTACAACGAAAGTTCAAACCCCAATTCTGGAGTTTTCCTTCTAGTATCTGCACGAAATGTGTTATGTGAACCATTACCCTTTCATAATGAATCCACATTTAAATAGACATTTTTTTTTTTAAATTATACAGTAGGAAAATGACATTATTCTACCTCTTCTGAGCTACACCTGAATTATAAGATGGGGATTTTCCAGTATTTAATATAATGTTTCTTATCTCTATATTTAACAAAAATGTCTGTGGGGTCTGGAAAATAAAATGTAGATAATCCAGTGCAATATGTACCTGTATCTTGGAGCATCTCTGCCTTAGCACCCTGTCAATCAATGTTAGAATTCGGTAAGTGAACATCTTTCTTTTTATCGCCTTCCATTGCACTGTTTGCCGTGGCTGTACCTAACCAGCATTCTATACATAAATAAAAGCAAACTGCATCACACGGTTTCTTATGGATTTTCAAGTCTGGACGGAGGAACATGTACCAGTCTTAAAAATACAGACACTCATTCTGTGTTTTATTAATTTATTTTAAATCAATACAAAAGAAAAAAAAAAAAAGAAAAAAAAACACGACAAAAATATCCCCAACATTTACAAATAAAGTATGCAAAATGGACTTTAATTTTTGAATAGAAAATTTAATCTTAAACACACTCAATGAATCCCAATGAATTTAACCAATCAGATGATTAACAGCGTATTTTATTTAAAGTTTAGTGGTTCTATAAAGTAAGGAGCAAGCAGTGTATGTAAATTCTTGATATTTGCATTTGTAATATTTCAGAAATCTTTATCATAATGTGATACTATGTTGCCCAAAATAAAAGTAGGCAATTTAAGACAGATCAAATCATTAAGCAATAGCCAGTGCAGAAGGGCTTACTGGGCGCCTAGTAAAACTAACATGCTTGGTTGCACCAAATACTCACACAAATATAAAGTTAATTAGAATACACAAATTAGAATGAAATGGAAAAAAATAATCGCTCGGTCTAATGTGAGTTCTGCTTTTCAAGAACTATTGCGAAACATTAAGGTTGGGATGGGTTTATTAAAAAAAGTGCTTGTTAATTTTGGATTGGGTTAGGATATGCTGAAAAGATTTTCAGGAATATCTAACGCCAAGTTTAACCATCAGAGACTTTCAGATCTCTTTACAGTAAAATAACCAATTGGTGTAAATGTGCAATCTCGTGCCTGCCATTTCCTTTATATCAGGAGAGCCAACAATAGGAGACTGCAACCCTACCTGGCTGTTTGGATGCCATGGGAGTGTCCCATAGTTACTTGATAAGAGTGCTGTTTTCTTATTGAAATGGGCACTTTTCTAAATTGGGGTTAAACGAAGATACTCCTCACCCATAAAGCATTTCAGTAGGCGGAAGTGTTTTTGGGCTGTGGAGTGCGAATTGATGTTTACACTGTGATAGCCACTGCAGCCTTAATCTTTATTTCTATATACGTGACTATTGGTCAAACGTAGAATTTATGTTAAATTTTCCCCGACCTCTGTATTGTAGACATCTAAACAGGTGTGCTCATCCTTTAGGTAGCTATATCTTTTAATCTGTGGCTGATATGCTCAGTATATAAGATTATAGACAACAATCAGCAGGAAGATGTCAACACACAAAAAGCATTTTGTCGAGATAAAGTCTTGGGCTGGTCGCATGTCATTCAGGTATCAGAAGAGATGGAGATCAGACAACTTCATGGCTGACAGTCGGCTATTTGGTCAGTGTGGTCACATTCATCGCTGATGGGGGTGAGGGCAGGATAGTTTCTTTCGGAGAATGAGTATCGGATGCCAGTCACCAAGCTTTGGAAAAATGTATTACACTGAAAAATAAAAGGGAGTCATTATACTCAGGTTTCCCACCCAGTTACATACCCCCTGCTGGGCCAAGTAACAAACTCCCTTTGTAACAATCTAGAATGAGAGGGGGGTCTTTAAACTGCACACGATTTAAGTTCACTTTACTGTAATACATACGGGTAAATGCATCTACACATGTTCATTATCCGCAATAATCAATAAAATAGGAATTGCAAATTATAAGCCACAGGCCTTTTAAATAAATTAATAATTTAAGAACAAAGTTTTGTCGTGTAATATCCCCATTTGAAAAAAAAGTAATTTTTAATCCTCACAACATGGGGATTTGTTCAGTAAAGTGAGTTTTGCAGTGTTTAGTGTATAAACCACAAGCTCCCTGAAGAGCAGGTTTCATGTAACAAGGGGGGAGGGGGGGTGGGAAAAAATGACTGAGTGCCTAGTTTAGACCTAATTCCCACACCCTAAACCGACAGATCTCCCAAAGCTGTGCTGACATAACAGTGACATTGTGCTAATGGCAAGTTCTTACTCCAATTCAGCTCGTAGGTCTTTGGCTCTTGTCCATTGTGGCTAACGGTGCATGTAGCCTTGTCTCCCTGGTTTGGGGTGATCTCCACATATTTCAGCATTTCGTAGGACCAATCCTGATTGAATTTCATGTCATTCTGATGTGCATTGGGGACCTCTTCCTTATTTAAATACATGCCGATTTTAATTAGTGGAGGATGGAAGTCATAGGCGTAACAGAGCATCTTGTTTTTCACGCCAAATTCCACTGGTTTTTCTAAGTAAACGCGCACCTTCGGGTCTCCTAGCAATGCGCAGGGCAATAGAGAGAGAGAGAGAGAGAGAGAAAACAAGGGTTACATCATCTATGATGTCACAACATTAGAACCAATAACAAACTACAGCTCTGGCGGACAAGACAGGAGCCATTTTCAAAGCATGCCTTGCCAACTTGCCAATCCGTAGCCTTCTATCAATTCTTTCCTTACAGATAGCCACAAGAGAAATTCTGGGATTTTAAAAATAATTAGCACAAAATTTGCTGTGACTCATCACTAAGTGTACAATAAAAAGATGAAAAAAAAACAGCAACCAAGATTTACTGGATATATGTAGAAGATATGTACACACAATAGCACATCATAAAATATAAAATGAGTAGTTTCTGGGAATGACATTGAACTAGAATGTGCTGAGACTCCAACTACATTTCTATCCCCAAGAGCTCACAATCTAAATGTCTGACCGCAAATAAAAAGCGATATGGGATGACTAGGTCCGCATGAATTAGATTTATAACAAATTGCAGTAAATGGTCATAGTGAATGTTGGAAATATAGAAACATAAAATGTGACGGCAGATAAGAACCATTCGGCCCATCTAGTCTGCCCAATTTTCTAAATACTTTCATTAGTCCCTAGCCTTATCTTATAGTTAGGATAGCCTTATGCCTATCCCACGCATGCTTAAACTCCTTTACTGTGTTTACCTCTACCACTTCAGCTGGAAGGCTATTCCATGCATCCACTACCCTCTCAGTAAAGTAATACTTCCTGATATTATTTTTAAACCTTTGTCCCTCTAATTTAAGACTATGTCCTCTTGTTGTGGTAGTTTCTCTTCTTTTAAATATAGTCTCCTCCTTTACTGTGTTGATTCCCTTTATATATTTAAATGTTTCTATCATATCCCCCCGTCTCGTCTTTCCTCCAAGCTATACATGTTAAGATCCTTTAACCTTTCCTGGTAAATTTTATCCCGCAATCCATGAACCAGTTTAGTAGCCCTTCTCTGAACCCTCTCTAAGGTATCAATATCCTTCTGAAGATACGGTCTCCAGTACTGTGTACAATACTCCAAGTGAGGTCTCACCAGTGTTCTGTACAATGGCATGAGCACTTCCCTCTTTCTACTGCTAATACCTCTCCCTATACAACCAAGCATTCTGCTAGCATTTCCTGCTGCTCTATTACATTGTCTGCCTACCTTTAAGTCATGAGAAATAATCACCCCTAAATCCCTTTCCTCATATGTTGAGGTTAGGACTATCAAATATTCTGTACTCTGCCCTTTGGGTTTTTATGTCCAAGATGCATTATCTTGCACTTATCCACATTAAATGTCAGTTGCCACAATTCTGACCATTTTTCTAGTTTACCTAAATCATTTGCCATTTGGCTTATCCCTCCTGGAACATCAACCCTGTTACATATCTTAGTACCATCAGCAAAAAGACATACCTTACCATCAAGACCTTCTGCAATATCACTAATAAAAATATTAAAGAGAATGGGTCCAAGTACAGATCCCTGAGGTACCCCACTGGTGACAAGCCCAAGCTTCGAATATATTCCATTAACTACAACCCTCTGTTGCCTGTCACTCAGTCACTGCTTTACCCATTCAATGTTCAATAAACATGGCAACATTTCATTCTTTGTGTGCTATTAGTTTAAGCAGACTGATTGTCTATTGTTGTGACTTAGATGATGATCAGATCACATTTTATGACCAATTTGTACAGAAATCCATATCATTCCAAAGGGTTCACATACTTTTTCTTGCAACTGTATCGTTCAGTTTTACACTAAAATACCAAGCTTAGTTAATTGAAATCTGAACTGAGTAATTCAGGTTAAAATAGCCGCACTGATTATTGTGAAGCTGTTGAATTTTTCCAAGTCAGCTAGTTTAGCCTGAATGTGTCCGTTAAATTTTCAATCCATTGCAGTTATCAATTCTTGCAGGCAGTGTTTTTAAATAAAAGTAAGAATTGTTTGGAATTCATAATCCTTTTAAATTTTAAGGCAAAACATAATAAAATGTAATATAAAAAAACACTATATATATTTTCTGTCTTTCTTTAAGGGAATTCAAGCACAAGAGTGTGTCTTCAATAATATTATAGACTTCCCTATATCTTGGACCCTGCAATTAATTACATTTATTGGACTTTAGAGTATCTTTGTTTTATACAAAAATGTTATTGTTACAGTTAGAAACGCTGAAGCTTTTATACTGTGTTTTATTTTGTTTGATACAGTTGTTGTGGATACATTTGTGAATGTGCACATCCCTGGTAAAATTTAAGGGGATTATCTCCTAAGCACTGACAACACAATTTAAAAATTTGTATATAGGATTTGGGAAATTCTTTTTTGTTTAGCAGCTACAATCTAGAGGTACCTGTAGTACCACTCTAAATAGGTGTATTTAAAATTCTTTTTTAGTGCGCTCTCTTTTTCACTTTATCATTATTTTAAAACGGTAAATACATCTATACACGTTCAGTAGCAATAATCGCTAAAATAGGAATTGCAAATTTGAATCCAAATCATTAAACATTGTAAAAACTGTCTTTTATTCCTAAGCAGCATTTTATGTCTAATTGTGCAATTATCTTGTTAAAGGGATATTCCAAACCACAGCTTGTTGAAGCCCTTTAAAAGTTAAGTGTCCCCTCTTCGTTACTTCATAAAAAAGAGGCGATTTCAAGAGAAACCGTTTTCTTATGAATTAAACAATTTATTGAAGGATCACTATAGCGTCAGGAAAACAAACCCTGACAATATATAAACCTTAGGTCCCCCCACCATCAGGGTCCCCCTCCAGCTGGGCTGAAGCGGTTAAAACCCCTTTCAGCCACTTACCTTAATCAAGCTCCGATGACCTCTCCTCCCCCGCCGACGTCAGTTCCCGAGTGGAGTCGAATGCGCATGCGTGGCAAGAGCCGCGGGCGCATTCAAATGGTTCATAGGAAAGCATTTCTGAATGCTCTCCTATGGACGTTCTGCACGCTGGATGCGATTTTCGCATCCAGCGTCGCAGAAGCGCCTCTAGCTTCTCTGAAACTGCTATATTTACATGTGAAGCTTTAAAACCTGATGTACATTGCACCCAGACCACTTAATTGAGCTGAAGTGGTCTGGGTGACTATAGTATCCCTTTAAAGAGCTTTATCAAGGCAAAAATTGGTGATGTATTGGAGAATATGCTAAACAATGAACCATCTTCATGAAACCACGGAGCAATGCAGGGAGGAGTGGGCCTTGACAGAGCCAGGAGTAGGCAGGTGAAGTTCAGGTCAGGGGGCTGTCCTGTGATTGTGCTGGGGGGCGTGGGTTAGAGGGGAAGTTAAATAGCGGCCATTTTAGGGTAAGTTCATTCTAACTTGAGCCTTTCTTACCTGTAAATTGTCCCTCCCACCCACCCTATGAGTTGGTAGTAGTTCCCGTTTGGTCACAGCGGCGGGAAAAGGTCTTGGTTAAACTGGAAGTTTGGTGGATTAAGAAATTGGTAGGCCAAGGTCTAGGCTGGAGTAGGCCGGAAGTTAAAAGTATGGAGGTAGGTTCGAGCCCGTCGGTGGCTACGAACCAAGGGGTGTAGGGGTGTCTGGGTACACCCCTGCAGTTAGACAAATGGAGGTGGGGCCTCTTGGTAGGCCGTTGAGTTACGTGTATGTATTATTGGTTATGCTAATGTTTGTTTTGGTAGGGTCATTGTCGGGGGTATGATACAGGAGAGAGCGTAACGAAAAGGAGTACTGTTGACAATGACCCTAAATTGTTAATTTATATATTGATATTAATTAATAAAGCTGTGGACTTTATACTCCAACAGAACTTTTGGTGTCTGCGTGTTATTAAAGTTATGGTTGGCACATGCCGAATAACGACTGTGCAATAATGTCATGGAAATCAACAGGATGTCTCACTTTGCACCCAATATAGCACCAGCTTATGCTTGATAAATCTCTCCACAGTGGTGTAATCAGTCAGATTATAGATACTGAGAAATCCTCTGGAATCTGTACACAGAAAACTCTGGGGGGAAAAAAACAAAGCAAAAAACTAAAAGAGACGGTTGGGGTAATTACATGAATTAATGGATTTAAAGGGAAAAACAATTTTAGCTTAATGAAGCAGTTTTAGTGTATAGATTGTGCCCCTGTAGTCTCACTGCCCAATTCTCTGCCATTTAGGAGTTAAATCCCTTTGTTTATGAACCCTAGTCACACCTCCCTGCATGTGACTTGCACAGCCTTCCATAAACACTTCCTGTAAAGAGAGCCCTATTTAGGCTTTCTTTATTGCAAGTTCTGTTTAATTAAGATTTTCTTATCCCCTGCTATGTTAATAGCTTGCTAGACCCTGCAAGAGCCTCCTGTATGTGATTAAAGTTCAATTTAGAGATTGAGATACAATTATTTAAGGTAAATTACATCTGTTTGAAAGTGAAACCAGTTTTTTTTTTTTTCATGCAGGCTCTGTCAATCATAGCCAGAGGAGGTGTGGCTAGGGCTGCATAAACAGAAACACAGTGATTTAACTCCTAAATGACAGTGAATTGAGCAGGGGAATGATCTATACACTAAAACTGCTTTATTTAGCTAAAGTAATTTAGGTGACTATAGTGTTCCTTTAAATCACTTTGTATATGAATCCCTAGGCACACCTCCCAGCATGTGACTTTAGCAGTCTTCATAAACACTTCCTGCAACGAGTCATTTAAGGTTTACACTTAATTTATTGTACAATCTGTTTAATTTAGAATTTTTTTATCTCCTGTTCTGTTACTAGCTTGGTGGACCCTACATGAGCCCCTTGTGTGTGATTAGAGTTCAATTTACAGAGCAGGAGATATAAACTTTTAAAGTAAGTTACATCTGATTGAAAACTAAAGCATTTTATTTCCATGCAGGCTGTGTCAGTCACAGCCAGGGGAGGTGTGGCTAGTAATTTAACTCCTAGATGGCAGTGAAACTTCAGAGGCATGATCTTTACACCAAAGTTGTTTTGGTGACTAGTGTCCCTTTAAGATTTATCCCACAATGTTTCTGTGTGTATAAAGACTAATTTAGGAAAGATTTAGGAGGGTACTGTGCATGCACGAGTCAATGGCTCATGAGTCAGGAGTCAATGCATCTCTATGGGGAACATTTAGCGTCACCATGTAGTGTGTGGAGACACTGAACATAGGTGCTGTGTAGTGTTCAGCACTGACCCAGGAAGCACCTGTAGTGGCCATCTGAGTGACTGCCACTAAAGGGCATTGATTACAGTGCTAACATTGCAGGGGGACGCTATAGACACCAGAACCACTACACTCCGCTCACAGAGAGAAATTAGAATCTTGTGTAAATGCTTCTCTACAAGAACTGCAGGGCACCATAGCAATACCCTGGCACTACTCTGAGAGAAGCAATGGATTAACAAGAGATCAGGATATCTCCTGGAGGGATAGAGCGAGGGAATCTCTCGCAAATGCATTACACGGAACTGTGTATTTCCAGGAAGAGGGTGGGGGTCAGAAACACTGAAAATTAAACTGTTTATTAATAGCGCCTATTTTCCAGTTTGTCTTTGAAATATTTCGGTGATAGGTCCCTATAATGATGCCTTGGGACAAAAAATAAAAATCTAAAAATATTAAACAAAGCTGAATTGTAGAAATTGTATAACATTTTAGCTTTAATTGCACAGCGAAATAGCGTCTATTTAAAAAAATACACCAATCAGACAGGGAAATAATCCCCATTAATATTACCCTTAGTAATCAAGGCTATAGGATGAGATACAAACTGATACAAAATCCACTTAGAAACGACAAGAAAGAAATGAGAGGGAAGGGGAAATGAAAGTGAAAGCAGAATGAGACACAAGGTGACGCAGATTAATAGAAAGAGACAGTCACAATGAGACAGCCACAGTCACAATGAGACAGTCATACATACAGACTGTTAGAGACAGTGAGGGTTCTGAAAGTGCTACTGGTGGAGCAATCACCATGGAAACCAAAAGGATGGCAGGGGAGCTGAGTGGGAGTACAGTTTGAGTGAGTCTGAATGTAAAGGTGACTGAGTGTAAGACAGACGGCTAGAGTGAGTGTGAGTAGGACAGACGGCTAGAGTGAGTGTGAGTAGGACAGACTATGAGACAGGCAGTAAGCTGATGAGTGACAACAGTTAGTGTGAGTGATATAAACTATAGACTGTAAGCTTGTTTGAGCAGGGCTCTCTTCAACCCTTCGTTTCTGTGAGTTTTCTTGTAATTGTCCTATTTATAGTCAAATCCCCCCTCTAATAATATTGTAAAGCGCTACGGAATCTGTTGGCGCTATATAAATCGCAATAATAATAATAATGTTAAGGTAAGTGAGTGAGTAGCTGAGAGCTGAGTATGAGATAGAGGGAGAGTGTCAGTTATTGGAGTATGAGATGGAGGGTGAGTGTCAGTGAGTGAGTATCATTAAGTTGAGTATGAGATGGAAGGTGAGTGAGACAGACAGGAGAATAATAAGAGACAGTCAGTGATTAGAATAATGTATAATAAGAGACAGTCAGTGATGGCAATATATAATAAGAGACAGTCAGTGATTAGAATAATGTATAATAAGAGACAGTGAGTGATTAGAATAATATATAATAAGAGACAGTGAGTGATTAGAATAATGTATAATAAGAGACAGTCAGTGATTAGAATAATATATAATAAGAGACAGTCAGTTATTAGAATATTATATAATAAGAGACAGTCAGTGATGGGAATAATGTATAATAAGAGACAGTCAGTGATTAGAATAATATAATAAGAGACAGTCAGTGATTAGAATATTGTATAATAAGAGACAGTCAGTGATTAGAATAATATATAATAAGAGACAGTCAGTTATTAGAATATTATATAATAAGAGACAGTCAGTGATGGGAATAATGTATAATAAGAGACAGTCAGTGATTAGAATAATATAATAAGAGACAGTCAGTGATTAGAATATTGTATAATAAGAGACAGTCAGTGATTAGAATAATATATAATAAGAGACAGTCAGTTATTAGAATATTATATAATAAGAGACAGTCAGTGATGGGAATAATGTATAATAAGAGACAGTCAGTGATTAGAATAATATAATAAGAGACAGTGAGTGATTAGAATATTATATAATAAGAGACAGTGAGTGATTAGAATAATATAATAAGAGACAGTGAGTGATTAGAATATTATATAATAAGAGACAGTGAGTGATTAGAATATTATATAATAAGAGACAGTCAGTGATTGGAATAATATACAATAAGACAGTCAGTGATTAGAATAATATAATAATAGACAGTGAGTGATTAGAATATTATATAATAAGAGACAGTCAGTGATTAGAATAATATAATAAGAGACAGTCAGTGATTAGAATATTATATAATAAGAGACAGTCAGTGATTAGAATATTATTCAGAGACAGTCAGTGATGAGAATAATATATAATAAGAGACAGTCAGTGATGAGAATAATATATAATAAGAGACAGTGAGTGATGAGGTTGAGTGAGCACTCACTGATATCCTGAGTATCAGCCCATGCCAGGCTGAGTCCCAGCAGAAACACTGCGCTTGCAATCAGGAGCTTCATCCTCTCTCTCCGACAACAGCAAAAGAATAGCCAGTCTGCGGGGTCCCTCTCCTTATATACTGCTTTATCACCGACCAATCAAAAATCCGTCTGAACTCCGCATCATCAGTAACCAGGCAAAGAGCCACCTCTCCTGTTAGACGCACAGTCAGTGCGCATGCGTGGCCCCTTGTCATTGCTGTATGTTACCCCTGGTATCATGGCATCCCAGGCTGTGTCCTATCTGTGTACCAGGCAATACAGGGTTAATGGGACCCCAGGGCTAACATGCCTGCTGGGATTAACCCTGTGAGGGGGGAACACTGTGTGATTTACCCCCAAACTGTGGCAGTTCTGGTTGCTGGGTGATGTGACAGTACTTTCACTTTCACTGGGTGTAAACTGAGGAAATCCCCTATTTATTCCACACATTGCTTTAATAAGTCATTATTATAAAACACATTGTGAAAGTCACGATATCAGTTTATTACATTGCTTTAATAAGTCACTATTATAAAACACATCGTGAAAGTCGCGATATCAGTTTATTACATTGCTTTAATAAGTCATTATTATAAAACACATTGTGAAAGTCGCAATATCAGTTTATTACATTGCTTTAATAAGTCATTATTATACAACACATCGTGAAAGTCGCGATATCAGTTTATTACATTGCTTTAATAAGTCATTATTATACAACACATCGTGAAAGTCGCGATATCAGTTTATTACATTGCTTTAATAAGTCATTATTATAAAACACATCGTGAAAGTCACGATATCAGTTTATTACATTGCTTTAATAAGTCACTATTATAAAACACATCGTGAAAGTCGCGATATCAGTTTATTACATTGCTTTAATAAGTCATTATTATAAAACACATTGTGAAAGTCGCAATATCAGTTTATTACATTGCTTTAATAAGTCATTATTATACAACACATCGTGAAAGTCGCGATATCAGTTTATTACATTGCTTTAATAAGTCACTATTATAAAACACATCGTGAAAGTCGCGATATCAGTTTATTACATTGCTTTAATAAGTCACTATTATAAAACACATCGTGAAAGTCGCGATATCAGTTTATTACATTGCTTTAATAAGTCACTATTATAAAACACATCGTGAAAGTCGCGATATCAGTTTATTACATTGCTTTAATAAGTCACTATTATACAACACATCGTGAAAGTCGCAATATCAGTTTATTACATTGCTTTAATAAGTCATTATTATAAAACACATCGTGAAAGTCGCGATATCAGTTTATTACATTGCTTTAATAAGTCACCATTATAAAACACATTGTGAAAGTCGCGATATCAGTTTATTACATTGCTTTAATAAGTCACCATTATAAAACACATTGTGAAAGTCGCGATATCAGTTTATTACATTGCTTTAATAAGTCATTATTATAAAACACATCGTGAAAGTCACGATATCAGTTTATTACAGTTCTGGGGATTTTATATGTAATCCGTAACAGTTTACAGACTTTGCGTATATTTAATGTAAACGCGGCTCAGGGATATTTTACCCTTCACAGCCAGGATTTACGTTACGTACATACTTCACGTTACGTACATACGTAGCTTTGCGTAGGCTGGTTGTTAGGGTGTGCAGCTCAGGGTCTCTGGTTTCAGTCACAGTAACAGGTCGATTTTATTGATAAATAGTTTAGAACTTCGTAAAGTTCAGTCCATTTCCATGATTTTTATCCAAGCCGGCACATAACGAGGATTAGGAAACTGATATGTGCGACACAGACAGCCGTTTGGAGACACAGAGTAACTCAAACTGCAGATTCCTACCTCCATATTGTTTCACCATTCTAAAATGATGGAGTTGTATTTCCACAACATCTGGGAATCTTAGTTTTTGACATCCCTACATCTGACCGCACCTCGCCTCACCTGGACCACCCTTGCCTACAAATGTGTACTTATTAGCTTTGTTCTTCGGGGGCAAAATGATCCCAATGGTCCACTCTTTAACCAAATTATAATAATAACAATGTTGAATGTGGTAGAAATCATTACGATACAAATAGATTTTAGAGATTTAGAGACACCATAACCAATACATTTCATGGTTATTGAACTTTAAGTCTGTGAGCCGATGCCCCATTTTATTTGGAGTGGTTAAACAAATACTGAGTCTCTCCAGGAGCGCAAACAGTACAAAAAAGGCTTCCCCATACTAAGTGCGATCCTTTCCAAGTTGTATATCAGTTACAGGTTGAAAGTGTTGGGTTATCACATCGTAATATGAAGGTTCGGTTTCCACATTCTCATCTCTCGAGTAGACGTGCGCTGTGGGTGCCATACTTTATTCGCTCAATGGTAGCTCTTCGTCCTGAGAATCTATACATTCGTCCTGAGAATCTGTCCATTCGTCCTGAGAATCTGCTAATTCGTCCTGAGAATCTGTCCATTCGTCCTGAGAATCTGTTAATTCATCCTGAGAATCTGTCCATTTGTCCTGAGAATCTGCTAATTCGTCCTGAGAATCTGTCCATTCGTCCTTATAATCTGCTAATTCATCCTGAGAATCTGTCCATTCGTCTTTATAATCTGCTAATTCGTCCTGAGAATCTGACCATTTGTCCTGAGAATCTGTTAATTTGCCCTCAGAATCTGCGGCTCAACCTGGGATTTTGAGAATCCACAAATTCACCTTGAAACTTAAAAAAACAAAACAACTAAAAACTAAATAAACCCCTTTGTTTTTATTCACAGCTTTCCCAAAATGCCGTGGAAGATATGCAAATAAGGCAGAAACCATTGGCATTTTATGGAGGTTTTAATTGCAGAGACTTGCTGTTTAATAATGCAGGTGTTTATGATAAATACGAAGGTTAGAAATGAATCGGAATGAACTATTACCCTATTGCTGTCTATCTTGACGCTGTCACAGTTATTTCCCACATAATATTAAACCCAGAGATGCCTTGTGGGTTTATGAATACGGAATGCATGGAACTGGACGTTATTTTATTCAGATCATGGCTGCTCATTGGCACAAATAACTGTAATAAAACGGCAGAACAGTCAACAGATAACCTGAAACAGTGATCTCTGTTTATGCTTATTTTCATATTTTGCATGTAATGCTGGGAAAGTGGTGGAAAAATAAAACATTCAGAGCTTCCATGACTCTGACAGATTTGCTGTATAATAAGAAAGATGTAGGTTTTTTACAATAGTGTATCAAAGACTTTACTTAAATCGGTGAGGAGTTTAAATCACATTTAGATTTCAACGCAACCTTAATAACGCTTGGTTTAAATAAAACACTGACAAATGCATTTTAATGCACAAAAATAAAATTTTTTAACGTATTAAAAATTGACTAGAACACACGGTTAAGACATCAGCTTTAACGGACTAAGCATATTTTGTTACTGGTTAATGCTAATACAATTGTACACAAATCATGTCTTGATTAAAAGTGCTGTTTGTACGTGTTTGTTATAATTTTCATATTTGATTATAATTTTGTATTTCTGATTTTACCAATCGGGTCTGAAAATTTATTGTTTAAAAAAATCTGAGCATAATGTCCAGTTTAAAAGGTACACTCTAAACACCATAACCACTGCAGCTCTCGATTACAGTCAAGATTAACGTGCGCTCGTAAAAACAATGGAAAAATTCTTTATAGTTCAATGTCCTGGATCAACGGGGCTGGAATGGGAGGACTCATCCCAAAGTTGAACAAGGAATGCTGTAATCGGAGGGCCCAGTCCTGGTGTATCCTGTGTACCCAGACTGAACCTTGGCCGTAGGAGCTGGTGTGTCTGGGCTCTGTGCGGTAATGAATGTAATTTAAGCTTAATCCTTTGAATACCAGGTGTTTGCTGAATGCATTGCCAGTTAACGATGCTCAGATGTCTAAACCCAGTTCCTGTGGGTTAACTGTCGCTTATACACTTAGTTTCTTGGCAAGGAAATGACTATTTGGACCCTGAGGCGCTAGAACACGATTATTCACTAAACAGTGTATCCTCACGAATTCAAAGTGAATTTCAATTTTTAGGCTGAAATTTAAAATCTGAATTGAAAAAAAAGTAGGTGACTATTTCCAGTTTGTCAATTTTGACCTAAATTCTGAAATTGACTTTGAATTCTATATTTGGGCATTCGCCTGAAAGAAGAATGAACACATACCAATTTCTTTGTGTGATTTGTTTTGTTTTATTTTACAAAGAGGGAGCTGCTCGTGACTCCCTCCTTGTAATATTTAAAACCCACCGCTTCCTAAATCTCGCCATGCCCCTTCTCACCCTATGGCAGAGATAGGCAACCTTTGGCATTCCAGATGTTGTGGACTACATCCCCCATAATGTTCTAGCACCCATAATGTTGGCAAAGCATCATGGGAGATGTAGTCCAAAACATCTGGAGTGCCGAAAGTTGCCTATGCCTGCCCTATGGTATAAGAGAGGTAAAATCCTCCCTCCTGCCCCTGCTTGCTGTACCATGAGTAGGGGCATGTCAACTAAACAGTAAGCACCCAATAGCTGCTCACTGTCGAAAACTATCCATTGGTGGAGGGTGGGAGCTAATATTAAACATTATTATTTTTATTGTGGAGTAACCAAGGGTTTGGGGGGAACTATGTCCCCCCAGTTTAAACTATTTAATAGCATCACCCTGGGCCATTGGTGAGTGTTGGAGGTGGGCAGCGCTGCAGAGTAGGTTGGAGATATATAAATATTTTTAATAATGACATTTTAACAGATATAAAGAATTGTGCTCTGAAGCGGGCTGCAGGGGTGGCTAACTGTGGCATTGTCTAATAAATGCCCATTGCCCAGTCACACCGTGCCACGAATAGCCATGGCTGCCCTGGACTGTCACTTTGTAATCCCTGATCACTAATGGGACACCTGCTAGTAATGTGTTTTATATTTTTTTTGCCATTTTTCCATTGATTATCCTAGGAATTCTGTCCTTGTCGGTTCCTAAAATAACAGGGTACAAAGCAGAGAAAGCTGGGATCAGACACCGTAAAATATCAGATATCAATATCAACAAATTTCAGGGAACATACAGATCGCCCGCATCCACAGGGCCAGGTCATTCTAAATCTATGGTAGAAGAAATTTGCAGGTTAGCAACTTTCCCCTCAGTTCCAGTGTTTTTAAGGGAAGCCGGCATGTTGTACGTAATATATGGAATATGTGATGATATTTTATGGTAAGACCTGGAGCAATCACAGAGAATAGAGACCCTTCAAAACCCACTATAAGACAGTATTTAACTTCATTTATTGCAAACAAATTGTGATGAGAAAATACATTTATTGTAGGATAAGGTTTACTAGTGACAATGTGTATGGTGCTCTATACAATGTTGCTAAGTTCCTACAAACTGTGTTGCCTACACATTTGCATATTGACGCAGCCAAGTCCTATTATTAATAAAGGGTTACATATTAGACTTTGTGAAGAGCAAGCAATTCTTCATAACATAAAGCAGGTCAGGTAAGTAATTTATTTTTTGACTCCTTAATTTTTCATTCTTAAAAAATCCCAAAACATTCCAACCTCTCCTTGACAAACCCCAATTCCTAAGGCCATTAATGCTTATGTGATTAAGACTGAGGTGCAAAGATCTTTAACGGCTGGGCATTTTTCCCCTTGTCGTGCCAGCAGACATCGAAGAACGGATAGAGTCGGCCAGAAAATCTCTCGTGAAAGGTGTACATCAGTTTCACATTGTCTTCGTCATCTGAATCAAAGAAAGACACCACACCATCAGAGAAACTAAGGTAAATCCCAATCTTCTCTGGCCGGCCATCCACACGGAGAACCCTTGGCTCCTTTTGTTCGGCATGAGCCTCGTAGACTTTCCCTTCCTTGCAGCTCACAATCCAGAAGCCGTTTGAAGGACTTGCATGAAGTTTTCCTTTGCGATTTGCTGTCTCAGAAATTAGGCCCAGTGACCACCTTGGTTTATCTTCCACCAGGACCTCCCAGTAGTGTTCTCCATCAGTGAAGCTTTCTTTGGACACTAGGCAGTTGCCTTTGTCAAATCGAGTTGGCTCATCAGATACTGCCTGTTTGTGCTCAGAGCACTCTACTGATTTTCCATCTGCAGAAATGACTAGGTTCTGTTGAGCTGCTTCTGGGTCGAATGTGAGGTTTTCTAGCCCTGGAACAATTAGGTAAGTTACAAAAAGAGAGTAAGACGAATGAGCTGGGTATGACTACACAAATGTTGGCCCTGGCCAACTTCAGGAGACAAAGAGCCATATTGCTTGAGCAAACTATCTGGGGTATATTTTATATACATCTCTAAATGAAAATGATATTTGTGTATTAATTTCTCTCTTTTTTACTGAGTGACAGATAACTTTAGAATTGTGTCTAAGGGTATCTGAGATTTATAAAGAAAAACTGCCATAAAAATGTCAGGGAAAGGAACTATAAACACTGAACAAATATATGTTTTGGTACATTTTTTTCCATACAGCTCCATACACAGGATTGGTTGAATTTGCTAAATAGGCATTTAAAATGGTGGTAGACAAAAGTTGGATTTAGTATGTAATCCATGTACATCCACCTCAAACCTTTCATTCTAACTCTTTCACTCTCTCACTCATACCCTGTACCCATCCTTACACTCACCCTCTAAAACTCATGCTCACCTGGTAGCAGTGCTCTGAACATTTTCCTCCAGACCTGGAACTTAAACTCGTCAGAAATGATGGGGAGCTGGATGTCGAGACGCCCAGGAGGGGGAGATTCAGACAAGATTTTGCCCAATCTATTAATAAAAGCAATAGAGATGCAAAGCTGTAAACTTTGTTGAACTTGGCGTATGAATCACATGTGAATTTGAAGGTTAGTAGGCATTCTATCTAGAAGGATCTGCACAAAATGAAATAGAAGGGTCCATGCAGGGATAGCAAGGCAGATAGGTGGTGTTAAGATCTTGCTCTGACTATTATAAAAAGCAACAAAGATGTAAAACTGTAAGCTTGGTAGAACCTGGCATATTCAGCATATGTTTAAGTGTAAATTAAGTGGGTGTTCTATACAGGAGCTCTACAGATGGTGGGACAGGATATGGAAGGTTCTGTGCAGAGATAGTAGAATTATACAGTGGAGATCGACCAGAGAGATTAAGAAAACAAAAAGGTATTTTACCTGGATCCAACAACGCTTATTTTCTGGGGGAAATAAAAAAGTGGTGTAAGTTTTTTTGACAAGAAAACATGGCGGTTCCCATTTATTTGTATAGTTACATGAGAGTCGAGACCCTCAGGTTCTAGATAAAACTCACCCTGAGGAACTCTGTTTGTTCGTGTTCTTCCACATCTTTCAGAACTCCTTCCATCTGCCGGAGTTGCTCCAGATAATGTGCCATGGTCTTCCTCTCACCCACCAGAGCAGCGGTTGCCGACTGTTCTGCTTTATCTGCCTCCCGAGCCAGTGACTTTTCCATCACATCGAGGTAGGACCTCATTATGTTCAGCTGTTCTCTCACGCTGATCTTAAACCGGGACACAGTGTCCTGTGGAGAGAGGATGGGGTGGATGTGCATTTAGAATTTGAGATATTTTTGGGATATTTTGAAAGGAAATTAGCAGGGTTTAAGAATATGAAAATTTAGATATTACCCATCTGATTTTGGTCACAGCAAGGTACCAGAACATGACATGGGGTTAAATTTGGTGGAATAGAATGTGGGAACTTCTTAAAATGTAGTTTCACACTGACCTGCACCTCAGCCACCTGTCTGTCCAGCAAGGCCACGGTCTTCTCCTTTTTTAGCCGAGCCTCCTGCAGGAGAACTTGCTGTTGCGGCAGTTGCCTCTAGAGGGAAGGAGAGAGTAAAAAATATGAACCAATGTCCGTCAATGCTAATGTAACTATGTAATGGGTTTATGTGAAGTAAATGAGGGGATATTGATGTAATTTGATACATTTGCTTTCTGTACAGTTGTATTGCATCACAAAGGCTAACACCTACTGGGCTGGCTAATGTGGATTTATATAATCTGGAGTAATAAAGATGTAGTACATCAAACCTTACAATAAATGGACCACAATTATATTTAAACCCTTAAGGACCAATAGTGGGGTTAGTTGTATTGATCTGTTTTATAACAGTGTGTTGAGCTATGTTGTGTAATATTGGGTTGTGTCAAGTTCTATGTATGAGTTTTTTTGAAGTGGAAGTGTCAGTTGTGGAGTGTTGTATAAAGCAGAGTTGTGATGTACTGGGTTGTATTGTTAATGTCGGGTTATGTTGAGCTGGCTTGTATAATGTTGGGTTGTGTTGACCTTTTCTATATAACGCAGGGCTGGGTTGATTGTATTGTATAATATAGGGATGTGTTAAACTGTATCATACAGGTTATGTTTAACTGTATTGTATAATACAGAGTTGTATTGAACTGTGCTGTATCATGTAGAGTTGTGTTGAATGATATTTTATATTATAGGCTTGTGTTGAATTGTTTTTTACAGTACAGGGTTGTGTTGAACAATATTACATAATATAGGGTTGTGTTGTGCTGTATTGTATGATAAGGTATTGTATTAAGTTGTGTTGCATTTTATAACACATTTAGAACCAGCTGTGTTGTTTTGTATCTGGCCACGCAGACTTGTGTTGAGTAATGTGTAATGGCGCGAGTAGAATTCTACCTTCATCTTGCTGTAGGCCTCGGAAGCTGTGATAATATTGTGACCCTTGTGCTTGCCAAGTGATGCACACACGCCACAGATGAGCTCCTTGTCCTGCTCACAGAAAACACTCAATGGGTCCAAATGTTCGAGGCAGTGGCCTTGAGGGACCTTCTTGAAACTTTCCACCAGATGCTCCAGCTGACGGTTGATATGAAGGGTCTCAGGTCGAGAAGGAGCCTGGCATGTTGGGCACAGTGTAGATCCATTTTCACCCTGGCTCTTAGAGGCCCCAGTCAAGCAGCCTTGGCAGAAGGTATGACCACATTCGGGGGTGATAGGGGATCGGAAGAGTTCAAGGCATAATTGGCACGTGAGATCCTTTTGCATACCCTGCATCAACTGAGGCTTCGACATTCTGAAAGACACACAGAAACTTACTGAAGACAATGATTTGATGAACTTTACTCTAGATCACAAAACCTACCATAGTGTCACAATTTACCAGCCAGGAATTTCTACTAGAATGTCACTATTTACCAGACAGGGATATCTACTAGAATGTCACTATTTACCAGCCAGGGATATCTACCAGAGTGTCACTATTTACCAGCCATGGATATATACCAGAGTGTCACAATTTACCAGCCAGTTATATCTACCAGAGTGTCACTATTTACCAGCCAGGGATATCTACCATAGTGTCACTATTTACCAGCCAGTGATATCTACTAGAATGTCACTATTTACCAGCCAGTGATATCTACCATAGTGTCACTATTTACCAGCCAGTGATATCTACCAGAGTGTCACAATTTACCAGCCAGGGATATCTACCAGAGTGTCACTATTTACCAGCCAGTGATATCTACCATAGTGTCACTATTTACCAGCCAGTGGTATCTACCAGAGTGTCACAATTTACCAGCCAGGGATATCTACCATAGTGTCACTATTTACCAGCCAGGGATATCTACCAGAGTGTCACTATTTACCAGCCAGGGATATCTACCAGAATGTCACTATTTATCAGCCAGTGATATCTACCAGAATGTCACAATTTACCAGACAGTGATATCTACCAGAATGTCACAATTTACCAGACAGTGATATCTACCAGAATGTCTCTATATACCAGCCAGGGATATCTACCAGAATGTCACTATTTACCAGCCAGGGATATCTACCAGAGTGTCACTATTTACCAGCCATTGATATCTACCAGAGTGTCACTATTTACCAGCCAGGGATATCTACCATAGTGTCACTATTTACCAGACAGGGATATCTACCAGAATGTCTCTATTTACCAGCCAGTGATATCTACCAGAGTGTCACTATTTACCAGCCAGGGATATCTACCAGAGTGTCACAATTTACCAGCCAGGGATATCACTACCAGAATTCACTATTTACAGCCAGTGATATCTACCAGAATGTCTCTATTTACCAGACAGGGATATCTACCTGAATGTCACTATTTACCAGCCAGGGATATCTACTAGAATGACACAATTTACCAGCCAGGGATATCTACCAGAGTGTCACTATTTACCAGCCAGTGATATCTACCAGAGTGTCACTATTTACCAGCCAGGGATATCTACCCAGAATGTCTCTATTTACCAGACAGGGATATCTACCAGAATGTCACTATTTACCAGCCAGGGATATCTACCAGAATGTCACTATTTATCAGCCAGTGATATCTACCAGAATGTCACAATTTACCAGACAGTGATATCTACCAGAATGTCACAATTTACCAGACAGTGATATCTACCAGAATGTCTCTATATACCAGCCAGGGATATCTACCAGAATGTCACCATTTACCAGCCAGGGATATCTACCAGAGTGTCTCTATTTACCAGCCAGGGATATCTACCAGAATGTCACCATTTACCAGCCAGGGATATCTACCTGAGTGTCACTATTTACCAGCCAGGGATATCTACCAGAATGTCACAATTTACCAGCCAGGGATATCTACCAGAATGTCACTATTTACCAGCCAGGGATATCTACCATAGTGTCACTATTTACCAGCCAGGGATATCTACCAGAGTGTCACTATTTACCAGCCAGTGATATCTACCAGAGTGTCACTATTTACCAGCCATGGATATCTACCAGAGTGTCACTATTTACCAGCCAGGGATATCTACCAGAGTGTCACCATTTACCAGCCAGTGATATCTACCAGAGTGTCACTATTTACCAGCCAGTGATATCTACCAGAGTGTCACTATTTACCAGCCATGGATATCTACCAGAGTGTCACTATTTACCAGCCAGGGATATCTACCAGAATGTCACTATTTATCAGCCAGTGATATCTACCAGAATGTCACAATTTACCAGACAGTGATATCTACCAGAATGTCTCTATTTACCAGCCAGGGATATCTACCAGAGTGTCACTATTTACCAGCCAGTGATATCTACCAGAGTGTCACTATTTACCAGCCAGGGATATCTACCAGAGTGTCACTATTTACCAGACAGGGATATCTACCAGAGTGTCACTATTTACCAGCCAGGGATATCTACCAGAATGTCACTATTTACCAGCCAGGGATATCTACCAGAATGTCAGCCATTTATCAGCCAGTGATATCTACCATATAGTGTCACTATTTACCAGCTAGGATATCTACCAGGAATGTCACACTTACCAGATATATATCTACCAGAATGTCTCTATATACCAGCTAGGATATCTACCTCTGTGAATGTCACCATTTACCAGCTTGTGATATCTAACACCAGAGTGTCCCTCATTTACTCAGCCAGGGATACTCCACCAGTCACCATTTACCAGCCAGGATATCTTACCGAATGTCACAACACCCCACTGTTTCAGGGATATCTACCGTGGAATGTCATCACTATTTACCAGCCATGGATATCTACCAGAGTGTCACTATTTACCAGCCAGGGATATCTACCAGAGTGTCACCATTTACCAGCCAGTGATATCTACCAGAGTGTCACTATTTACCAGCCAGGGATATCTACCAGAGTGTCACTATTTACCAGCCAGGGATATCTACCAGAGTGTCACCATTTACCAGCCAGGGATATCTACCAGAGTGTCACTATTTACCAGCCAGGGATATCTACCAGAGTGTCACTATTTACCAGCCAGTGATATCTACCAGAGTGTCACTATTTACCAGCCAGTGATATCTACCAGAGTGTCACTATTTACCAGCCAGTGATATCTACCAGAGTGTCACTATTTACCAGCCAGGGATATCTACCAGAATGTCACTATTTACCAGCCAGTGATATCTACCAGAGTGTCACTATTTACCAGCCAGTGATATCTACCAGAGTGTCACTATTTACCAGCCAGGGATATCTACCTGAGTGTCACTATTTACCAGCCAGTGATATCTACCAGAATGTCACTATTTACCAGACAGGGATATCTACCATAGTGTCACTATTTACCAGCCAGGGATATCTACCAGAATGTCACTATTTACCAGCCAGGGATATCTACCAGAGTGTCACTATTTACCAGCCAGTGATATCTACCAGAATGTCACTATTTACCAGCCAGTGATATCTACCAGAGTGTCACTATTTACCAGCCATGGATATCTACCAGAGTGTCACTATTTACCAGACAGGGATATCTACCAGAGTGTCACTATTTACCAGACAGGGATATCTACCAGAGTGTCACTATTTACCAGCCAGTGATATCTACCAGAGTGTCACCATTTACCAGCCAGTGATATCTACCAGAATGTCACTATTTACCAGCCAGTGATATCTACCAGAGTGTCACTATTTACCAGCCATGGATATCTACCAGAGTGTCACTATTTACCAGCCAGGGATATCTACCAGAGTGTCACTATTTACCAGACAGGGATATCTACCATAGTGTCACTATTTACCAGCCAGGGATATCTACCATAGTGTCACTATTTACCAGCCAGGGATATCTACCATAGTGTCACAATTTACCAGCCAGGGATATCTACCATAGTGTCACTATTTACCAGCCAGTGATATCTACCAGAATGTCACTATTTACCAGCCAGTGATATCTACCAGAGTGTCACTATTTACCAGCCAGTGATATCTACCAGAGTGTCACTATTTACCAGCCAGGGATATCTACCAGAATGTCACTATTTACCAGCCAGTGATATCTACCAGAGTGTCACTATTTACCAGCCAGTGATATCTACCAGAGTGTCACTATTTACCAGCCAGGGATATCTACCAGAGTGTCTCCATTTACCAGCCATGGATATCTACCAGAGTGTCACTATTTACCAGCCAGGGATATCTACCAGAGTGTCACCATTTACCAGCCAGGGATATCTACCAGAGTGTCTCCATTTACCAGCCAGGGATATCTACCAGAGTGTCACTTTTTACCAGCCAGTTTAGACCTGGTATCTATTTTAGAGTTTTTAATCTTCCCCCCTCTCCCCCCAGGTGTTTTGCTCAGGTAGAGGATGGACAGTTGGCGTGTTGTTACGAGTTTTATTATGAAAGGTATGACTTGTTGTGTGTGTGTGTGTTTGTGTGTTTGTTGTTGGTTTTTTTCTGTCTATCTACACAAGTTCTATTCTAAGGCTTAACGTGGTGATTTCTCGGCATTTACAATGCTGCCCCGGAATTTCTCTTATTTCGATAGATATTATTTATTCATTTTCATGAGGTTTTTCTAAAAACTTTCCATAAATGGTAAATAGTACATTATATTTTCCCTGAGCTAGAAAATAAGACAACCTGTACAATATTGTAGAAAATAATCCATGCACTCCAATAGATTCCAAATATTAAGGCAATTTATTTGAACCAAGGACTACAAAGCAACGTTTCAGCCCTATCAGGGCTTTTTTCAAGCTTCAAAAAAGCCCTGATAGGGCTGAAATGTTGCTTTGTAGTCCTTGGTTCAAATAAATTGCCTTAATATTTGGAATCTATTGGAGTGCCTGGATTATTTTCTACAATTATCTACTATTGGTCCTATGGGTACTGGGACTTTCCAAGAAGCACCTTGGATTCCATTGTGAGGGGCAGAGTGCGCTTCCAACTTTGATTAACCTGTACAATATTGACTTCTATATAACGAATGTATTAACTAATCACTGACTAATTGAAATCAGAATTACGAAATAAAGTTGGATTAGCCGAGCTGTGATTATAGTCTAGTTGGAGGATATCGCCATTTACTAGTTTGTTGTTTAGTGAATGAGGCCCTCTGTGTATCGCTAGCCAAGGTTTTTGCAAAGCATGCCCTGCTGTATATCAGACTTACCATGGGAGAGTTTCAGTTACTTTAATTAGAATATCAGGAAAGACCTCGGAGTTCCGAGGACAACGTTACTGAAGGGAAAAGCTACATGGAAGGAGGCTGATGAGCTCAGCACTGGATATTCAAAGATTTAGGTATGAAGGGGATCTTGTTCAGAGTGAATGGTCAGATTCTCATGGTGAATGGACAGATTCTCAGGGTGAATGGACAGATTTACAGAGTGAATGGTCAGATTCTCAGGGTGAATGGACAGATTCTCAGGGTGAATGGACAGATTTACAGAGTGAATGGTCAGATTCTCAGGGTGAATGGACAGATTCTCAGGGTGAATGGACAGATTCTCAGAGTGAATGGTCAGATTTTCAGGGTGAATGGTCAGATTCTCAGGGTGAATGCGCAGACTTACAGAGTGAATTGGCACAGTCTCTGTTAAAATAGCATATTAAAGACAAAAGGGAATTAAGGGTGGACCCGAAACATGCATTTTGCAGGAGTGGCACTGCTGTAGCGATCACAGGTTATACAATATACAGATTAAAGGACAGCACATACATAAAAATACATTTGTATATCTTATATGGCTACATAAATTGCCTCTCAGCAAACAAACATAGGGATTCAGTTCCATCATATGGTCATATTTTGTTAAGGCCCCAATTCTTAACAGCACATTTTTATGTGTGCATTGTTCCTTAAAATGGCATTTTATCAGTGTGAATAAGTTCATTCTCAGGGCCGATTCGGAGGGGAATCGGGGGGATTTTAGCAGTATATTAATGTTGGTCAGATCCTGAGGGGAATGTGGGGATATTAGAGTAGAGGGGTAGATCTGAAGATAATTGGGGGGGGGTTTCCTAAGAACAGAAGGGAAGATTTTGAGGGTAATTGTTGGGATCCTAAGAGTAGAGGGGCAGATTTTAAGTTTAAATTAATGCATGGTTAATGGTCAATCACAGATAATTGGGTGATTGTATACGGGTAGTAAGTGATCCTTCCATGTCAGGCTGAGGTGTTGTCACTGAGAAATCAGAGAGGTACAAACAGCACAGTTCAAGGTCACACTAAAATCACAGCCTATTATCAGCAAGTTACCTGCTTGGAGTCAGGGGCTCTCTGCAAAGATATTACCAGGAACAGCAGTCTGCTGGCAGACAAGAGAGTGTGTTGGGGGGGGGGAATACAGACAGAGCAGACACGGAGAGAGACAGAGAGAGAGAATGAGCAGAGACAGAGAGAGACGCAGAGAAAGAGAGAGACAAAGAGAGGTAATGAGAGAGCGAGCAAAGACAGAGAGAGAATGAGACAGAGCAAGCAGAGACAGAGAGAGACAGAGAGGGAATGTGAGAGCAAGTAGAGACAGAGGGAGACAGAGAGACATGGAAATTGAATGAGAGAGTGAGCAGAGACAGGGAGACAGACAGAGAGGTAATGAGAGAGCGATCCAGGACAGAGAGAGGGAAAAGAGACAGACAGAGATGGAGTAGGGCAGATAGAGATAGAGTGTGACCGACCTGTCGAAGTACACGGGTAGATCTGAGTGTCCAGAAGGAGGACTGTGAGTGCCAGCTCATCCCCCACTCACTGGCTCAGTTATTTGTGACTCACTGCTCGGCCCTGGAACAGCTGAGGGTACAGGAACGTGTGGAATGACAGCTGTCACTTTACATGTCTCAGTGCAGACACGCGCATGTGTTACAACGTGTCTGTGCAGTCTGTGTGCATGTTATAATACATATATACAGAGCCGCCATAGGTACTGCACATATTTATTCAAATCGATTGTCACTGGAGCCATACTTTTATTATGTGTTAGATAACTATATCCAGTTTCAATGCTTCAATGCTCATGTTAAGGAAAAGCAGATGAAATAAAAACTGACTACGTACCAGGCAATACGGATACATAGAAATCATCCTGCGTGTCTGTCTTTAAGGGCTTCTAAAATTGTCCTTTCAGTCAGTGATTTCTGTCTCTGCATTAATGTGTGTCTACAGGGAGGGGGGAGCCGAAGAATTCCCCCACCAAGATTTTTCTTTTGCAAAAATATTTATTTTATTTTGATGAATTTCTGCTTGTTTGGTAATTGGAGCAGACATATGTACCCTGGATCCTACATCCTGCCAAGTTACGGAGAATGCAGTACCCTGGATCCTATATCCTGCCGAATGACAGACAATGCTGTACCCTGGATCCTATATCCTGCCAAATGATTGAAAATGCAGTACCCTGGATTCTATATCCTGCCAAATTACGGAGAATGCTGTACCCTGGATCCTACATCCTGCCAAATTACGGAGAATGCTGTACCCTGGATCCTACATCCTGCCAAGTTACGGAGAATGCAGTACCCTGGATTCTATATCCTGCCGCATGACAGAGAATGCTGTACCCTGGATCCTATATCCTGCCGAATTACAGAGAATGCTGTGCCCTGGATCCTATATCCTGCCAAATGATTGAAAATGCAGTACCCTGGATTCTATATCCTGCCAAATTACGGAGAATGCTGTACCCTGGATCCTACATCCTGCCAAATTACGGAGAATGCTGTACCCTGGATCCTACATCCTGCCAAGTTACGGAGAATGCAGTACCCTGGATTCTATATCCTGCCGCATGACAGAGAATGCTGTACCCTGGATCCTATATCCTGCCAAATGACTGAAAATGCTGTACCCTGGATTCTATATCCTGCCAAATTACGGAGAATGCTGTACCCTGGATCCTATATCCTGCCGAATTACAGAGAATGCTGTGCCCTGGATCCTATATCCTGCCGAATTACAGAGAATGCTGTGCCCTGGATCCTATATCCTGCCAAATGATTGAAAATGCAGTACCCTGGATTCTATATCCTGCCAAATTACGGAGAATGCTGTACCCTGGATCCTACATCCTGCCAAATTACGGAGAATGCTGTACCCTGGATCCTACATCCTGCCAAATTATGGAGAATGCTGTACCCTGGATCCTATAGCCTTCCGAATTACGTAGAATGCTGTACCCTGGATCCTATAGCCTTCTGAATTATGTAGAATGCTGTACCTTGGATTCTATAACCTGTCGAATTACAGAGAATGCAGTACCCTGGATCCTACATCCTGCCAAATGACGGAGAATGCTGTGCCCTGGATCCTACATCCTGCCAAATGATGGAGAATGCTGTGCCCTGGATCCTACATCCTGCCAAATGATGGAGAATGCTGTGCCCTCGATCCTATAGCCTGCCAAATAACGGAGAATGCTGTGCCCTGGGTCCTATAGCATTCCGAATTACGTAGAATGCTGTACCCTGGATCCTATATCCTGCTGAATTACAGAGAATGCAGTACCCTGGATCCTACATCCTGCTGAATGACGGAGAATGTTGTGCCCTGGATCTTACATCCTGCCAAATGATGGAGAATGCTGTGCCCTGGATCCTATTGCCTTCCGAATTACGTAGAATGCAGGGGCGTACCTAGAGCATTTGGCACCCGGGGCGGATCCTGTGCTTGGCACCCCCCCCCCCCCAAAAAAAGAAGAAAACTTTAAAAAATGTTAAAGGTTTTCTTTCTTTTTTTTTTTTACAAGTAAAGTTTGCCACCACCCCCCCATGTTACATCACAATGCCCCACCCATATGATTTGCCATGTTAACTAACGCCAGTGCTGCAGTGCCGCCGTGTTTACATTAAAAGGCCTGCAGGGACAGGCTATAGACACCAGAACCACTACATTAAGCTGAAGTGGTTCTGGGGAATATAGTGTTTCTTTAATGTGAGGTAAATTAGAGCTTAGTGCCACGAATAATATACTAGATTGCCTACTTACAACCAGATGAGGATGATGATGGGCTCTAGCTGCAGTCTGGCTCCACTGGTCTGGTGCAGGACAGGCTCTCTGGAGGCGGTTTGTAACTGTGGTCACAAAAATCAATGTTCTGGGAGAACTGGAAGCAGCTCCATTTTTTTGGGGTCCTTTACACAGCTCAAGGTCTGGGTCCCAGGGTCCACCTTCATGTTCCACCAATGAGTTTGTTCACAGGGGGTGGAGTGTGTAGGGGATGTCCTGATATGTGTGTAAGGAATGCATTGTGAAATTG